GTTGCAAGGAAAGGCGTGTGTGCACAGCTGTTGATGGGGGGGGAGGGTGTGTTACCTATATCATGTACTTGCTTATCTGAGACCAAATTTAGAAACCTTTACTGAGTTGTAACCATGCTCGCTCGCAGGTGGTACGGTGCACTCAGCGCTGCTTCGACCACATCATATGCGTGCCTCAAATTCAGAATGCGTACAACATGCATGAGAGCGTGTAATGGCGATCGCCGGATTGGTCGATACTGCTGCTGTTACGGCATTTGTTGTTTGTCTCGTGGAGTTTGGAAATGCGGCGACTGAATTTGACATTCGGTGTGCCGACTTCTCGATCATAGAGAGTGGTAGCCGCAGTGGTAGAAAATGTCAACAAATAAGGCTCGACCGTCACATGCCAACATCACTGGCTTGGTCCAAACTCTCACAATTTTTTGTTTTCCGCTGACTTTATTTGGAAGATATTCTTAGGCTTATTGGCTCAGGGCTCATGGCTTAACCAAATAACACAGACTGAAGTAGTGGTGGGAGAAAATGGAGATTCCAAAATCCGGTTATCCTAATTCTTTTCAAACCGAATGAAGGTTATCCGATTTTACCAGAAGCTCCCAAAAATGGATGTTTGGGGCGCCGCACACAGTGCCTTCCACAACATTTGATGTACATGTAGATTGTTTGCAGGACTCAGTGACCACTGGACCTTTTCAAACATACACAAAAAAATGGGTGGGAACTCGGTGACTGCGGTTGTAATCAGAGACCGTGGAGCAAATTGGGGGATTGTTCCAGATAGTTTCATTAGCTTGTGTCACAAAAATGGAAGACTTTGTCTTTTTGACGTTGGTTTCCAATATCCGGTTTCCAAAATCCAAACCGAATAGTGGAATTGAAACTGAATTTTAAAAAAATCCGGATTTGAATCGCACCACTAGACTGAAACAAACTTAAGTGCATACTTTCCCAGAAGTTGAATTTTATAGTCAGATATTAACCCCATTTACCCAAACAAAAAAGATCCACTCAGTCGTTCGTTTGTGAAGCAATTTGACCCTTGCACGTGACAGCTCAGACTCGATTGTCCCTTGCTCTATGATTGTCCCTTGCTCTATGATTTTCCAAACACTTTTTGTGTCTGATTTCACCCAGTTCTTTCTGTATCTAAAATCTACCCTATTCACTGAACCATGAAGGTACCCTGGACATTAGGTAACGTTGGAGCTGTTGGACCCACTTCACGTAACCCCCTCCCCCCTGAAAAAAAAGCCTCTTGTTCCCATAGTTAAAAGTGACCTTGCCCCGAATTCGTACTCTCACCTAGTATTACAAAAATCCACCATTCACTCTTTTTTGGCAGTGTCATTACTCTTTTAGATCTCCGTCTGTATGACGTAAGGGGAAGGACTCGTTGAGCTTAATAATGTGTATGCAGACCGGGTGTGTTGGAAAGTACCTGTGGAGTGTGTAAATACATGTCATTCACGAGTTGGCCCCCGGTCACCCTCACGACAATTCACGTAGACATTTCACGTGATATCAAAGTCCATGACGGAAACAAACCCTGAGCTTTTGGCTACGGTTCACTTATCCCTGATCATTAAGTTGAAATCTTCTGAGCGGAAGTTTGAGCCCTTAGACTTGCTAATTCTGTTCTCGGAAAGGAAGCGGTTGTTGGTTTTGGGTAAGTGAACTTTTGATTTACATTTGTCAGTTGTTGCGGATTTTGGTATTTCCCATGAAGTCATGGGACACATATAGCCTTTTTTGGGGGGCTCATGTTAGTTGTGTTTCTATTTCCTGATGCTCAAATCGTGGTTCTGTAAATACAGAGGACTGTTCTCTGGGTTGTTATTGTTAATCATACAGCTGCTAGGCAGAGATAATTGTTCAGAAGAATATTTTTGTTTCTTAAGTAGGGCTGTGCATCAGAACCGGGTACCCGAGTACCCAACCGCTGATGTCAGGAACTAGTTCCAGATTATGGAATCGAGAACCCGTAACCAAATTTACATACACTGTACTTAGTAACTTCTCAGACAATGAGAAATATATGATATTTTGAATATCATTTGTGGGAGAATTTTCAAAATGAAAAATCAGGTCACGTGGAAAAACAAAACAGATTTACGTTGACGACGCTTGCAATAATGCAATTTACCCTGTAAGCTACGTGTATTTACTGGTAGCTCACTGTACACACTTGTATCTTGCTGCATTGACACACCAATGCGGTAGTATTATCGTGCGGACCTTTATGAAAAATCTGTATAGAAACTTCCGCGATTTAGATTTTGGGGTTAGGGTTTCTTTAGCAGATACCCAGGTAGACATTTTTTTCGTTCAATCGGGTACCCCATTCATGTACTGCCTGTAAATACACACCATTATTGATCAAATATAAGCATGATTCTTCTCACTCACGCATGCAATCAGTCGTCCTCAAATCCAGTGTTGGTCCGTCGCGCCGATCTCCTGTGCCCAGCCAAGTCTTATTGCTTGGTTCAACATACTACGTTGGTCATCCCAGTCTGGAGCTCTGGGCCTTAACCTGCCGGAAGCTGGGATTGACCCTTCTAGGAGTCGTTAGCGATGCTGAGGGCCTTCTTGGCTCAGAATCCTTGCTCCTGGATGAAATTTCATTGAGCTCAGAAAAAATATTCCATAGAAATTCACAAAACAGCAGGTAATGCATCCCAAACAATGTACATGATTTTTTTGGCTGAAAACCAGTTTTTCCAGTTTCATGTGCATAGCAAATTTCTGTGCTTGAACTGTTGCATGAAATGGATAGCTGTTTTTGCCAGGTTTTCTGTTCTAAACAGACTTGTGTGCCGAGTAGGAAATGGGCCTTTTGTCTTAAGAAATGTTTAAGAACCTTTTTTTTGGGGGGGGGGATTTTACAAAGTACAGGAGCACTGCTTAAAACGATTTTCTTAGTTTCTTGTCTCGCTCCCTGAAAAAAGTTTCTAGAGAGTGAGAGAAGACAATTTTTCGTGAAATAAGATTTGTTTCTAATTTCAAGACAACCACTTTTAGCAGTCAGAATACCACTAGTACACACATAGATTAAGCCAGTTCCCTATCTCGATGAAGTAGTCCAGGTCAAAGGTCATTCGGAATAAAATCGCTGACATGATGATACGCAATATTACGCGAATGCTTATTCTGCTCGTAATTTCATGTGAGCGTCGTGCGACCACCTCCTTTCGATGAGCATTCGATAATCCCAAATGACCCACGAACCATACAATTTTGTGCAAGCGCAGTTGAAATATCAAACCGATTTATTTGTATGAAGATAGTGCCATGACAAAAATATTCACTAGTTTAGGTACTGGAACATGCTAAGCGTGAGCAGTGCATTTGTGCTACTATATTACAGATTTACCGCATACGATTACAAGTGACTTCATGCATTTATAAGTTTGTCCTTGGTTTTCATGCAAGAAGTAACTTTTAAAATGGCTGTACCCGAACTTGGCATTTGAAATGCTGTATTGTTACTGTGAACAAATGATTTAGAATTAAACAGGATTTTGTTAACCTGATGAATCCCTTAGGCCAAACCATGCATTTCTGAAGTGTATTGTTATGAGGTTTGCTGCTACATGTAGACAGCCTGACTTGTATTTTCATTTGGTCCTTGAATTTTGTTCCATCCAGTGATTTGTCTGTTAGTCATGCAAGACTGTTCATGACCTTTTTTGTTATCCTGGCCATCCAAAGTTTAAATTATCTGTAATATATTCTTTGAAAAGTAGTGGGTATATACCAGTACATGTATAGGGTTATTCAACACCCCCCCCCCCCACCCCGTAGCACACCAACATGTGTAGGCACAAAGAAATACAACTGAAAAATGTCCAAAAATTCCCCCTTCGCTGCCCACCTTTTCTGATGGCACCAGCCATCAAACCACAAAATCCATTGTGACGAGTCAAGGAACTATTCCAGTTTATGAACTCAGATCCTCTGGTAATTGCGATTTCCCCCTTTTTTTAGGCTTGAAAGCAGAACCAATCAAATGGAAACCATTGTTTGCATGAAATTTGTTTTGTTCAGGTTTTTTTTTCAAGTGAGGAGATTGATCCCTAGCTTTTAACGGTGTAAAAGTTTATGGCACCGTAATGGATGCCATACGTATGTGTATTTTAAGCGTTCTGACTTCCCGTTTCTTTGTTTAGGTGAACCGCATCAAGTTGTGTTTAGCTTTCAGGAGTCGTTTGCATTTAAGCGATCATGAGTCACTATAAATTCAAAGACATGAGAATCTGTAGTGTTTCTATCAGCAGATAAGAGTTTTATTTCCCCATGTACATTGTTGGCGGTCATTCGTACACGGTGTTAACATTTGCATTTAGTTTCTGGATGAAACTGTTGCATTTTTGGCTGTTTAATGTCTACAGGTGTTGGAAGTTGTGTCAATTTATGTGAAAATGTTAGCAACAGCCGTCAGGGTTTTTTGGTTTGTGTGTGCCAACTATGCCGTGTTTCAGGTGTACTGTCTTGGACAATAAGGATGTACTTGTAAAAACTAGTAGCGGCGGTTTTGGCCTCTGAAATGGAAAGCAGTTTGTCCCGACGAAAGTCACTTTCTGCCCCCGACTTACGCTCAGGGACCTTGCAACTACGATGGTAAGTACAGGTGCTATGTGTGTGACTCAACAAGTGACTTGTCAGGGGTTCTCATTTTTACGGCCAGGTCTGGCAACTAGGAACTACGGTTCCAGGTATTATCTAGCGGACCCCCAGCCGAGAGGATCATGTGATACATTTTGCAGTCCATGCAGAAAAACGACGATGTCATCTTTGGTATCTGAGATGGACAGTCACACAGGATCAAACCGTATACCTTGGCCCTTTCTGCTTCACCACCATATCACCCCAATCGCGAAACAAAGTTACAGAAAAGCATCCAGTTTTTAAAGTTGTTGCAGTGTCTATTATATTCGGTTGGATTTTGAAGAAAAAAAATTATTCAAAGGTTTTCCTCCGTTTCATTTTCCACACAGGCCGACGTCCCCGGATCATGCAATGAGCGGAAGCACAGATGGAGGTAAGGAATAAGAGCTTAATACTAAGAAATTTGCTTACTGCTTTGGTACATTTGCTGCTAAACATGTAGAGTGCAAGCAGTTTTTGTTTCAGTCCAAATCAAAAGATTGATCCGTCACATTGTAGCGACAGTAGATGAGGGCACTGAAAACTGGTTAAGACTTATACCCCTCACGTAACTCTAAACCTTCCCCCACCCCAAACTGTAAACCTTTCCCAACCCAACATCACCACCCTTACCGCTAACTCTATCCCACCCTACCCTCCACCCTATCCCATCCTACAGACTGTATTATCGTACAGACCTTTATGAACAATCTGAACAGCAACTTCTGAGATCTGAATTTTTGGGTTGGGTTGCGTACCCAGATACAAGTGATTTTTTTTTTCAGTCGGTTCCCAGTTCTCATAAACCCTATACCACCCCAGCCACTGCCATCTTCAATTTAATCCCAAATTAGGTTTAAAAAGGAAAATGGTTTGGTTTACTAATGCCTTAGTATTGAGGAGCATTTGAGAAACATTGGTGGCTTTAAGTTCATAATCCTAGGGTATTAGTGGAATATGAATAATATAACCCATTTAACCTTCCCAAATCCTCCAGAATCCTCTTTGCAAAAAGGAGGTTTTTGCAGGATTGAGGCTGTATGGCAAAAATGTGTGGCTGATGCTGGGGGATGCGCTGTGTTAAGGTCTCGGGTCGGACCTTGTGTTGTTTATGCTCAGCCGTGCATACATTTAGGCCTAGATTATACTTGAAATCCTCCGCACTGCTCCAGGATGTCACTGGCTCTGCCTCAGCATATTGACAGTGATTGCTGGAGGATTTCGCAGGATTGAGGCAGTGGTCACCCTCCAAGGACTGTATTCAAGAAATAACGGATTATTTTGGAAGATTGAGGCTGTGTGCAATTTTTAAATGGAGGCAGTTGGAGGATTTTGCAGGATTGAGGTTGCATCCTAGCAAATATGCCTAGGGAGTTTTAATGAAACCAACCAGATCTACTTCAATGTTTTTTGATCTAGCGGTCGCTCATAACAGCAGATCTGACCGTCGATGCTCCGTAAAATTTTCGTGAAATCGGATAGCCAAAAGAGGATTACAGCTGTGTGACATTTATAGGATAACCAACACATAAAAGAAACTGAATAAATTTGTAATTACCTTTTCCCCATTTTACTGAACTAGCTGTGCTTTTTGACAGAACAGGTGATTTTTTTCCCCCCATAATATTTCCTCCCTTTAAAAAAAATTGATGTCGCTTTCGGCAGATCGATTTCCCCCTGGTGCGTTGATTTGATACGGGATCATCGATAAAAATATGATGAATGTGATTCCGTTCAGAGGCCAATAATTTAGTGATCTGTCAAAATCTGCCGTCGGCGGAAGTTGCTTTTAAACACGCATTTCCTGTAGAGTGTTAGTAAGGATGAGTTTTTTTCCTTGTCAACTAGCTAACCGGATCCGGAAGAGGAACTGTTTAAAAAAAAAAAAGAAGTAGTAGTCATCAATTGGCGTTGAGTCAGGAAACCAACTCCAGATGACTGGTTACCCGAGGGAGGCTTAGATGTGTCACAGCTGATCAAGGAAACTATTTATCAAAAATGTCACGGCACTTTAACATTAATTGCTCTGGATTCTGCACTGTCAGAAGCTTAACTTTTTACTCATTAGTTTTTCTTTTGGGAATTTAGTTGCAATTTTAAAAAACACTGCACATTTACTTTTAGTATAACAACAACTGCACTTTGCCAGTGTCCTGAAAATTTCCAAATAAAAAAAAATGATGTAAGTTTTGACAGATCAATTTGAAAACGGACAGTTTTTTCGAAACACTTCATAGTGCAATATCGGGGACAACTGAAACATCTGTTATGCCACAGTGACCATGCGCGGATGGGGGGGGGGGGTGGAGGTCAATCCCCCCCCCCCCCCAGCTCTGTCCAAAAAAAATTTAAAAATCATAGAAATTCCTTACAAGTAATGCGAACCCCATGGGTTGGGACAAATAATTCAATGACATGTGATCAACAAATCACCAATCAGATGATGAGGATTTATTCATGTGTTGTATAAAACAAACTATACACTGCCCGAATAAATCCCCGTCATCTGATTGGTGGGTGGTTGATCACATGTCATTGAATTATTTGTCCCAACCCATGGCCCAGCCGCACCGAAATAATAGAAGTTTCATTTCACGGTCGGTGGCTCTGACCAGTCAGATGACGAGGATTTATTCAGGTGTTGTATAAAACAAATAATGAATGTTTCACATTTTTGTAATGAAAAGAATAATTTCATTATTAACATTTTGAATATTCCATTCCATCAGTCACCTCATGAAATTATTCTTACCATTGCACTCATAAACATTCATTATTTGTACACTAATAGCCTTGAAAAAGACAAATAACCAAAGAAAATTTCGTCAAATGACATTTCCACCCTTTTATTTTAGACATTGGAGACGTTTCAACTTAAAACATGGAAATCTCGTCACTAGTCATGTCGTCAAAACGGCCTTGTGCATTATTTTAGTCATACCTAAATATATAAAGAAACAATGTTTCCATCAAGGCTGAATACATGTATACATGTAAGGTTTTGTTTATGTGGGAAGTTTTAGTTTCACATGTTGTGAAAGAATGTTTTTCCAGATACTTGTATAAATGATTGAGTATTTTTCTATGAATCTGCCCGTGTGTAATCAGGAATATTTATCCTGAATGACCCTTGTGTTTGCTTTTGATTTGTATAGTGAGTTTTAAAAAGGGACTCATTCAGTAGAGAATGAAACCTGCAAGACACTTTGGCCTGCCAAATGACCACAGCATTGTGTTCATATTTCCCCCCTAATTTGCTGAATTTGACCGAAAGTTTTACCAAATATTTACATTTAGACAGAAATGTATGTAAAACCTGAGTATAAGTTGGCCTATTTCAAAAGTTTCACGTTAAATTTGTTTTCAGTAAAGAGAATGGCCAAATAACACATGTATTGTACTATATACACCTGGCACAATGGGCATTGCAACACGCAATTTAATACACAAATACTGAAATTTGTATTCTTTTGGAGACATTTCTTTGGTTCTCGTGTAGTAAAGTTTTCGAGTTTGAAAGTGAAGTTTCAAATTGCTCTTATTTTAACCACAATTAATTTCCTTGGCTGAAATTTGGACTTAATATCCTTTTCTAAAACTCTGCCACTTGCAACAGATCAACCCACCTTGGAAATTCCTAGTTTTGAGTAAAATCCATATATCTATTTTGTGAAAATCTTGTGGAGACATATTTCATCTATAGAAATTGCCCTTTGGAGACGTATACAATCTTTTGTTCCCTATTGTGTGCATGTCTCCAGAGGGCACGGTGTATCAGATCACTGATGCAGGCCCACCATTCAATTGTGTGTTGCAATGCCCATTGAAAATCTCACTAAGTGCAACTTTTAGTTTTGGGGTTTCAGGAGCTTCAGCGCTCGCGCTGCTGTTATTTCTTACACAGTGTTCTCAAGTGAGGCATCATATTGAACCGGAAAGTTTCTGTGATAAAACGTGTATTTCTGATTTTTTGTTCACTGAGAAATGTACAGACAAGGATGATTATAAAAACGGGTTTCGTTTTGTGCCAGGTGTATGCATTGTAATACAAGCCTTTTATATCGTAACCATAGCGCTCACATGCGTGTCCGTCCTTCACGCAACCAAAACTTATTGTGAAAGTTGGCAATAAAACTAATGGCATTTTTACTGTTAGTGCACACAATCTTTTGTGCACGCGTTGTTTTTCTCACACAAGTAAAAAAAAAAAAAAGAAGAAGTCACCTGATCTTTTTTTATGTGTGTGAAAGGTCAGTCATCCATTTTTAATTCTGGCCAGCTATTTAGGTACTGCACGCACGTCACGTCACGGTGTTGTAAACATGCACATCGAGGGTTCCGAAAATACTGTTGGTCTTTGTTATGGCACTTTCTTTTCGTTGTAGGGGTTGCAAGCTTTGTGATATTTTCAGGCTTCACAGATTTTGAATTTGTCAATCCACATTAGTCATCAGTTTTTGAAGCAAATAACTGGGTTTAGTACGGATGTTTTACTGATCGCTGACAACTTCAAGTGTTAAAGAATCCTATATTAAAATATCCTACGCTGTCTGTCTGTCTGTCTGATGTCTGTCTTGTTTGATGTCTGTGTGTCATGTTTTTTTTTAAAGGCCTAAGCAGTGTATGCTGGTTAAATGGTATATATGCTCCGATTTCACTGTCCTCTGAAGTCATGATTGGCACGTGAAAAAAAAAGACTTAGTTGTTTTGTTTTGCATTTTTGGCAAATTTGTTTCGTTCAGACTTTGAATAGTGAAATATTACAACATTATATCTAGTGAAACTCTATCTATTACAACATTATATCTAGTAAAACTCTCCAAGCATAACGTTGACAATGCAAAAAGTGGCCATATTGCTTCACCAAGGCTTACCACGCCCACTTGGGGTCACCATGCAAATTCGGGTCAAAGTAATACATGTGTACATGTATAAGTACATAACATGGAAATTGGTGCGTGTTGCGCGTATTGCCCGATGTCGTGCAGAACCAGGGAATAAAGTGTTCAAAACCTGCCAGTGTTTTATCAGCTGTTTAAAGCCACTCATGCGACGGGCTTTTTACCAATAGGAATGGCTAAACTGTCTCAGGTATTTCTGAAATAAATATAAATGGTTGTGTTATTATTATTATCATTATTAATCATTTCTGGTAATGAAACCAACGATTCTTCAAAAGCGCCCTAGGCACTATAGCTCGCAAGCCTATAGAAACCTGTGGAAAGAAGACAATGAGAAGAAGTTACAGTTTTAGAGGTGGGAGGAAAGGCCCAGAAGAATATTCTGGGGAAAACCCACAGAATCAGGCAGGGACTGAAAACCCCGGCAATCCACATATTGTCCCAGGCAGGATTCGAACCCAGGTCACAGCGGTGGTAGGCGAGGAAAGTACCGCTACGCCTACCTGATTCTGTTCCTTTCTGTTTCTGCTCATCAGGTTCAGGGGGAACCCCAGAGACGAAGAGGGGCCGTTCCCTAAAGAAGAACCTCAAGGCCCTAATGAGGACCCCAAGGAAACAGAAAGGGGAGGTACCCGCCCCCAACCAAGTCTCTGTCCAAGGTAAGAAACTTATCCCGATTGAAACTGATCTCATAGTCTGGTACCCTGACCTGACAATTCCCCAACGCCCAGACGTCTGAATTGTAGGTCAGGCAACCGCCACCGGTCTAAAAAATATACACCACGGCCCTTTTTTTTTCAAAGCTTGGCTTCGTTGTCAGTTTGGCTTTATCATTAAAAGCTTTTAATGTTCCGATCATTTTTTTTTTAAATCACTTGCTTCATATATCATACAGTTTGATATTTCTGGAAGAAAATATTGACTAATGGTGACCTGAAAGTCAGGGACCGAAACAGCAGGCGAAGCCGAAATGGAGACCACACCGAGTTTTGGAATATCCCGGTAACCGTCGTCAGAGTCAAAATAGTACATGACGCACCAGAAATAGCTTCCCAGAAAACTGTTTTGAGTAAAAAAAAAATTGAAAAGTTTGCAGCACTTTTACTTGTACAATGCCTCAGTAAAAACCAAGTTCACAGAGTTCAAGCAAAGCCTCTTGATAATTCCCACTTTCAAGGGATACAGCTCTTTCCTTTTGTTTCAGGGTCGAAATTTAGTCTGCCTTTTTTACTTCCCTTTTTTGGGGGGGTTGGGGGGCAGCTGTAAAAAAGAAGAAAGAAAAAAGAAGCTCAAATCAATACCACTCAGTCCCGCTACTGTCTTGAACGACAATTAACCTCCAATTGACCCAAAACGCAGCATCGACTGTACACCCCCGTGAATCTCATTCACCTCATGAAACCAACCATCCAATAGATTTTCCCAATCCTCTCAATGGACAGCAGGGGAGCCACTCACTCAAAACTGAATCGACCAGTTCTCCCCCTCTTTTTTTTTTGGTTAAAAACCAAGTAAAAAAGAAAATCATTAATCGCACTTTGTCTCGAATGGAATCTCCTAAAAGTATGCATTCCATTCAAGGACTTCAACTCAAGAATTTGGAGCAATCCGAACCTCAAATTTTTTTTCTTATTCGGTTCCCTCCTCCGTAAAAATTCCTAAAACAGTTTCATGAATGACTCTCAAACGCAGCATTCGTGCCGTCAGTGAAAGCCAGGATTCTGGGGCCACCCGATATATCCCCAACGGGTATTGATTTATTGTTTTATTGAACCGCTCTGATTTCCTGAGCGGCAAACGATGCTTTGGCAGTATCACGTAGCCGGGCAGGACGACGAGAAAAAAAAATCTTTCGTCTGATGATTTTTTTTTTTAAGTCAAGCTTGGTACCACATTAAAAAGTGGTAAAGACAGAGGCTTACATGTACAATTTGTACAAGGGAGGAAGGCTAGGTTTTTGGTCATTAATCAAACACTGTTTGACATAAGGTGTCACAGCCATGTTGTTAATTAAGGTAAGTTTGTCTTATTAGTCTTATGTGTTGGTTGGGATGAGTTATGGGCACTGTTCAGCATGGAATCATGTGCACCCAGCTTTCGTTAGACATGCATGTAACATTGATGGGAGAGGAAATGGGGTGGGGGGATTGCAAACCTCATAATTCAAGATTTCTAATCGAGCCTATCACAAGTCAAGCACACGAAGTCAATCAAAGTTCGTTCACAAATAAATCACAAGTCATTCACAAGTCAGTCACCAGTCAATCATCAGTTAATCATAAGTCAATCACAAGTCAATTACAGGCTAATCACAAGTTAATCACAAGTCAATCACAAGTCAAATCACAAGTCAATCATAAGTCAATCACAAGTCAATCACAAGTCAATCACAAGTCAATCACAAGTCAATCACAAGTCAATCACAAGTCAATCACAAGTCAATCACAAGTCAATCACAAGTCAAATCGCAAGTCAATCGCAAGTCAATCACAAGTCAAATCACAAGTCAATCACAAGTCAATCACAAGTCAATCACCAGTCAATCACCTGTCAATCACAAATCAATCACAAGTCAATCACAAGTCAATCACAAGTTAATCACAAGTCAATCACAAGTCAATCACAAGTCAATCACAAGTCAAATCACAAACCAGTGAAGAATAAATGAGACGTAATGACTCGTGGAGAATAGACCTTATTCACGCGGGAGCCATTTTTGATCCTGTTCCCCGAATATATAGTATAAATTATAAACTGTTGAATGATGTGGTGCCAGACTATTTATGCGTTCCAAGCCTCACTTTCATTTTTTTTTTTATTTCTTAAAACATTTGTATGCTTAATCACAAATTTTAAATTATTCATCAGAGCAGACTGGTATTAATGTGTAATTGACTTTATGTCATTGTTTTCATTTCTATTTGCAAATTCCAAAACTGAAGATTTTACCTCGCTTTCAATTCAAAATGGCCGAGTCATGAAGAATGCCTATTGGTGACTGACTCACAAATATTGTTATGCACACAGGCCAACAGACTCCACAATGGCGTGCAGCGGATAGCAAACTGCCCCAGGAGGAAATCATGCAGATCTTCGACGAGGTCAAACAGGGCAAATCCACCATAGAAGAAGCCTGGGCCAAGGTGGGTTTAGCTCTCTTGTGGTACAATTTTTTTTTTGTAGAGAGTGTAAAACGTGATGAAATGTATTTTCTGTGTAGCTCCCTCGCTTAATCATGTTCACGCAGATTAAGTTTTTCAAATGACGTGCTGTATGGTATTTTGGTTGGAATTGATGGGAATATGTATACATGGAGTTTGCTTTTTGCGCAGTGAGACCAGCTGTGAGATTAAAAAGCAGCTTCATACTCAGTAGGAAGTGTGGCCTGGCGGTTAGGGTTCGTGACTCATGATCAGAGGGTCAGGGGTTTGAATCCAGCTGCTGGCCATACGTTGTGTCCTTTGGCAAGCCACTTCACCCCCACTTCGTGACTCATGATCAGAGGGTCAGGGGTTTGAATCCAGCTGCTGGCCATACGTTGTGTCCTTGGGCAAGCCACTTCACCCCCACTTGCCTCTCTCCACCCAGGAGTATAAAACGGTACCGGCATTAGCTGGCGAGTAACCTGCGATGGACTGGCATCCCATCCGGGGCAATAGAAATATTCTCGGTGGTTTCATGGCACTGAAACCGGAGATAAACGCCGGCCTGATGGGCCAAATTGGCTCGGGACAGACTTAACTTTACTTCATACTCAGCTGGAAAAGCGAGCACGGATAATCTGTGAAGTCACGGCAAGTATTTGCGATGCGAATTCGCAAATGCTGAACACATTTCAATTCTGGCGAGTTTTGCAGCGAACGTTTTCGTGACGTCAAATGTGCTTCACCTTCGCAATTGTGTGAAGTATTGACCGGCCTTTATGCTACATCCAAATCTTATCCTGTGTGGAGCCAATAGAGCCCACAAGAGACTCCACTGTAGCCCTGGAAACCTGTTTCAGACATGATTGATGACAGATTTTTCTCTTTGCTCTCATAAGAAGGTTGTGAACTACAAGTACCTAAATTTACTTGTACATGTACTAGTAATTAACATGTACCTGCCATTTTTTTTGCCCACAATTTGCATTCACTCTCGTGCTTTTTAAGGTAGCAGCAATTCAAGAAAACCATCAAGAGATGTGCAAAGTTATTTATCTCCACAACTTAACCAAGACCTTTTTTGCATTTCGTTTATTATTATGCTTCAAAGATTTCCTCCCTTTTTTTTTTTACTAGTCTGTGCTGTGGTAATGCCACCATCCTCAGAACCAGACTGAGTGACTTGATAAGTGAATTGTAGGGAGTCTGTCAATTTCAATCAAGTCGACCACTTTGGCCCATTACCTGGCCAATGCTTCCCTCCGATAGCTTGGTCTCGCGCGTTACGAACTCCATCGCTTCACCAAAATGCATCATTTGCCTTGTCATGTCAGATTACCAATTAGTGTTCCGTTACACCACCAAGGGGGCATCACCGGTTCCCCGCAAGTGCATGTAGCTAGAGAGCTAATGCTCAAGTATTTTTTTTTTTCTTTTAATTTTTTTTTTCTCTCTGCGTGTGTCCGCTTTATCCACCCCTGGCGCGTCGTGGCATAACCGGCAAAGATCAGTCCGATCTGCTTTGCCGCATCCGTTTCCCCATTTCGGAAGGAACACTTCAGTGTCTTAATTCTCCAAAGCCCTCCACTAGCCGCGGAGCGCGATGCTTTGAGTATGAACGCTCGCAGCTCCAAGTCATAAAAGAGAAAAGCAAACCGGCAAAGATGCGCCCGAGATGAGTACCCGGGAAGGAAAAAAAAAGCGGGAGTCACCAGAGGGCTGAAAGTTGAGCCCCTGAAACTCAATGGTGCGTAGCCTTTCCATTGTCCGCCCCTTCCATTCCATACCCTTTCAGCGGCAATATGGCAGCAATTTAGGGACATTTTCGGAGAGATAATGCATTGGCTCTCGGATTTCCAGCTCACGTTTCGGGGCTCTCTAATAAACACCGTCCCGTCTCGGATTTAATTTTGGGCCGGGGAACAATGGAGTGGGGGAACGGCCACATCAGTCGGGGTCGCAGGAAAAACAAAGTGGCTCTTCTGGTTTTGCGACGGCAAGGGAATCCAGATTTAGAGGCCGGGAGACGGAGAACTCAGCGACTGTCAAGAGAGGAGGGTGAGAGTAAGAGAGGTGAAAACACATGAAAGGGGTGATGCCAGAGTGCGCAACTTAGACTTAATGTGATAAAAACTGGAAAATTAGAATTGATTTTTTTTTTTTATTGCGGGGAGTGAAAAAAAGCCCACCTCCCAAAGTGCATCCTGCATGGCGGATGTACTGTTCAGGGTGCAATCCCCTATCGAGCTGACAAAATTTTAATGAAGAAGAGGAAAAAGAACGAACATTAAGATTGGAAGAATGTGCCGGGCCAGTGTAAACAACCGACTCGGGTTCATGACACAATGTGGTTGGGAGAGAAGGGAGGCGTATCATGCACCTAGCGTGCACTATTCATGAATAGCGGCGTTTTGCATTTCGGAAAAATGATACACGCTTGTGTCCAACACAAACGGCAATGACCCAACCAGACGAGTGAGGCCAATCGCTTTTATGTATATAAATTTCTCATTCTTGTGCAAGGAGAGTAAGACTTTCGTTGCAAGCCATTGAATTTTTTATACCGGTGGAAGGTTTTGTACTTGAGCTAAGTACATGTAATACAAGTCGCCAAGTTAGCCTAAGGATATTGTGAAATTTGATCTTCATCAATTATGAATAATTTCAGTCCTAATCCTCATCTATTTTATATAGTGATGCAGAGTTCAAAAATGAAAGGTGATATTACATATAGCCTCAAGGAACCAAAAACTTTATAAACAACTTTCCCCCGAAACCACCCTCCATTTATTCAGCTGTTTGTCATCTGCAAAGCAACTCATGTAGTAATTAGTTTGTCACCTCACTTTCATCTAATTACATTTTGAACTTTATATACAACATTTGCTTTTGCCCTTATTTTCAAAAATGGATTGATTTAGGGGTTAGTATTTTTACAGCAAATATTGTTAGAGTCACCTGTTCAAAGTTTTGTGTTCATAGATGCTGAAAAAACATAGGAAAAAAATGTTGTTCTTATAGTCTGGTTCCCTGACCCTATTTTAGACAAAACGGGGTAATTTTATAGACGTCGGGGAATTATCAGGTCAAGGAACCATCATAGCTGGCTTGCACCCTTTCACGGATGTGTAACCAATTGCAAACAAAATGTGGACTAACTACATTTGGTAAATGGGGGGCATTATTTGAAAAAAAAATCATTTGATACAAAAATTCCACTTTCTTGAGAATGACAGCACACAAGGTGCCGTGATTTCACAGGATGCTTGAGACTATTATTCACTTACAGTCAAATAAGATATTTCATAATAATTTGGTAGTTTTGTTGTTTGATGTTTGTAAATGTTGTAGGCCTATATGTTTTAAGACTCCGAAAGCTACATGGAGCTGACTTTCTTTTGACAGGGCTGCCAACTTCGAGTAAGAGCTGAGAGTGAGAATTTGGCGATGGCGCTTGAGCAGAATTAATCATGCTAATGTGAGTGCGAAGCCGTAACGTCGTGGGTTTGGGGCCCGCTTAAGGGCCCTGAGAAAGTATGTTTTCTAGATGCTCTGTGGTGCGATCTGAGGCAGTTTCTGACCACTTTAACCATTTTTTTTAAGCAAAAGATCATCATTTAAACATCATATTTGAGTTTTATTTATTAATTTTTTTAGCGTGAGAAATCCCATGTGAGCATGAGAACAACCTGAAATGTGTGAGTCTCACGCTCAATGCGTGAGAGTTAGCAGCCCTGCCTTTTATTCCCGGCGACATGTTTGTGTGAGGGCTAAGTCTATGTTCCACCTTCCAAAATAACAGGATAATCTTTGTTCTCAAATTCCCTGCATCCACTGGTTTTGAACCAAGATCTTTTTATATTACTTCCTCTGACATATGTACCGGCTGTTCCTCACCCCTCCCCTTGACTTCATTTCAAACTTGGACATCGATAGCCACCAGTAGAGAAGCTCAGAATTTTTGCGAGTTGGAGCGAACACAGAACTGAATTTGACTTTCTTCTTCTCCGCTCAACCCGTTTTCCATATTCTGTCCCAGCATTTCCGCTAATTCCATATCCTAGGGGTACAAAAGACTAAATGGCAGGCCCTGCTGTATAAATTTGAAATCAGAATTAGACATCCCGACCCTGGGTCAGCACCCCTTCCCTTCCCTTCCCCTCCCCCCAGGGGAAGTGTGAGAAACCATGCATTTCCATCTCGTCGGCACATAGACTGAAAGGTCACTGGGCCAGGGGCCCAATGTCATGTCGGATCTCTGTCACGGAGGCGAGAATTTGTTTCGGGGGATGTTCGTTCGTTCCCCCAGTCACTACAAATTTGTAATGAAAAAAAATGAAATGCCTTGGAGTGAAGCGACGGGGAAAAAATCCACAAAGAGACACCTTTGGCCTGAATTGAAATATGACTTTTTTTTCCTTCCCATAAATGCGGTGTGCTACAGTGGAAATTATTGTTTTAATGAAATATTCATGATTGCAACTTCCCCACTCCCCTCAAATTTGGGAGGAAGAGTCGAAGCCTGTTAGACAAAGCCAAAGTTTCGAAAACACCCATTTTTTTTTTCATTGGCTGATACTGCTATGACTAATGAAGTGTCATCTGAGTGCAGACTCCAGAAAGAACCTGAACAGTTTGCAAATTTCCACAGAAAAACGTGACAAGAAAAAAGAAAAAAAAAGATCTTTGTAGCAGTTTGGCGTGTTTGATTTGCCAAACCGCCCGAGGCGATTTGTAGTCCAAGATGCAGCCGTAATAATACCATCTTCTTTCATTAATCTCTCCCTGTTGCAACCAATCTTTTCACCTCTGATGACCCTGTGTTTGGATAAATAACAGGCCAAGCCGTAACCGATACCTCGCGTTCTCTTGGGTATCTCACTGGGACAAAAACAGAAAGAGACAGGGACACTCTATCGACATTACCCACAAAGAAGCGTTCATCCCTTTCCCAGGAAAAGGAAAAATATGTAAAAGCACCCTGGATTAAAGTCTTCACTTTCAGATGAAAGAGAAACAGTTTCTATTGTACCTAAAAAATAGACTCTGCGTGCGAAAACAGTATCTTCTGATAGTCTAGCTAGTATCATTCTCATCCGAATTTGACAAATGGAAAGTCTTTTTGTTGTTGTTACGGAACAAAATAAGAGCTTTTCTCTAGAGACAGAGTGGAGTGGCGAAGTCATCACATTGAAAAAACAACCAACACTTCTTTTTTTTCTTTCTTTTTGGCAGTGGTGTATGACAAAAGTGTCTGTCTAATGTGCATTCAAGACCCGTTTTGAAATGTGGCAAATTCATGACGGAAATGAATGGCTGCAAAAATAGATTCACTGCTTAATGCTTTTCCCAAAATTGGACTTCAATTTTGTTTAAGGAGTGGGCACATGTCTTTGTTCTGACTGGAATTCAACCGATATTTTTTACCTTATAAGGAATTTTGTTTGCCTTTTTTCTTGTCCACCTTTCTTCCTTTCTTCCAGTTTTTTCCCATTTTGTTTATTTTCAACCTTAAAATTCCTCCGTTAGATAAATTAACTTTAAACAAGTTTAAAAGAATTTTAAGAAAACGCGACAACTTCATAAAGGTGAATCATTCTATTTTTGCCAACTATTTATAAATTACTTCTTCAGTGCCAAAATATTGACTCAAAAACATTCAGAGAATTGATATGAGTTGACAATCCTCAATCAATTGGGGGGGGGGGGGGTTATTAATTTTTTTCTGGTTTTTGTTTCAGTTATCTTCGGTGTGAAATTACAAGCCTCCATTGTGCACCTGAGAAAACAACTAAACCCAAGTTGAACAAAAATGATTCCGATTGCCTTTTTTGCTCAACATTTCTGTTCTTCCCCGGATTGAAAACCATGACTTTTCCAGATTTGCAATCGCTCAAGTCGAAAAAGAAATACCTAACCTACACAGCCTGACCTTTTGGTTGCAAGTAATCAATGGGAAATACCCTGCAGCTGTGGGTTGCTATGGTGGGTATACCGGTATCCTGTAATGGGAACCGGTCTCTCAGAGACGTAGAAAAAATCCCTGGAGAATTTGACACTTCCACGTAAAACTCTGTGCTGTGCCGATAACAGTGTGCATATATACATGTAGATACTGAGAAATAATTTTAACAGGGGTTTAAAACTTTATAGTTTAGGCAGTGTTCAACTTTAGGCAATGTTCAATATTTTTTATGATTTTTCTGTGGAATATTGATTAAGACATCTTCATTGATTAAGATATACATGTAAGCACATTTTGCTTTCTTCAAGTCATAGGTAGGGTAAGAGTGGGTATTTTTGACCGAGGGGGGGGGGGGGGATCCGACCACTTGCTATTAAGCAAAAACCTTGAGTCGCACTTAGGGATTGATTATATGCTGCAAACAAAGTAGGGTAAAAGCACTTTGTTAATAGCAAGTGGTTGGATTCTCCCCAGCTCACTGCAGGATTTTACACAGCTTACATAACACAGCACTGAAATTCGTTAAGGCAAAGAACTTGGTCACAGTGTCCAAAAATGTTGTTGTGATCAACTGATAATGTTGTAGTGATGTGTGACTGCAATTAAATGAAATTCATATGGCTTTAGACCAAGGATAAGGAGTATCTGCACAATCAAAAAGTTTCTAAATTGACTTCATGGTTTTGTAGTTATTTCAAAAATAGTCAGACGGATTTTTTTGGGGGGACATACTGTATAGTGCACTCTATAGGTCATGCACAGAGCTCATATATAAGTCTGTTGTAAAGAGTTATGAATAACAAATGTATTCAGTAAAATTCTTTTCCCAAGTGTTACTTTTGTGTGCTCTGACAAGGTTCCCCCCTTTTCAGCAGTTGGCACAAATCTCGCGCTTTTTCTAGGTCAGTCAATACAGGTAGCTTTGCAGTTGATGAAAAGAAAAACCAACGCCGGTTTTGTTACGTTCTGTACCAAACAAAAAAAAAGGACTGCGGTTGGGTTACCTAACAGTGCACGAATGTCAAAGATACAGGGATGATACCGTTGTTGGCTTGCTCTTTTCACAAATCGTTCGGCTGATTTTTTTTTTCTTTCACGTCTTCTGCTCGTGCGTTTTCCCCTCCGTGTCGCAGTCTCGTGTTCCATTATTAATTAACCGTGCAGAAACTGATAGCGCGTACTGTGTGATGTCCACACGACAGGTGGGCGAGTCGTTGACAGGTGTTGCATGAATGTAGGATAGGGGAAGTAGGATCTCATAGAACTGGGATCTTTTTCTCTTTTAAACTCCTGATTTCGTTCTTTTTCTCCCCGGCTTTTTCCGTCGACTGCTTTTCCCCGTCGACTGCTTTCCCCCGTTGATACAAAATGAACTGCCTGTGGGATCGCAAACTGGGAAATAGACACCGGTGTTTAAAATTCCAAAAGACGAAGAATTGGGGAAAAAAAACTAGAGCAGAGAGAATGAGAAATGTATTGGGATGATTGGTTAGTGCTGACGGCGCGATTTGAACTTGTTGGCGCGTGTGTGTCTACGTGTTTTGGGGGGAAGATACGATGGATAAATGTTTGACCTGGTTAGGGCTTTGCTAATGTGAGAGGCGTTCTTCGCTCCCCTTGCTTTTTGCCGTTCTGGGGGTAATCTAGCCGTCTTGCCGTCGGACATCTATCTTCTCAGAGCTTATGCCTCCGTGATTGAATCCCATTGTGATTGCAGATGAAAAGATTTCTTTCTTTCCGCCCCTTCCCACCCAGCGGAGATAAAGTAGGCTTTAAGAGGAGCGGTAGCGCCAAATTGAAAAACGTCAATGTCAACATCAATGCTATGGAAGAAAGCCAATTTGAATCCCCCCCCCCCAAAAAAAAATTCGCTATTGCTCTAAAAGAAAGGATGAGACATGTTTTGTCTTTACACGTGTGCAAGAATCAACGTCTTCATCTATTAGGGAGTAGAGGGAAGAAGAAAGGTTCATTTTGTGTGTGGAGATGGAGAATGGTTGATCTTACAAAGAGAAAGAGTTTGGTGGAGTGTAGTTTAGGGGAAGGCACAGCCGAATTCAAGTGAAATTCAAGTGGGGTGCTGTGGTCCAATGGTTACGGTGTTCGACTTGTGTGCCGTGGTACATGGGTTCGAATCCTGACGGGGAACATGGTGCTTGTGTGCTTGGGCAAGGCACTTTACTACAACTGCCTCTCTCTACTCAGGTGTAGTAAATGGGTACCTGGTTGGAAGATATTCAAACAAAGAGAGAAAGAATAAAACATTAAAGAAAGCGAAACTTCCCTCACCCCAAATCTATTACATTCCTAACAAATGACAACTGAGAATGTGGACAGATTGAAAAATTGGCACTTATTTTGAATTGGCCATAATTCAGTAAATATTTACCCGATTGGCAAGAGGTTTTCGTTGGTAAAAAGCTAATGAACTGTACTCTCAATTATATGTTTGATATTAATGTTTCAAAATGTCTGCTATGTTTGTTTACAACTTTTTTACATGGTTTTCAGTTCAGCGCTTTTGCGCGCATGTGTAAACATGTTTCTGGTTATCAGTTTGACGTCACAAACATGTTTCTGGTCACGGTCACGAAAACACGCCCCAGACTAGCTGTTGTTCCAACAAGTTAATTGTCACGCAGCAAACTAATGTAGAAAAATGCATGATGCTAGTTTGCACACATTTGATTTATGTACCCAAACTTCTTTGGTTTTAGAAATTGCATGGCTACCCCCATACCAACCACAATTCCTGCACTCGCTACCCTGTCCCAAATAGTGAATAGTTGTCCGCTGCTTTATTCGAGCATGTCAATTATTTGATTTGATTTGATTTGCACTTTTTCTTTATGCATTTACGTTTTTGCAGGTTGACGAGAGAGAAGCCGAACTCCTTAAACAACAGAATACCCCTGATCCCATTCCACAATCCCCTCCCCTAGACTGGGTGAGTGGCACGTCTACATATACAAATATGGCATGGTTTGAGGGTGGATAGTCGATATTACCTCCCCGAGGTATTGCGAGTTGACAAACTAGTTCCTGAGGTGAAGCCGAGGGAACTAGTTTGTCAAATTCTAATACTGAGGGGAGCTAATATCGACTATTCACTCGAACTAAACCATGTTATATTTGTTTTACTATACCTCATACATATTCAGTTGCCAACTTTTCCCGTTGCTGTATGCACCTCCTGGGCAGAAAATCTTTGGAGAAACTCGTCCAGCTAACCAGAAGAATGTTGCTCAACCTCAGAAAAGTTCTTTTGCAAAACAGTAAACTCCTAAAGAGATTATCAGCGTTGTGCACAACTTTTTTTTTAGTAGAGGAGGCATCTCTATTGTCCACAGTATTCTCCAGTTCGGCATAATTCGGGCGATTCACAATGCAGTGCGCCACCAAGAGTTTGCCATGGAGAGTCCATCTTTCAAGTTTAAGGTCGACAAAACATGGCCCATTTGAATGAGTGTCAGTAGACAACTTGAGCTTATTTGTTATAGACTGGGGCATAGCGTCCTGCCGCCTTGCAAAAAACACCATATTGATAAAAAGACAAGAAAAGGGCAAACAGATACTCAAATCATACGCTTACGAAACTACTAACCGGAAAAACGAACAATTTCAAATGTCCTGCGCTGCGAATTTGTCGACCATCTCCCACAATGCACTGGGAAAAATGAACTCTCCGTGGCAAACTCTTGGTGGCGCACTACATTGTGAATCGCCCGAATTGAGCTCGGGAAAACGCTAATTAACATTTACATGTATGTGTGCCGCCATCTTTGCATGTGTAGCTATTGCGGGAAACGGGGTGCGTACTACACCTGTGCGACAGTTCCACAATTGCTTTGTAAAGTGCATGCACATTAGACTGTCGCATGGATAGCGTGTGCGATAGACCACTACGCATGCGTATTTACCCGTTGCGTGAATACTTGCGCGCTTGGTAAACAGCAAAAATAGCATCTGGCACGTGATGGTGAATGGACCAGTGAGAATTGGGCTCTTGATTATGAATATGTATGATGCACTTCTAATAACCATGAATAATGCATGAGGAGCATGTACAATGCAATGTCTAAGGAAATGAATAATGCATAGACTGTCTCCTTCCGTCACCAAAAGCAAATTTCTTTTTATGTTTTGCTGGTGCATGGCTTAAGCTTAAAATTTGTTGTCGCAATTGTTTTCGTATTGCAATGTTTTTTTCTTGTTGAATCTTCTCTGAGATTTACTCAGAATTTGGGCACTTGCAGTGATGGCGTTATGGCGGGAGGCCATTTGCCCCCCCCCCCCCCCCCAATGTTTCTTTGCCTTGTATTTATACGGAAAAAGTGCCTTCATTTATATTTTTGGTGTCTTCAATATTTTGTGGGGGGTTGGAAATAAAAGTATGGTAGGTTCCATTTGTGCCTCTAATGCTGCAAAGAAAAACCTGAACTCTAATCCGGCCACTTAAAATTCCTCCAATTTCAATATAATTTTGCACACCCCCTAGGGAGTTAAGTGTTTTCAAAGGGGAAACTAAAAATGGACAACACATATGTAATGTTATTTTCCTGGTTCTAATTACAATTGACCTATTGCAGAAGAATTTTGTTAGAATCGCATCAACGCAGCTTGTGAAATATTGTCCAATTACATGATGTACAAAATGGAAACAGAACGCACAATCAGAGACAAACAAAAGTTAGCGTACAAAAACTACATAGGGTTGTCTAAGGGGCGTGGCGAACTCGCAAACGGCGATAGGTCAATTACACCCATGCACCCATCCAGTTGTTTTCAAACCCCACCCCCTTCCCCCAAAGAATAAGTAGTAACTTTATGATGATGTTCTTCTTTTTTTTTCATCAGAGTCCGAGGCAAGTGCAGAGGACGACAAAACCGATCAATCTTGGTAGCAGTGCTGAAGTCAGCCCGGTTACGCCCTCTGGTTAGTTTGACCTGTTTAATGTGCCGGAATGCGGTGTTTTTAGCAGCGGCACACCTCGTTAATGGATCATGATTATTTAGCTAGTTCGATGTTTATAAACAAAGACGTCACACCTTTGCAATCACTCAGTCCTGCCTGTGCATTAAAGCATTTCAAAGAACGACTTTCGTTGAGCTGCCACAGTGGCCTAGTGGATAGTGGACTGAACTATGGATCGCAAGCTCTGTGGTTCGAACCCATGTCCATTTTCATCAAATATTTTTGTTGGTTAGGATAAGTTTAATTGAAGGGAAAACTCTACGAGAACCTCAGCATCTTCCATCCACACAGCGTTATAAATTATTATTATGAATCATTTCTGGTAATGAAACCAAGGATTCCTCAAAAGGGCCCTAGGCACTGTAGCTCGTAAGCCTGAAGAAACCTGTGGAGAGAAGACAATGAGAAGAACTTACAGTTTTAGAGGTGGGAGGAAAAGCCCAGAAGAATATTCTGGGGAAAACCCACGGAATCAGGCAGGGACTGAAAACCCAATCCACATATTGGCCCAGGCGGGATTCGAACCCGGGTCACAGCGGTGGAAGGCGAGGAAAGTACCGCTATGCCAATATATATTCATGTTACGGTGCGTGATGTGATTGGTTAAAATACTATGTATACTGCAAAACAAAACAAAAAACCTGCGAAACCGGCTAGTTTTTCTGGCCATGTATTTTGTACATTATATTGTCCATGTGATTTTTATTGATTCGCAGGGATCATTAAAATAAATGATAATGTAATGAAGATCAGGTGCTAATAGGTTTATAAGGTCATTTTGAGCAATCAGTTTTGTCCCTAAGTTAGGCTAGTGGAGCTCGCCAGTCCTTTGTTGGCCATTCAATGTGGCCAGTGAATCTGTCCACTAAGTTTGACCGATCGCTTTGGCCAGTCTTTTTAACCAGCCAGTTTTGCCAGTTAGTGAGGCAAGTAATTTTGGCCACTTAGTTTGGCCAGTTTAGTTTGACAAGTAAATTTTGTCAGAATTTTTGTCCAGTCAGTTCTAAACAAAATCAAGCCAGAAGCAAGTTAACCAGTTCATGCCGGGATTATTTTGCCAAGAACGGAACGAGGCGTGGGATTACTTTCACTCGACCTCATGCCAGGCTGGTTCAAGCCATCACCCTCGGGCAGCACACTCATATTTCTGGCCTCGCTCGCTGCGAGCGGGTCACTGACAGTTATTTCCGGTCTCGCTCCATGTGTGTTTATCTGTCATCCGTTCCGAATACACCGCAAAACTTTTGCGTGTATACAGCCTTCGGCGCGAACTGGTTAAATGGATCTTCCACATTTGGCCATTTACAGAGAGTTTTCAGGTGGTTTTTGGCGTTACAGGGAATAACGGGCAGGGCGGTTTGGGGCGGTACAGTGCAGTTGAGTACCAGAGAGTCACAAGCCAACATTCTGCACTTTCTGTTTATTTGCAGACACTGACGAATCGGCGAGAGGGGCAACAGCCTCGGACGTAAGTCCCCACACCTACGATGAGACCCCAGATGCATTCCTTCACGACAACGCCTCAGCAACTGATGTCTTTGACAGCGATGAGGAGGACAATGGCGGCATTGGTTTCCAGCAGTCGCTGAACGAGGCAGGTTTGATTTACAGGAACCCTCTGCAGCAGTCGCTGAACGAGGCAGGTTTGATTTACAGGAACCCTCACGCCCAGCTGGCCAGCCATTCAGAGGAGGAGGTAGGCAGAGAGGATAGCGCCCTCTCACCCGCGGGGCCAGACACGGAGACCTCGTCGGAGAGCACTAACAACAGGCATGGCAGCACGCCAGCTTTGCCTGGTGACCAAGATTACCTGGAGCCGAGTCCGGTTGTCAATCCAAAGAGAGGCCGGTCAGTAAGCACTCCGGCAGTTCACGTCAGTGTAAGTTGAAAACCATAACTCCGCCTATCTTGTGGCTGTCACCACTTTTCGCACCACCATTGCTTCAGACTTTTAGAAGATAAATCATTCAGATTTTCATGAGCCATTTCAAATTTTATTCAAATTACAAGCTCCTGAATAGATAAATTAATAAATAAATAAAGTAGAAAGAATGAAAAAAAGAAGAAATTTTGGGGACAAAATGTCTTTTCACCGGTAACTGGCCAAATCAGCTAATGGCAATACAACTGGGGACTGGTTCTCTGTAGACTTGTCCTTTTTGGGGGGCCTGATTTCGATTTTCTAGATATCCCAGACCTCATCAAAGACCTGGGCCCAATTTCACCGCACTGCTAAGCAAAAAAAAATAATTGCTTAGCACAAAAAAAGTCTGGCTTATAAAAGCAGTTTACCAGCCAAAACTCCACGTGATTTTCAAGCTATAGCAAACAACAGCTCAATACTCATCAAAAGCAATATACATCACATGGAGTTTTGGCTGGTAATAAACCTGCTTTTATAAGCCAGATTTTTTTGTGCTAAGCAAATTTTGGTGCTTAGCAGCGCCGTGAAATTGGCCCCTGTTTGCAATGCCTTCTTGAAGTTGTCCCCCTGCTGTGAATGTTCAAATGCAGCCCCCAGTGTACAGGCATGCAACTTTTTTCGGATCAGCTGATTTCCTCTTTTTTGACTTCCCATGTGTGCCATTGAATATAGAAAAACACTGTATAAAGTCTTGGAAAGATTTGAATTTCCTCTTTTTTTTGTGAGTTCCCAGTTGCATGCCTGAGTGTAGTGACCATGGTGTAGTTTTCTGGTGACTTGTGTGTGTGTGTGTAATTGTTGCTTTACATCAGTTTTTGTATTAGCTTTGCCTGTTCCTGTGTGATCCCAAATCTTGTCCATATTTTGATGTGGTTGTGGTTTTATTTCCAGCTTTCGCTTGGGTATTTCGCTGGAAGTTATGGCTCGCTTGTGAAAAAAAGAAAAGTAAGAAGCACATTTCGGCTTGCCAAATATGCCATTTTCCTGTTGAGTCTTATCATTTCTCCGACATTTTGCGCTCTCGCTGCATGACTTTTCCTGTTAGATCTGAGATGCTGCCATTTGTTTGTTTGTCTGCATGGCTGTTTGTTTGAGGCATAGTTCTTGTACCAGAATTTCTGAATGCTTTATAATCCTCCGAAAATTGTGTATACTAAAAAGTAATTTGAGCCATATTCAAGAATTTACTAATTTTTTGTCCATTAAAAAAACAAAGGTATTGCCTGTGTGTGTGTATAACATATATATAACGGTATCTATACAAAGTTCTGCAAATCTGCCTGTTGTTGCATCTGCATGTTGTTGTTATACCCCTGGGACTGTTTGTTTGTCTCACTGTTTGCATGTCTGTGTTTGCATGCCTCTCTGTCCATGTTAACCCGTCCTCGAAAAAACTGAACAGAATGGCCCTTTTTCTGCGTTTACGCCAGGTTATTTTTGAAGTCTGAGCAAGGTCAAACTATTTTCAAAATTAATAAAATTGGCAAACTTTGCTATCATAAAAGAACTAACATCGTTTTCCTGTGTCCACTAACAGAACGTTTAAAGGTAGAATACATCATTTTTTTCGTCTGAAGCAATAAGTTGTGCTCAAAATCTAAAGAAGGGTACTTAACAACTAACCTGATGAAGTTTCAGCTCAGTGGATGCTGTAGGCCCTATATTCCGAGAAAACAATATTCTAGGATCTAGATTTTAATTTGAAAGTTGCAAGGTCATGTTTTAAATTGCGCCGACACCAGCATCCGGGACACGTTCTCATTCAGCGATTGCAGTTTAATACGCGATGTCAAGCGCTGAACTGACTAATAATAGCAACCGCGCGTGCCGTGTGCGTTTTGTCAACGCTTGTGGGCACTCATCAACGGCTTCGCCGAATTAAAAACGAACCACTACCAGAAACTTCTAAAAATGTGTCTTTATACGCATCATTGGAAATGGCCTTCTTTTTTTTTGTTTTCTTCAAAATGACAACATGCCAGAAAGAATAATTTGCCAAGGAGTTTAGTACCATTAACCATCTTTAAACCAAGTATGATTTTCAGCAAAAGCTTTGTCAGTTACTTTTTAGATTGCTGCAAATGATGTACTCTACCTTTAAATAGAAAAAAAAACAATGATCTAATTTGTTAATTTACTTACAATGACTTGGGATCCAACACATGTACATTAACTACATGTACAACAGTGTCTTCAAGCATAAGTGCTTTCTTGTTATGCTGGTATTTCTTTGTTACTCACTTTCCGTCTTAAAGGGGTCATGAAATGAATTTTTCTTGGAAACGCAACCTTGACTCCTTTTAAATGTATGAAAACTATTTGACATCCTTTTTTGATTAATTTTTATTGGCAAGTGCACTTCTTTAAAGGGAATGTACAGCATGTTACATGCTTGCCGATTGCAGTGTTTGTACAAACCTAAAAATGCCTATCATTCATGCCATCGTCACATCGAAGTTATATGACGTTTGCCAAATGGAAAATTGAGAATGTTACAATCACAACTACATTGAAAGTTTGTAAAACATGGTGCATTTGCAATCAAACGGTGCAAGCCAATTCCACAAAGCAGCTTGGCATAATAGCAAAACTGATCGCCCGCTAAAAAGTCATATTACATAAAATGCTTGTGGATGGGTTTCAGTGTGGATGGTCCTCAGTGAGGATGGTCCTCAGTGTGGATGGTCCTCAGTGTGGATGGTCCTCAGTGTGGATGGTCCTCAGTGTGGATGGTCCTCAGTGTGGATGATCCTCAGTGTGGATGATCCTCAGTGTGGATGGTCCTCAGTGTGGATGATCCTCAGTGTGGATGATCCTCATTAACTACATGTACAACAGTGTCTTCAAGCATAAGTGCTTTCTTGTTATGCTGGTATTTCTTTGTTACTCACTTTCCGTCTTAAAGGGGTCATGAAATGAATTTTTCTTGGAAACGCAACCTTGACTCCTTTTAAATGTATGAAAACTATTTGACATCCTTTTTTGATTAATTTTTATTGGCAAGTGCACTTCTTTAAAGGGAATGTACAACATTTGCTTTTGCTGCAATTTTCAGAAATAAATGGATTTGGAGTAGCAAATGTTGTATCTTCCCTTTAAACATTTTTTAAAAATATCCAAGATATTTTGGACAACTGAGGGTGCTGTTGCTTGATGTCATTTCAGGAAGACACTGTTCAGACTTGGGGTTTTCTGTTCAAATTCTGAATCCGAAAGTTCACTCATTGAGAGAAATTGTGAGAAAAGTTTGCTCATTGGCTTTCTGCTATGAGCTGATTTTAACAACAAATCATCAAAGAAAGAAAATTTACGACAGAAAAATATCCAAAATTCTGGCAGGTTTTGGTGCTGAAATAACTTTAACATTGAGGTTTCTGCCTGAAATGACATCACACTTTTGCTCATGAATATGAAAATTTGCATTAGCATAAAATCCAACAACAACAAAAAAACACCAGAATACCCTTGGAAATGGTAAAGCAAAAATTGAAAATAAGGTTAAACGGGACACAAAGGTGCATTGTCAAGGATTGCATTATGAAATTTACATTGCATGGGCCCTTTCATTTTTATTTTGTCTTTGGGAGTCAATCATTCCTTCATGAATGCTTCTTTGCTTTGCAGGATCCCATATGGCCCAAAAGTAGCAAGTCCGTCTTTGGCAAATTTAAGGAATTGATACCAAACATGCCGAGGCACAAATCGTTATCACCCTCACCGGACGGACCTGATGGACAAGTAAGTATGTGATCCCCTAGCACCAACCACTGACTAAATGGACAGGCTGACAACGCATGCATGTATCCTGAAGCGACCGTCGGCCATCTTTGTTCCCCCATGATGCATGCATACAAACGGTACATTCGAGGAGCTCACCCGGATCGACTCGGGTAAAGGCAGACGGGTTAGCCACGACAGCTGGGCTAATCAAACGCTCAAACGCAGCCCATCCTTACGAAGCGTCCCTAGCTGCGGCCATATCCATTGACAAAACGCCCTTTTCAAACTTAGTCCTACCATTCCTTCCTCCATGGCCTTATTTTGAGATTTTACTGCTTTTATGTCAATCGCAGAAAGTAATATAGTTGGGCTGGAATTAGCAGCCTCTAAAGCCGCACTGAGCTCCATAAATGATTGTGTTTAGAATTCAAATAAAGTTGATTTCGGGGTCCGCTTGATCTTTTCCCGATGTCTGGCCGCCATATTTGTCCGTTTCTTGGATTCAACAACACATGTGTGTGATTGTATTTCCACCACAGACCCCGCTACGCGAGCAGGGTCTGTGGTGGCTGACCCAGGTGAGCCCCGGGAATGACGTCAGAGCCAATCAAACGGTCGACCCGGATGAGCCAATCGAACGCACCCACAATTAGTTTCTTTGGAGTTTGAATGTACAGTCGGTCATGGGAACAGGCTCACAATAGAGGGTATGCACAGCCGTTTTCCCACTGTAAACTTATGAGAGATTTGACCTCAGTGAGGTCACGTTGTGCATCTCTCTATAGGACTGATGACATCATACGCATAAGGTCTACTGTAGATTCTGAAGTGTTTCTGTTGTGTATGGACTTGAATTAAGACTAGTAGACTATTAATGTACTTGTAAATGCGCATGCATGCGCGCCCACGCATGCGCATTTACAAGTACATTAATAGTCTGCTAGCCTTAATTCAAGTCCATACACAACAGTTTCAAACTGTGTTTTTGAGGAAACAGTATATGTTCAGTGATCACCAGCACGGGATGGTTTGCAATCACCAAGTACAGTGATAAAGAAAACATCTTCTTTATGTTTTCAGCAGGGAGGAAGTGAAGCATCAGACGGTAGTCTGGATCGGTGCGGAACCTTCGGCTCCTCGGCAAGCACGTGTAGCAGTTCAAAGAGTTCAGGTACCAGACTGTTTGGCTTTATAAGTTACATAAGCTGAAGGATGCGTTCGTAGATGCGTTTATTATTGGCCTAATGAGCAGGGGTAGCAATGGAACACTTAATACATAGGCACATGCACATTGTCATGTGCTATTAACAGCCCCCCCCCCCCCCCTCCGATGGTTTGCATCCAACCCCCCTCCCCCCACCCCCTTTTGATTTTGTGATGTGCTTGGTACCCGGTCAGCAAAATCCCGCATAAACCAATGAGTGCATTGTCTTCTCTGTCCAGGTGAAACTGAGACTCAGCAACCGAGCTACGAGGTGGATTCCGACTTGTTGGACAGCGAGGGCGAGTATCGCGGAAAGCACTTGAAAGTTGTACGAGCCATAATAGATGTCGATCCAAGCCCGCATGATGTAACTTTGCTTCCTCTGAAGGTACGTGATGAAACTACAAGATTGAAAAGTTTCGGTTCAAACCAAGGGATCATGGGTTTTTGGGGAAAAAAATGTTGCAACCTGACGCCACTTTTTTTGTCATACAGTAAACTCCGGCTAAGACGGCACTCTCGGGACCAGAGAATTTGTGACGACTTTACGCGAATGTCGGCTCCTGCTGCAAGTCGTCATTTTGCCGACTTACACAAATACACAGCTTGAATCACGGAGTGAAAAAAATATATTGAATTATTGGCCTATGCGCATCTGTATCTGGATCATGCAAACAAGATTCACGGCTAAAATTCAAAGGCTTTGATTTATCCTGGTTTATTTCTACATCCATGGTTGATTCCAGCAAATATATCCTCAATGTTTATCATCACAAACAGGCTGTGGTTTTGATCACAGAAAGTCATGTATATACATGTACGTACGAAGCAAGGACGACGCTAGCGTTAACAGTGGTACGATATACAGATCGCTTGCATGCTGTACGTCCATGTACATGTAGTGTACATTGTGCATGTATGTACGTGTACAGTCACGAATTAAATGTGTGCATGGTACTGGTACAATAAGGGGACCCCCACAATGAACAGAGCACATGCGTGCAGTCAAGAGGGGGTACTGGTATTGATGGTACGGAATGGACATGTACTTCGTGTAAGCGAACGATGCACACAATGTACAGACTGTGCATGAAACAGTGTACACGTGCGATTAGTGTACACGTGCTGGCCGATGCATCAATATCACAGGCCGTGCCATTGATAGACAAATGTCAGTTTGCAGTGTGTGGGTCTTTTCACTTGACACTTCTTGCAAACCGCAGAGCATGCCGACTTGTACATAGGAATTTGTGTGGTTTTGAGGAAATGGGACTGAAAGTAACACGCCGACATAGGCGAAATGGCGGCTTACAATGGAAATGCATTAGAGACAATCGGACTTTCGTCAGACGGCCGATTTAAGCGATATGACGGTTTATACGATGTCGGTTTAGCCAGAGTTTACTGTATATCATCTTACTGATATATTTGTGTTTGACTTGTGTGTGCATGTGATAACAATAACAACTTGATTTACAACTGGGGCATTTACAGTGTGTGGATATGTACAATAAGTCAGCAATATCATTCACAATAAAGTTCACATTCATAAGATGGAATTTGCGTCGGGTGATGTAATGATTATGCGTCGGTGAAGGGCAAAACACAATATTGAAAGTTCTCATTGTGCACACAGATTCCTCGGTATGAATTTTGTTCAAAACTTTTCGTCTCTCATCAGAAAGGGGATAAAGTTTATGTCACCAAAGACAGTGGTGGCTACTGGGAAGGCGTCCAAGGCAAACGCCGCGGCAATTTCAAGTTTATCCACGTTGAGCAGCTGAGTAAAGAAGAGCTGGAGAAGGAGAAACTCAATCCAGAAGAGGACACTGACACTGACGACATCCAAGTCATGCCCACGTTTGCCAATCTTAAGGAGTTACTGGAGTTGATAGAATGCGAGGTAAGTCCATATTTGAACTGATAAAGATACAATTTATAGTCCAACTTGAGTCCATTTTGACTTAAGGTGCTTTTTTTCCCCAGCCCAACCAATCAACAGCTTAGTCCACATTTCTGATCAAAATGACGTTCAAGTGTGCAGAGCCACACTACGAACGTCTGGTACCCCGCGCGCCAGCCAATCGGAGTCGACTTTAGAAACTGTGCCGTCATTTCGATCAGAAATGTGGACTAAGCTGTTGATTGGCTGGGCTTAAAAAGAAAAAAAAAAAAGGTTTATCAGCCTGGCAGGGATTCAAACCTGGGCCAAAGAGTGTATGTACAGTTGACAATAACTGAAACACAGAGTAAGTGAACCTGCAGCAACATCTTGTTTCTGAAAATTTGTATATTGCAGCAATACTTCACCACACTTTATCTGCACGACTTTGGCAACTTGGAGCAGTTCAAGCAACTGGAAGAGGGGCATCTTAGCTCGCTGAGCATCACAGACCCCAAACACATAGTGAAGCTTACCACGGCAGCGCAGATGCTGCGTAACCCCAAAGCAGGTAGGGACTACTAGGAACGCAAAAAGAAACGGGACAAAATGACAAGTTAGACTGATTGTAAATTAATCTTAACTCGCTGAGCATCACGGACCCCAAACACATAGTGAAGTTTTCCACAGCAGCGCAGATGCTGCATAACCCCAAAGCAGGTAGGCATGCAAAACTAAAGCGACAAAATGACAAATTGGACAGATTTAAAATTGTACGTGTGTTTTTTTTGCTAGACCCTAAAAGGCCGGTCGGCCAATTGTCCTCTGAATGACTGAGTCACTGACTGACTGATGAACGAAGTGACTGACTGATTGCAGAGATTTTAGGCTTCTTACCCTACGGGGTACAGTGCTCTGCTTATATTGTGCCAAGAATAAAAGTAAAATTTGCAGTGTATGAAACTGGAATGAGTAAAGTTAACTACAGTTTTTGGACCGCATTCTCTGCATTGGTGGGGTACCACTTAATTAGGCAGCTCTTGTCCAGCTATGTTTGAATAGAGACACTATGCTTGAACAACCCTGTGTATAAACCTAAAACCACGACTGTGGAATGGCGCTGCACTGTTTCACGCTTGCTGTTCACCGCCTATATACTCTGCGCATTTCAGTCTGCATAACTTAAGATGTACGTCTTACGTAAGATGTACATCTTACGTTACGCAGACTGAAATGTGTAGAGTATATAAGCAGTGAACAGCTTGTGTGCACCAGTAATGTACCATTCCACAGTCTTGGTTTTAGGTTAGGCCTAGTCCGAAATGGGCTTCCAGAGCTACGGCTACGTCTATTTTCAGCGCGTCCCCCCGTATTTTCTATGTGCGCAGACCTAGCTCTCGACAGTTGATTCGAATGCAGCCTTACACATGGTTGTTCAAGCATAGTGTCCGCATACAAAAAAATAGCTGGATAGGAACTGTTAAATTAACTGGTGTCCCACAAATGCAGAGAATAGCAGGATGTTCAGAGGACACCAGTTAAGTGTTGAGATAGCCCTAACAGAGATAGCAGTGCTGGAAATTGTTTTGAGTTTGAGTGAAACCTGGAAAAGTTCCAAGAGTCGGTTTGCAAAAATTATGGCAGATTTTGCTTTGTCCAACTTTTTGTGTTATTTATGTTGGTTTCCACTTCTAGACTTAAGTGCATGGCTAAGGAGTGACTTCTGATGGCTGTCACCAGCCCGGTTTATTTGCATATTCATTTTGAACTCAGGTTAGCAATGTGACATCACACGTTTGCATATCAACAAGCAGCCAATCATGGTGATCCTCATGAGAAGACTAACGTCTGTATTTGCATATTCATGATGGCATCAGCTGATGAATATCATCAGGCTTCTCATTCATCATGTCTTTTGAAAGTCAATGTAGAACATTTTTGTACACCAAGATTGAAACTTTTACAAGGAAATTCAACCGTGCACAACCTTTGAAAAGTGACGTGAATGATACATATTTTCCCAGCAATTTTGAATTGATTGATACATTTCTTTGCATTCTTCGCATTTTTACCGTTCTAAATTTGAGCCTTTTTGAATTGAAAATAAAACATGCTTGCCGATTGCAGTGTTTGTACAAACCTAAAAATGCCTATCATTCATGCCATCGTCACATCGAAGTTATATGACGTTTGCCAAATGGAAAATTGAGAATGTTACAATCACAACTACATTGAAAGTTTGCAAAACATGGTGCATTTGCAATCAAACGGTGCAAGCCAATTTCACAAAGCAGCTTGGCATAATAGCAAAACTGGTCGCCCGCTAAAAAGTCATATTACATAAAATGCTTGTGGATGGGTTTCAGTGTGGATGGTCCTCAGTGAGGATGGTCCTCAGTGTGGATGGTCCTCAGTGTGGATGGTCCTCAGTGTGGATGGTCCTCAGTGTGGATGGTCCTCAGTGTGGATGGTCCTCAGTGTGGATGGTCCTCAGTGTGGATGGTCCTCAGTGTGGATGGTCCTCAGTGTGGATGGTCCTCAGTGTGGATGGTCCTCAGTGTGGATGTGTCCTCAATGTGGATGGTCCTCAGTGTGGGTGGTCCTCAGTGTGGATGGTCCTCAGTGTGGTGGTCCTCAGTGTGGATGGTCCTCAGTGTGGATGATCCTCAGTGTGGATGATCCTCAGTGTGGATTGTCCTCAGTGTGGATGTGTCCTCAATGTGGATGGTCCTCAGTGTGGGTGGTCCTCAGTGTGGATGGTCCTCAGTGTGGGTGGTCCTCAGTGTGGATGGTCCTCAGTGTGGATGATCCTCAGTGTGGATGATCCTCAGTGTGGATTGTCCTCAGTGTGGATGTGTCCTCAATGTGGATGGTCCTCAGTGTGGGTGGTCCTCAGTGTGGATGGTCCTCAATGTGGATGGTCCTCAATGTGGATGGTCCTCAGTGTGGATGATCCTCAGTGTGGATGGTCCTCAATGTGGATGGTCCTCAATGTGGATGGTCCTGTGTGTGGATGGTCCTCAATGTGGATGGTCCTCAGTGTGTGTGGTCCTCAGTGTGGATGATCCTCAGTGTGGATGGTCCTCAGTGTGGATGTGTCCTCAATGTGGGTGGTCCTCAGTGTGGATGGTCCTCAGTGTCAATGGTCCTCAGTGTGGATGGTCCTCAGTGTGAATGGTCCTCAGTGTGGATGGTTCTCATTTTGGTTTTTCTGCACAGCACAAAATACTACTAAGCAGCTGATCAGCAGTTGCAAACGGCTCTTAACAAAACATGAATTGTCCCAAATTATGACTCGCTCAATCAGTAGTTAAATACTAAAATGTTGTCAGCTGTTTAGCCATCACAGGAAAACCAAATAAAAAGCATGCAATTGCTACTCAAGCCATGTCCGAATTACTTGCTATGGTTTGAAATTACACACTGGTCTAAGGCAGCGGCTGCAGCCGCTTCTCACGGACCCGTGTGTTATTTTAAGTGGTAGCCAAGTAATGCGGATGCAGCCTGAGCACCCTGGGCATTCATTTGCATTGTTGCATAGTGCCTTGCTAAAGGACATCATTTTACAAATATAACATGGTTTGAGGGTGGACAGTCGATATTCGCTCCCCGAGGTATTGAAAGTTGACAAACATTCGCCTCGGGAACTAGTTTGTCAACTTTCAATACCGAGGGGAGCTAATATTGACTGTCCACCCGAAATAAACCATGTTATATTTGTTTTACTATACCTCATACATATTCAGCACTGATTTGTTTGGGGGTTTTTCTCGTTGCAGTATGCACCTCAAAAAAGTTTTTTGAAAAACTTGTCCAGTTCACCATTAGAATTGTATTGCTCAAATTCACTAGTTCAGTTCGTTTACAATACAGTGCAGCTGTAAATACAGTAGTTTGTGTACAACATTCTTTTGTACAGAATGCATCTCTTATGTCCATAAATATTCTCTACTTCGGCAAGATTGAGCTCGGGAAAATAACACGCTGTGCTACCATCTCTTCGTACGTGTGTAGCTCGTTTGGGCGATGTTCGCGCGTGCGTACTACACCCGTGCGACAGTTCCATGATTGCTTTGTAAAGCGCACGCGTAGTCAACTGTCACAGGAGTAACCCGTGCGACAGTCTACTACGCATGCGTATTTACCCTGTGCGTGAATCCTCGCACGCGTGCTTGGTGAACAGCAAAAATAACATCTGGCACGTGATGGTGAATTGACCAGTGAGAGTTTGGCTCTCGATCATGAATATGTATGAGGTATAGTAACAAGATTTGTTTACCATGCCATTTGCGTTTTCTATCCAGGTAAAGATAGAGCGAAATCACAGCACATACACGGCCTCTTCTCACCGACTAGACAACCTAAGGGACGCATGATGACGAGAGACTCTGGGTTCTATGCGAGTACAGAAACCTGCGTGTCATTTGACAGCTCCGGCCTTCACAGGTGCAGCGAGACTGGAGACTCGCTGATTGAGGAATGCGAAACTGCTTTCCATGGCGAGGAGATGATGATGTCACCGTCAGATGACACTCTGCAGGAGAACAGCAACGTGAACAATTCCAACTGTATCAACTCCTTGCGGTCCCAAAATGGGTCCCCAGTTGGCAGAATGGGTAACCCATCGTGCAGGCACAGTGGGGGACCCAGCCCAAACTTTGGAAACGGCCACCACATCTCGGGTTCGCCGTCATGCCCACGGAAAGAAGGAAACGGCTCGGCCAGTCCACTATCCCATCATATCTGTAGAGTTCAGAGCAACGGGGTGTCCACAAAGTGTGGAGGGCAGCATTTCACCAACAGCCCAGGTTGGAACGGCCGAGACTCACCCTCGTTCCAACACAGACACTTGATGGCGACCTTCAGCGATCCCGGCTCAGCCCCAAACTCCCCCCGTCTGCGGCCTGGTCAGAGGTCGGCCAAACGGTGCCCGCTTCAGTCCGGCCACAGTGCAGACCACCAGTGCCCGTCTCCAGATGTCGTGCCCAAAGTCTATAGCGATGACATCACGAGATGGCGGAAGAGCGCGCTGTTAGAGATGTATGGCCTTCATGACCCATCTCGTCTTCGAAACTCAGGAGGCTTCCTGCAGTCCTCGCTCGCCAAGACTCACCCAAGTCCCAAACTCCCCCGGCGTGTCATGGAGCAGTACCATTGCCACGCCCTCCACTCCAGCCCGCTCCACGCGGCCTCACCAAGTCAGCAGAAGGGCCGCCGGAAATCCCGCAGTGTATCACCGCATCACCACAGGCATCACCAACCCCACCGCGACCTTATGCTGTCACAGAACTCTGTCCACGGATCACCGACTTTGCCGCTACGACCTAACAAGTCACCGCAGCCCAACGCCCAGCTGGAATGGCGTGTCGAACAATCGCTGAGACAAGAAGGGATTGACCTCAAGGAAGAACCCTACTCAAACAAGGTCAGAATCATTGTCGCAAAGGACTACTCGGAGATCTTGTTTCAGAATTTCTGCTGGTTTGCAGCCTTCATGTAGAAAATAATCCATCAAGAGTCAACTGAATCTGAAAAGTGTCACAAGACAAAACATCTTTGAAATTATTAAACCCTTTGTATATCCTTTCAATCTTCCAAAAATCCAACATTGTGGAGCTTATATACTGGAATTTGTATCCTTGTGGAGTCATTTCTTTGTTCTTGTGTACTAAAAATTTAGAGTTTGAAAGTGTAGTTTTAAAATGCTCCTATTTTAACCAGAATTAATTTCCTGGGCTGAAATTCGGACATATATCCCTTATATAACATACTTCAATTTGCGACAGATCAACACACCTTGGAAATTCCTAGTTTTTGAGTAAAATCCACATATCTGTTTCGTGATAACCTTGTGGAGATGTATTCACCTATAGAAATTGCCCTGGGGAGACGTATACAATCTTGTGTTCCCTATTATTCACCTGCCTCCACAGGATACTGTGTACCAGATCACACCAATGTCACACCACTACCATTTCTCAAAGCATGGCTTAGTGCCTAGCTTTAGTTTCTATCTTCTTGATTCCAGGTCACTTACAGTAAAATATTTCAGTAAAATATGGGTCTCTCTTTCTCCTACAGAAGTATTAAATTTAATGAATGAAGACAAAACATTTGCAGTCTTAGTTTCCAGTTGGTTCAAACAGCGCAGAACCCACAAATGGTCCTGGCACCAGAGGCAAAGCCGTAGTCACAGAGCAAACCAAGGTTTGAGAAATGGCCCAAACTTTTGGACCACTGAGAAGTGACTGGTTAACTCTTTTCTTCTACACAGATGGGTTTCTGTGGCATCCCACCAGCTTTGGTTCAGCGTTATGCCGAGGAACAAGCAGCTGAGGTGTCGGAGGTCGCGGCTTGCCTGGAATCCCTCCGAGTTCGGGATCTAGTTGATTCCTGCCGATGCTGGGTGAGTAAAGAAATTGGATTCAAACAAAATTTATTTGTTTTTTAAAATTTAGTTCTAATTTCTGTGCCTTTTAGGTCTGGGCCTTTTCTTATTTTTTGATGAAGAAATAATTCCATTTTTTGTCTGTTTGTTGGTGTAGTTCCGAAGCGACACGCTGGCCAGCCAATCGAGCAAACTCGTCTACGCAGGTACAGGCAACACCATCGAGGAGTGGCTCATGTCGCTAGGCTTGCCCATGTATGTGGAATCTTTCACCCTGAATGGTTGGGATGAGCTTGACATTGTCATCCACATGGACAAGGAGGACCTGAGGAAGTGCGGCATCGACCGGCTGGGGCATCTACGCCGTCTCTCTACGGCCCTAGAGCATCTCAAGATGTCTTGGAAACCTGTCTAGACACTCTTTCAACTCCCAAAAGGCACCCTGTTGTTTACTCCTCAAACTGTACCAAACAGTGTCAAACTTGAGTTCATCACAAGTCCTCGCAAGTCCTCGCAAGTTTTCGCAAGTCCTTGCAAGTCCTTGCAAGTCCACCAAAGCCGAAACATAGTTCTGATCATGGTTGCGAAAACACGCCCCAGTATTCATACCTATGACTTGTGAACAATCTTGTGGACTTGTGATTTGACCTGTAATGGTCTCAACTTCAGCTCTGCAAACCGCCCTTGATTTTCAACTCTCTGAAAGTGCTGTTTCTACACACTGTATTACAGTTCAAGAAAAAGCAAAAGTGTGGGCAGTATGGACTCTACCATAATTTTGGGAAAGCCGGACAGTTTGAGGAGCAAATGGCATTGTTTCCATGTTTGTGTGAATCTAAAAGGTTAAAAAATAACCACCTATCTTCGGACCTAGTTTGAGCTCTGTGTTGGAATTTCTAATGTTATGCAGGACTGCTTGCCATCCAAGTTTGCATGAGAAAAACAAGCATGCTGGTTTTGTAAAAAAAAAAAAAATCAGCAGGGACAGTATGCAGCTGTTTGCAACTGCACATAGAGTCTACAGTTTGTGCAGATTGGATGGGCCACCATCACATTATTGTCTGGTTCCCATAAGGAGAACACAGACATTGTGCTGTTTTTTTAAGTAAAGATATTGGTTACCAGGCTGAAAATATACAAATATGACATGGTCTGAGGGTGGATAGTCAATATTAGATTGACTATCCACCCAAAATATACCATGATATATTTGGTTTGCAATACTTCATACATATTCACCAATATTTCGTCAAGTTACGCAATGCTGTTTGTGTGCCACTGTCTTTTTATGTACATAGCACTACCCTTGTGCGATAATTCCACAATTACTCAGTAAGCCCAGGTGTAGTAGACTATCGCACGTATCTACCCTGTGTGTGAATACTTGCATGCGCGCTTTGTAAACAGAAAAATTGCAACTGATACGTGACAGTGCATGGACCAGTAAGAATCAGGCTCTCGCTCATGATATGTATGAGGTACAGTAATCATAACTATGGACGTGCAGGCTGATAGTTAAGAAAACAAATAAGATGGCAGGGGTATTAGTATTAAAGGCCTGTTTGTTTGTTTTGGGGTTTTTTTTTGGTTTTTAATTCATCTGTCAAATTGTGTGCAACGTGCTATTTGCATAAACTACGATCCTTTAATATTTTGAGGGTACAAATGTTATCTTGATTCCTATTGGTTATATAACCATAAAAATAACTTACAAACTATGACTGCTTCCCCTGGAAAGTGAACGGCACGACGTATGAATTACATGTAAGTTATCACTCAGTGGCTGTTTGCTGATTGTAAAATTTTGTTACAGAATTATTCTGTCAGTAAATAATTTTATCTGATTTCTGTGAAATCAGGCCCTGCTACAAATAACTTTAAAATGACTCGCTGTGCACAGTTTCTCCTCTTGAGGTATGATGTGTACGGTGACGATATTTCAATGCTTTTATACTTCGTGGCTGTAGCCAAAGTGAGTTTCGTGTGACAACGTTAGCCTGTCGCAGGTTTGCATAAAATCTTCTTCCTCATTGGAGGTTGTAAAAATTTTGATCTTTCTGTACTGTATCCACCCACTGTTTTTCTTGCCAAATTGTTACAATCGCCTTTCATTTGTGGTGCAAATTTTTTAAAGTAATCATTGTAGCACAGTAAGGTTTTTTCCACTGCAATGTCAGAAGTGTAAAACAGAGTTTCGGAAGTTAGCATAAAATAGTTTTTGTATCATATTCATCAGAGGATTTTTGAAGAAGCAGTATCAGCCCCCCTCTCATCCCACTCTCTTCAACTAAAGAGATAAAAAAAAATTTTTTTTAAAGGCCTAAAATAAACGGAGGCCAACAAAAATAGCTTTTTCAATCATCCAGGGAATTCTTTCATCTTGGATGAAAAAGAAAAAGAATTCAATCGAAGCACCCAGAAGTTGTGACTTTTATCATGAAATTGTACAATTACATTTCTTTCTGCCGATGTTCATGAAAATTCCACAAAAATGTAGCTGGCCTGATGTTTCTTAGCCCAAGATTTTTCTTGGATAAAAAATGTCAGGCCTTTCTCATTTTTGTCATTTTGTTTATTTAAATTCACTCCAGTTTGCAGCAGCTTTTTACTTCTTTGATGAGAATTTGTTTAATGGTTTTGTTGCAATAAGTTCGTTGTCTCAGTGGGTAGGGTCAAAAGTCACACTGATACCTTTTCGCTGCTTCCATTTTTGTTTTTCAGTTCTTCCTCATTTTAACTTTCTAAACATCTACACAAGAGCCGCGAGCTCCAAATCAGAACAAGTTAAAAAAAGTTGTTCCTAATGGTATCCACACATTTTGCTTTAAATTACCTTTATTTGTTTTAGGGATCATCAGCTTATACAATTATTTGACATTTTTTCTTATGAAAACAGTTCAATTTCTACAACAACTTTGTCAATTACATGTACAGAATGTATTATCCAAGGACAACAGGTCGATTAAAAGGGGGGGAAAAAGAGTATGAAAAAATAACTATTTTAGATAATTAACAAGGATTGATCAAGACATCTTTAGTATATACATTTATCTTAGATTATATGAAAAAGTCACTTATTGAATATTCAGTACATGTACTTGGAGGACAGAATGATTCTATGCACAGAAGTGAATCTTTCACCAAATTATTTCATGGAGTATATACATATTTCTTGGTGAAAAAAAAACTATTAATATGTTTTCCATTTTCGAACGGTGCTGTTTATTTGAGGAATAGTTTAAACGCCTCTCACAAAAGTAGACTTCCCCCAAGTCTGAGACTAGTTACCGCACTGCAAAGTGTGGAGTATAATAGAGAGACCTGGACCCAGACTATCTTGTGCCCTCACAGTTAGACTGTAGAGCGCCCTCTGGTGCTTGTGTTGGGACAATTTCACTGAGCTAGCACAGACGTTTGATAAGCACAAATAATATTTGCTTTCCAAAAACTGCTTACCAACCAAAACAAATCATGTAATGTATTGGTTGTGACTGGTACTCAACTGATGTTTACTTAGTACCTAACTTGGCAAGTAGGTACTTTCTGCCACAGCAGCACTGTTTCTGTGGGGCATACTTACACAATCTTCTTATTCCAGGGAAAAGGGCTGTCTGGGGAAAAAACCCACAACATATATTCTGTATCGTTCTATATACTCTAATGAATTTCTGTGAGTTGACAGTAACTCATTCAATAGTTCACAGGAAAACCTCAAATTATGAGGTTGAATTTGTATTTACATTCACTTTATAATGATATCAAAATTCCTTAAAGAATTGCCTTAACTTTTCTAAATGTGTCTGTTGTTTCATCACAACTCAATGTCAATCCAAATCTGAATATTGTATTGACTGCGAATCATTGGCTTATTAGTAATCGTTCAAATTCAAATCGTCGTCAATTTACATAATCGGATGTAATTTTTGGAAGTCATTTGTTGTATTGTATACATAACTTCAATCCTGAGGCCTTTTTTGTTTTTTGCTGAAGTGAATGAGAACAAAAGAGGTGGAAATTAAAGAAACTATCGTACGTTTTTTTGTTTGTAAATAATGACTTTGTAATCGACACTATTCCAGGTGGATTGTGGGATACGGTTGCCTTGTGTGTTTTTCTTAACTCCAGTAATGACACGTCGGTTGGTGAGTCCACATATGTACAGGGTGTATGGTTGAAGTGTGTATAGAATGACATGATCAGGGGTCTTGTGTGTATTAAACTTGTATGAAACAAAAGTGCACTGTATTTTAAACAAGAAAATTTCAAACAGTTTGTAAGATAGAGTCGAAGAAAAACAGTCCAGATGCACGTCTTAAATTCCTTAATATCAAAAACATAATCAGAAGATATGTGCAATGAAGAGTGATGTTTATTTTATAATTTTCACAGTTTTCGCTGATTTTATTAACTCGTTTAAACTGTACAAGAAGGGTATTTTGAGGTATTTTAATTTTATGTTCTTTATCTGAGTCTTCTTTTGATTATGTCTTCTTTATTTTATATTATACATCTCCACAACAGGTTGAACATCAAAATTACTGTATGTGGTTTTGGTAATGAACTAATTTATCCCTAAGCACTGCTTCTTTGATTTTTGTATGTGGCCTCAAATTTATTTTATAATTTACGATGGATGTACATTTAGTGGACTTTGAAAAAGAAAGAGGATCATGGACGGAAGAATAAGCCTTAAAAAAGAGTTTACAAAATATCCTCTACATTATTCCACGTAGGCCATGCCCTACGTTCATATTAGTACGGCAGATAGGTGATGGGATTGTGCCTTTGATGATACAAGCATGGCATTTGGCACACAGAGTATGTCATCAGAAAGATATTTGGCTATAGGGTCATCGCAGATTTGTCCTCTGAAAAAATATAACAATGGCAGCCACTTTGAAAATTGTGAAAATTGCTTGTTCATGCCAAATTCCATGCTTGTATCATCAAAGGCACAATTCCCCGATAGTTCCCCTATCTGCCCCACTATATTGTTCAAGGCCCTAATCCACCACTGTAAATTTCTCACACTTGCCACAGTTTTTTAAGATCATTTGGATGATGTCCAACAGTTCAAGCTACAGTTTACTCATAATTATATAACATGATAATTATATAACCCCCCCCCTTCCGATTTTATTTATAATTTATGAAAGAGAGGTAAACCATTAAATAATTATACAGAGAGTAAACGAATATACGTTTGTTTAATCCTCAACTTTATTCTGTAGTTCCAGCATTATTTGTGAACATATTAAGAGCGAAATTGTTCATGTTTGATTTATGCAAATGATATCAAAACGACTGCACGTGCTTCGTTATACATTATAGCCCCGCCCAAAATGCGCACGTGAGCAACAACACTCCCCCGTGGCCGTATACGCCTCTCGGTCTCCAGCACATTGCATCATCACGCAAACGCATGTCAGCCTTTTGTGGACGCCTGTCGGACATTAATCACGGATGTGATTGGTCAAAACGCAGTGGGCGGGGTTTAATGTCTCTTGCTATTTTCCATACGGCATGCTGCTAGCTGTCCATCTGTCACTTTTTGCCCTGGGAACAAGGCACATGTATCAATAGTCTGGTGCCTGCAACACGAAGACTCAGATACTTATGAATATGTCTCTGGGAGCACGACGAACGTTGTACCGTACGTACGCGTAATTTTTTTTCCTAGGAGGGTTAGGGGCAATGTCATGAATAATTCAGTTTTTCCTTTGAATCATTGCAAGACTTAGGTTCTCGTTCTATTTTCCCCTTAATTTAAAATTATCTTAGTGATAAATTTGGAGAAGAAAAATAGCTGATGAAAATGAGCAGCGACGACGTGGATTCGAACCAGGGATCTTTGTATCCATAGCTCATCTCGCTATCCACTAGGCTACTGTGTGGTAGCTCGACGACAACTGTTCTTTTAAAATGCTTTAATGTATTGTAACTAGTTGAGTAACTAACAACAATGCTAATGATGTCATTGTCCGTTCTCATGGATAAACATGAATTATTCATGACATTGCCCCTAACCCTCCTAGGAATAAAAATTACGCGTACCGTACGGCCAACGCGTGGAACAACTTCACGCTCAAGAATTTTGGCGGGACTTTTTGATGTACTTTTTGGAAAATGCGGTGGTTTGTCACTCTGTGGTGATGAAATTGGTAAGTCAGTTTACTATAGATAAATTCAACCTCAATGGTTCATTTTTTTGTTAACTTCGTTGTAACCTGAAAACCTTTTGCGAGACAGTCTGAGACGCTGCATGGATTTCGGCATTTAAATCGAGTACGAGTGCAGGCGATTGTTATTTAAAGGGCCCCTCTTTCTTTGTAGGCCTTATGACTTTTCCTCTTTGATCAACATTTGAATGTTTTTATCATCCCAAAATGACTTCTGCAACTTTATTGGCAACTGTCTTTTAAATTTATCGAACCTAGTTTTTGTAATTCTGATCAGTATTTTGGTGGGAAATGCGATTTTACCCGAATAAATTTCCAGTTGATGCCACGCTAAATCAACGCAGAGTGAGATGAGCCGCACTAGCACTGTCAATGTCAACATACACTCGTACGTACGCACGATCTTACAATAACCAACTCGAACGCAGCTGGGTAAACTCGTACTCGTGCCAACTCGTACGTGAGGGAAATCGTGCGCGAGCAAACTCGTACGCGTTTCCACTCATGAGAAAAAGATAAACACCCCAACAACAACACCCCCCCCCCCAAAAAAAGTCCTAGTTTTTTTTTAAATATTGTTTTAAATTCTTTTAAATACTTTACTATACAATGTACGATACTTATTTACACTATTTAAAAGGTGCTTAAAAATATAGGCCTAGAAAACTGAGCTGAAACTTCAACAGGTTAGGTGTTAGGCCTACACCCTAATATGTTGAGCAATTTTTCTGCTTCAAACGTACAACAAATGGCAAAAAAAGCTAATGATCCTACTAGGAGTAATACACTTATTTACATGTATTTTCAAATAATTTTGCAGCATGCAATAAATTCTAGTTTACATAGGTATAAAGGGTTAAGGATCTGTCAACTTTCACGTTTCAAAGCAATATGTGTGTCTGTAGTGTTAATATTCTTGCAGACGTAAGTCATTTTGTTTTTGCACAGTGTAATGTTTTTAGTGTTAAGTAGAGGAGTAGGTTTGCTGGTACACCATAAAAAATAGTCTTTTAGTGTTGGCTCTGTGCCTCTGTAGAGAGGGCTGGTGGTGAGAGTGAGGTCTCGACGTTTCGAACATTCTCCTTAAAACGAACAGAGTTTACTGTTCGAAACGTCGAGACCTTACTCTCATCACCGGCTGTCTTCAGCTCAGAGCCAACACCTAACTTAAAAAAAAAAGAGATTTGTCCATGGTTTACCCGCAAACCTACTTCCCTACTTTCCACTCCACCATGCAAGGCTTCAAACAACACTTGTGGTGATGCACTGGTTAGCCTACTCGTCTCAATGGCGTTTCCTAACAAGTTAATTCGTACTAGGACATTAGGAACGAATGAAGCCGCAACGCCAATTTGGGTAAAGTGTAGAAATTATTTGTAAATATGGAGCGCCAATTTGTGTGGGCTGCCATAAGGACATAAATTTAAGCCGAGGTTGGCAACAATGTTGCTGCATCCTCCAACGAGAATCTAAGGTTTAACTTAGGTTTACATAAGAAAGGTTTGCATATAACACCCATGCAAAATTAATTGAGAAAGGGGCATTTATGTTGTTGTGGTGGTGTTTGACGGTTACTTTGTCTGATAATGTATGGAAACATTAAAAATTGTTCTTTGTTTTTGCAACATTAAGCTTCCATAGTTTTCCAGCCACGGGTTGCCAAATAAAGGTCTACAGCTATTTTAATGAGGCAATTTAGTACCTTTAGGCCTATTTCAATCCACAAAGTAAAGATTATAGGCCTACAAATGCAGTGTTTTAATTGTAAACTTATGGCGTCGTAGTAAAACAAAATGGCGTCAGTATACAGCGCCTTCATTTCCATTCGTTCAAAAAGTATGACCTACTCGTGTAATTTGCAGCCAATGAGTTCGAAGCGCAGGCAGGCTGGTCTGCTTGTTTGTACGGCTTGCAGGCGGATGAATCTCGTACGGATCGCGGTGAGTGATGGGGACTGGAACGCGATTGGTGCACCGCCAGGGGCTAAGTTGATATCCCATGCGAAGAGCTGTTGAGAAAAGAAAAACATGCATCGTTTCAAGAACAACGCATAGGCCGAATCCGTGAATTTACAGAGAATTACGTTGCAGCAACGTCATTTTCCTCGTAGCAGACTTTACTTTTCTATATATTGCATAACTTAATAGAATGAATATCAAACGAAAATTATTTTGGTGGCCGACCAAATGTTTTGATACTAAGGAATCTAACGAACGCATTATTAACGAGGTAATGCCAATTGCTGGCAGCCATGGCCAACATGCCAAATCTGCTAGTCACTTTTAACCCGAATGTCATATGAAGGCCATTTGATTGACAAACCCCGTATATTTGTGATACCAAGGAATACAAACTACACAATGGTAAAGCCCTTTACCTATGGATGGTGGCCATCTTGGATATTTTTTAATCCCAGAATTTAGCAGGAAGTTCATTTAGTTGAATTTCCTATCATCAGGAGGTCTTGGGCCGATTATCGGAAACTTACCACTCGCTCAGATCCGTCGTTATTGGTCAGAGAGGTCCACGATTCACCGTCATCGCTGTACATGATTTTGAACGACGAGATACTACCGCTAATATTGTGCTTTTGGATCAGAACGCCGTAGATGTCCACCGTCTGATTATAGTCTACTTGTATCCATCGGAGAGAATCAGCACACCAGCCAGCTGAAAATAATAATCATGATTTAATAGCAATAATCATGCAACATGAGATAATAAAAACAAGGACAGCTACACTATTTTATGGTTTTAATGTGTGTTTTTATGACTGGGAAAATAATTTTCATGTTTTCATGATGAATAAATAAAATGGATGAATGAACCATTGTGACTTGGATCAAATGACCTGCTTATTAATTTAGCCAATCTCATGTCCCGAGTAATTTTCGGAAGTTCTCAAGAATCACATGGAATGTCAACGGCGAAGTTACGAAGTATCGTCATCGTTATCATTGTTGATACTATAACCATCTTTTATGTCATCACAGTAACTGTTGATAACAGAGACATCGTCATCGTCACTATAACGTGACATGATACCTTTGTCACCATTGTCAATGTCATTCTCCACAATAAAAAAAAGCACGGAGATGACCCTTACCGCCATTCAGACGAGCGCGTTGTGGACCGTATTGTTCGTAGTCTCCGTTCATGACGCTACCCGCAGTGATCTGCTCATCGCGTATCTCGCCACTCTCCATACCCAGAGGCTCACAGCACGGACAGTCTGTTGTAAATAAAGACCGACTTGAAATTGTTTTTAATCCCCAATGTGCGACTGGACGTGACGTCAATAAAAAAAAAAATGGGCTATACTACTTTTTTTCCCCCAAGTGCAAATTTGGATGCGCACTTTACGCATTGATGAAGATGTATGCGCATTGCGCAATGTAGCCTACGTCACAAAGTAACTTTTACGAAATGCTTTTGTTTCTCAGATAACCTTATGATATTTAAGGGTTTGCATGGTGGAAAGATCTTTTGTGAGTATGTCACAAAAGAGATTTATTCACATGGCGCTACCGCAAACTTATCTTGTCTCAGATAACCTTAATTATGTATTTAATTAACGTTTCCCGCCAACTTCATGGCATTGGTCTCTTGCCAATTTAATGATGCCTTTAACGGGCTGAGGTTGGAATAACTCTTTTTTTGGGGGGGGGGGGGGCGGGGGGGGTAAACTTCCACAACTTGTTTGGATTGTGCGTATACAATTTGTTTGTGTGTCCTCTTACCAACTACGATGAATCCGTATTGGCATTGTCCTTTATTTCCATCTGAGTCGGTTACAGAGCACGTAACTGTGATGTTGGTGCCGGTCGGTAAGATGGTGGACCGGTGCCGGATTGTTCTCCCGGTGTTGTCTTTGCACTGGACCGATGAGTAACTGAATCTACCGTCTTCCGGATCGTTGGCACTGGGTAGCGGGTCCCAGAACACGGCCGCCTCAGTCATGCCGTTGTACGTGTAGGTCCCACCGGTGTCCGGACAGCGAACGACCGGTGCGTTCCGATAAGGCGTTGGCTCTGGCCCTGGTGGTGAATCATGTGAATCATGGAGAAAAACTGATACAAATGACGTCACGATTCATGTTTGCTTTCTTTTGGGAGTTTGGTGGCACTCGTCTCCACCTGGTTGCCATAAGAAAGTTCACTTTTCATTATTTCTTCAATTCCATGTGTACAGTTAAGAAACATAACAATAGACCATTATCATGTTGCGGCCATCTTGATTTTTCCCATTCAAATCAACGCAACCAAAGCGAGACTGGAAGGAAAAAAATAGTCTGGTTCCTTTTTGCACAAAACAAATTATCATTCAGTACTGTTACTGGATACAGGGAACATGACTGAAATGGTGGCAGCATGATAAAGGTGTATTGACTGAGGCGGGACTCAACATGTGACCTGCGGAACACCATACCAGCACTCTGAGCAACTGAGCACAATAAGCCTATAATAATGGCGGTTCCAATTTGTCATTTTCTAATTCTCAAACAGTTGGTCATGCTCACATCTACGTATCGAAACTAAAGGATTTTGCATAGACATTGCATGAATCTTCCATCACTTTGCAACGTGCGTTTGCAATACCAGAAATCTAGCAAAATATTTTAGAGAAAAGAGAAAATCCAGTGTTAACTTTTTTTAGCTGCATATGACTGATCGATGTGCACAAAATTTGGTATTAAGATATGCAAAATATCCCCCACTCATTTTTGTCCAACATTTTCTTACCTGTTTCAGTCGTTGAGAACGGCACGGTAGGGTCCGCGACAGTGCTCATCTATTCAAAGAAAAACAATTTGTTGCAGGACCCTTTCGTGTTTACTATGTGAAAGAACTATTGCTGGAAAGATGATAATCGTTACAAATAATTAAATTTAAACGTAAGCACAAACACTCTACTGTGACCGTAAGACATTGTGTTGATTTCCTGATACCTGTTAGCTTGAGTAACTCCAGCTTAACGAGCTCATCAGGAATTCACATGTGAATTCCTGATGAGCTTGTTAAGCTGGAGTTACTCAAGCTAGATGCCTATATGCAGATTTTTGAAATGTGGTTATTAAACAACCAAGAACTTGATATTATTGCGATCTCCCGGCATTTTTTTTATGGAAGGATGCATCTTGTAGATCTAAACTTGGGACTCGTTCTTCCCTTGGCATTTGCCCCTTATGTGAAGATTATTACATACCTGAGATGACGTAGTTTCGATTGCCTGCGCCCCACTCGGCACAACGGACCCATCATCCCCACCGTAGCTTTCGAAGTAAGTGAACTTGGGATCGGAGCGAAAATCGGCGGGGAAATCTCCCTTGTCCCCGCCGTTCAACTGGCACACGCCTCCAGTGCCACCGTAGTTGAAGGACCGGCAGCCGTCTGATCGCAGACAGAGCCAGGCGCAGGCGGCTTGGCTCACGCGCGAGGCAACTTCGAAGGAGTGGCCGGATAGACGCGCGTTTTCGGTAGAGGAGTAATATCGGTCGCGAAAATGAGGACCACGATCACTCAAAACCACTGCCGACTGTGTCATGCACAACACTGCGAAAAGTAGTCCTGCGGCGATTACACACATTTTTCTTTCATCTGAGAAACTTCAACAAGCTAAAATATGTATTTTTTTCAATACAGCAGCCTGTTTCGTCACTGTTCGAAGAGCAACCGTAGACTGAGTATCGCCCGATGTCCCTTTAATGGAGCGCTCTAATGTCTGATTATGTGACCCCGCACGCGTCACGCCAGCCAATCCTAGTCGACTTTAGAAATTGTGACATCTTTCGATCAGAAATGATCGGTCGATTTGGCTGACATGTTTTTGTAATACAACAATGGGTTACGGAAGACCTGATGCAAGGCGCCCGCTGAATTGTCAGAATCTCGAGGTCAAACGCAGTCTTTCAAGTTTTGCATATTATTATTAATCGCCAAATCTGTTCGCATATCATAGACAAGACCTTTGCTGTGCAAATGTCAAAGACTACATTTCACCAAAATGCATGACATTTTCATAGCTTGATGTCTTATCGATTTCTTTTCTGTCGACCGAACTTTTTGATCGATACCGACCAATCGTTTCGCACTGCTCCAGAATGACGAGGTTCAACCAACGATGTTGGAAGATAAACATCATTCTCGGTTACCATGACGCCCGCTTTGCGTTGCCAGCCCACAATATGGATTTTGTTTACCACATGCAATAAATCCATTCATGTATTACTATTTTCAATGTCTTTTACTGAATGGAGAATATTGCACAATCTTATCTTTATCTTCATCAATTTAGACAGGGCCAAAAGTGGATACATAATCACGGGCAAGATGTCAACATATTGCTCGGAATAAACCTGTTTGTCGCGGTTGTCTCATAAAATCATAGCCCAACCTTACCCCACAAGCAATTTAAACACCAGCGCAGCCACAAGCTTCAAATTTTAATTAAAATCGATCTGGTTTATAGTTGCCTTGGTAACCGAGTTTTTATAGGCTAGTGCTGCAAAACTGGACGTGATATAATTCAAAACAAATTTCCGTCAATTAGTATTACTCACGCTGCACTGGTGCTTTTGTGAGTTTGTCTCTAGATAAAATTGCTACATTCTGCCGATGTGAGAATGGTCGGTGAAAGAAATCGTGGCGCGCACACGGTTACGCTCACCCTCATTTTGATACATTTTTTATGAAAGTGTTCACTATTAACAATTTTAACTTGGAGTGTTGACAAGAAAGTCCCCCAATTTTCCCTAGCATGCCTAAGCTGGACATGCATGTCGCGGATTTAAATTTTCATCACCATTGATTTTTTTCTCATTATTAACCATAACTCCGTAGAGCAAGTAAACGCAATCATATTAAATTAAAGTTGAAGGATTCCTGACGCTTTTACTTCAAGGACCGTCCGCTCTGATATGATAAATATGAATATTAGTTTCAACGTTGCTCAGCTATGTGTAGATCCTAAAATCCAAGTTTAGGCTATTTTTTTCAAGGATTGGTAAATGAAGGAAACCGAACGCCAAAAACAACAACTGAAATGTGTAACGTAGGCTTAACAATGTGCACACATAATTCATAAAAAATAACATGTTTACATCATGCAATCAAATTATGAATGGACGAACTATCCTGAGGGGTTAACGTCACATTTTTGAAATCGGGACGGCCCGGAAAATCGTAAGATTGTTGGGCAAAACTTTTTAGTCTTCAGTGCATTTATATCAAAATTTGGTTCATTATGTGTGTTGCACAGCTATGTACTGTACTTACAAAAATAGCGGCACCCACACGCGCTTTGCAAAATACGTAGCTGGCGCCAAAAAAACTGCACTAAAAAGCATTCATGCGTCGGTTTATGACTATAGAGGGCGTCCTCATGGTAGTTCACCCAGCACATGCGCAGAACAGCAACACGTGGTGTGTTCCGCCATTTCATTCTTCGCGCTCGCAGGCATAAAAAGCTCAATGACTCCTCCCAAGTCAGTTGTCTTTAACAAATTGATAACCTGCCTTCTCGGCGTGATAATTGAATGAAATCTGCTGACCTGACTGAAGGTAGTTTTGGTCAGTTTCAGTGGGAAATATTTCGTTGGAAGTTCGGATAAACTTGAAGAGAATTGTTGGCAGCAGTTCCGGAATGCCAATGGGAGTCCGAGATGGGGTGTGCATTTACGCATGTATGGTGGAATCGGAGTGACCGTAAGGTAATGGCAAAATTGCTAAATGGGCTTCAAAAATCTGCTAGATTTAACAAATACCTGCTAAATCACCTATTATTACACAAAATACGTTAAAAACACTGACACTCACATGCACATGTGAGTAAAATGTCCTTAAACAAAACAAAAATCGTAAAATTTCTTTAAAACAATGTGATTTTTTTTTCAAATGTGCAAGTGTCTCCTGGCGTGCAATGGTCTAAGTACTTTACTGTGTACTAATAAACGTCAAGGAACCTCAAATCGAAGTTTTTCCAAACTAATCAGCTATTTTTTTTAAATGTGCCATATTTTTTTGTCAGATCACCAAATGTACAGAATTCTGACACAAATCTGTTAAAAAAACTCATCCTGCTGAATTTTCATTCAAACTCTTTTTGTTGTTGTTGAAAAAAATCTGTCAAATTTGGCGGAACTTCAGCTAAAACGGTCACCCTGGGTGGAGCAAAAAGCGCAGTGGCTATCGTGACGGCAGCCGTAACGCGATTTTCAACCTGGCTCAAGCTGGCCGCAATGTCGGCCCAATTTCCAGCCTCGAACTCGGCCTCAAAAACTCAGCCTCAAACTCATTAAATCCAAACCGCATGCACCAAAGGGAGGTCGATGTTTATTCCTGGGGGAATTTTTGTTTTAAAGGAACGTTTTAAAACTGTGCACAAGTTAATGGGAAAAATATAGAAAATCGACCTCCCTTTAGTGCATGTGTTTTGGATTTTACGAGTTCGAGGGTGAGTTCCAGACTGGAAATCGGGCCGACATCGCGGCCAGCTCGAGCCAGGTGATTTTCAACTTCTATCATTACAGAACCATCTGGTTCTCTGACCTTATAGTATTCAACATCATTCAAATTCATATCTCGAAAGTTGCTATTCAAAATTGTTGCATAAAGCTTAATACCACATCATTGCGTCAATACAGCATTGTTGGAAATGCAGTCACATCAGTACACGATTTCCATGATTTTTTTTAACCATGGAGCTGTGGTCAGAGTGGGTTTCTGTGTGTGTGTGTTCTTTACTACCATTTCTTCAAAATAGTACAACAGATATACATGAACTTTCACCAAATTTGTCGAACCCAATGAGACCTGTCTGAAATTTTCTTAGTGTTTTCTCAGTAAATACTTCAATATTTGTCCAGCTAAATTTGAATTTTTAGGACAAATTATCACTTTCTGATGGCTGAAAGCAGGTCACTGGACGGAAAAATTAGTGATGGCCAGATATGGGAATCTTTCCCAAAATACACACATGTACCAGACTGGAACATATCTGATTTGCACTTGCTTTGCTAATTGCCACATATTTTTAATGTTTTTTTTTTAATTTGGGTCCAGATCATTCTGACTCGCTCTGCACAGTGGAGAAAGAGAGAAAGGAATTTGGGTGGCAGTTATGGAGCCAAGCCAAGCCCGTAGCCAGCAGAGACAAAGACCGCTGGAGAAAAGGCCTAGCAGCCTTAATGGGCCACTGGGCCTGAAGAGGATAGGGGAGGTGAGTAAATGATATAATTGTTTATTAATAATGTAGAATGTGCCATGAGCGTCTTGCTTGGCGGATACCTGGTGCTATAATCACCATTCATAAATACCTAAGGCAGTTTACGTATTCCTATTGGCAGTGGCGTAGCCAGGAATTTTTCAGGGGGGGGGGGGGCGCTGGGGGGGCTGGAACATTTCATGGGGGGGGGGGCGTCAAGTAGATCAATGATAATTTTTTTAGAAACTCAAAATCTCAGTGGGGGGGGGGGGGGGGGGGGACTGAGAGGCGAAGCCGAGGGTAATTATCACCCTTCCAGACTCCGGAACACCCTTCGGAACACACATTTATTCCCTTATTATCACTCGTGATCTTAATTTACTAAAGTTTGACTTTGCCCTTCAGCACCATATTTTAAGCTCCTGTCACACAGTGCCATTCTCTAGCCCCATTTATGCAGAAGCGTAGCTAGAGGAGGTTGGGGGGGGCGTGTCGTTGCCTCCCCCCAGTGAATTGAATCGGGGGGGGGGGGGGGGGAAGGGGGCACACCCCCCATAAAACATGCCCCCCATAAATAATCATCACCTCCCCCCCCCACGGAAATTTGGCAGTCTTAAAAAAATCATGAGACCAAGATAAGCGGGTTCAACATGAAGTGCCTGTTTAAACATTTTAAATTTATTTTTAGCACAAAACCCTGCTTTTTTGCGATTCGTTGTATATTTTAATGTTCCGCGGAGCACGTGTAGCGATACCATTGTCTGACGATGAATTCCGTTTTGAACAGCGCCCTCATTGAAAGATGGTGTCAAGCCCCCCTCCCCCTCCAAAGTCCCCCCTCCCCCTCCTCTCTCCCCCCCCCCCCCCCCCCCCATTATTTGATTTCATGGAGGCCGGGTGTCCGATGACAGAACCCTGTCTACCTTTGAGCATGGATTTTAATTGGGCGCCCCTCCACTATAACATCAAGCCCCCCACTCGCCCCCCTAGGATGACAACCCTGGCTACGCTGCTGTGTGTGTGATACGATGGTTAATACCAACAACAATTATTGAAACTTGGCTGGGATGCGGGAAATCAATGAAAACATGGCTAGGCTCCAGCCTTGGATCCCAGGCTTCCCAGACCATATTTGGTGTGTGCCCCATCCTAGTCCAATTCTCGTCCAGTCCAAACTGATATGATACACTGTGCCCTCTGGAGACATGCACACAATAGGGAACAAAATATTATATACATCTCCACAGGGCAATTTCTATAGATGAATACGTTTTCACAAGGTTTTCACGAAATAGATATGGATTTTACTCAAAAACTAGGAATTTTCAAGGTATGTTGATCCATCGCAAATGGTAGAGTTTTAAAAAAGGGATATTAAGTCCGAATTTCAGCCAAGGAAATTAATTCTAGTTAAAATAAGAGCATTTTGAAACTGTACTTTCAAACTCGAAAACTCGAGAACAAAGAAATGTCTCCACAAGGATACAAATTTCAGTATGTGTGTTCTCAGGCGGTTCTATTCAAGACAAATGTGGCTCACATGAATTTTGTGTAGAGCAATCCCAAACTGTATTTAATATTGCCCTCAAACTCATCTATGTTTGTCTTTTATTTTTGAACAGATATGAAACAAGACACAAGCAAGAGGTGCAAGCAAGTGGCCAGCGAGATGTACGTGTTCACTATGGTAGCTGTTGAGCGTTCAAATTGAGCCAGTGAACACCCAAGACCCAGGAACTCAAGACCCAGGAACTCAAGACCCAAGTACAGAGTGAGTCAGAAGCATTTACATTGCATTTTTTATATCCAAGCAACAGTAGCGTATCCAGCTTTTGATGTCGGGGGGGGGGGGGGGGGGGGGGAGCAACCACACATCCGCGCCGAAATGTAGACATGTTTTTTTCTCCGGACACTTGGCCCCCGTAAATCAAAAAGCACCCCTGCAAGTTGAAAACATTAAAAGTGGCTGCCTGAATTCCATGGAGAGTCTGTCAGCAATTTCCCCCCCCCCCCTCTCCACCGCCCTAAATTCAAATATTGGTTATGCGATGCCCCTGTCACCAATTTAAACAGGCTGATCAACCAAAACTGAATTTTCATCCCTAAAAAAAGGCTATTGCTCAAGAAGGTAAAAACGTTTCCTCATTATGGAATTATAGTTTCAGGAAACTTGCAAATGCAATGATGCAAGTTTCTATTTTATGGTGCTGACATCTGCTGGGATGTAGCCTCAATCCTGCAAAACCCTCCAATTGGCCTCATGGATAGTATAGCCTCCATCCTGCAAATTCCTCCATTATTTCCTGAATATGGTCCATGGAGGGGTAACCACTGCCTGAATCCTGCAAAATCCTGTGGCAGCGACTGTCGATATGTCGAGGCTTGGCCAGTGACATCCTGCATGGCTGAGCAAAAACAACACACGGTCCGGCTCAAGACCTTGACAAGTGCATCCTACGAAATCAGTAACACACTTTTGCCTTGTAACCTCAATCCTCCAAATTCCTCCACTTTGGCAAAGAGGATTTTGAAGGATTCAGGGCAGTAAGGGTTAAAACTGTCAAAAGGCCAGAAGTAGGCAGGCTTGCTGGAATATTCCTATTGAAATAACTTTCTTTGTTTAAAGGTAATAGCTAGGGTGCTAATGGTGGAGCACACACATGAGATTGAGGATGCCGATGATGACATATCAAGGATTGTCTAGTTGGAAAACCCTAACCACGTAGATGGGCACTCACCCTGGAGGTGAAGGAAGATTCCCATATCTGGCCATCACTTGTCACCCTGTGCACATACCCTATGAGACTGGACTGAAAATGTCTGTTTTCTCAGTAAATACTTCAGTGTTTGACTTTTTAGGACATATTATCACTTTTGGATGGCTGGCAGGTCACTGAAGGGAAAAAGTTGTGACGGCCAGATATGGGAATCTTTCTGAGGTGAAATCTTGCACCACATCTTGCAAAATTAATTACGTGATAATACCTTGCAACAAAATCACTGAACAGATCTCTTTATCTTGCAAGAGAACTCTGAAGTAAATTTATGTGGAATAACATTTTCCGCTCAGTTTGACCAATTTTATGCACGCCATTTTACCTTTGAACAGCACATATGGCAAGAGAAATTCTGGGAATGTGTTCTCAGGCTTTTTTCATGCAATTTTCAAGCAATTTCATTTTTTTAGCCAAATGAATTGAAAAAGTTGTCCTTACATTTTTAGCAAATTTTCACTTTCCTGGAAACAGCTCAGAAACAATTAAGGGTTCATAATTAGCATATTTTTATACTCCTTAAGTGATTATTTCAGAAATTTGAGCAAATATAAAGGATTTATTGGGAAAAAAATGAATGGGAATGCAAGGGCGGATCCAGAACACAATTTTGGGGGGGGGGGCCAAAAAAATTTTTGGTGCCCCAAAAAAAGTGGGTCAAAAAAATTACGGCGTGGGGTTCGGGGCCCGCTTAAGGGCCCCGAAAAATTTTTGGATTCTAGATGCTCTGTGGTGCGATCTGAGGCAATTTCTGACCACTTTAACCAATGTTTTTTTGAGGAAAAGATGGTGGTGTACTCATTGCCTGCCTTTATTGCGATGTCACATAAAAAAAAAAAAAAATTTGTTTCGTTTTTGGGGGGGGGGGCCATGGCCCCCTTTGGCCCCCCCTGGATCCGCCCTTGTGGGAATGTGTCGCAAGGGCCCTCAGACATCCTCCTTGCAATTTTCAAGCAATTAAATTTTTGAACCAAAATTGAAAATAAATACAAGGGGTTAACCTTACATGTTTATCAAATTTTGGTCAAACTTTGACTATTCTGGAAACAACTCGGAAGCACTTTATGGTGCATGATTAGCATATTTTAATACTTCAAAACCGATTGTTTGAGAGATTTAGACAATAAGGGATTTATTGAGGAAAAAAAATCACATTTTCCGCTCAGTTTGACTAATTTTATGCACGTCATTTTACCTTTGAACGGCACACCTGGCAAGAGTAATTATGGGAATGTGTTCTAAGGGCCCTCGGGCATCTTCCATGCAATTTTCAAGCAATTTCATTTTTTGGGCCAAAATTGAAAAAGTTGCAAGGGGTACCCCTTACATTTTTATCAAATTTTGGTCAAAATTTGACTTTCCTGGAAACAACTCGGAAACACTAAAAGGTGCATCAGAAACAATTAAGGGTTCATAATTAGCATATTTTTATACTCCTTAAGTGATTATTTCAGAAATTTGAGCGAATATAAAGGATTTATTGGGGAAAAAATTAATAATTTCAATCAAATGTTACAAAATTGTGTGTACATGCACTCCATACTTTCTTTTTAAGGCAATTTGGCAAGAGGAATTATGGGAATGTGTTGTAAGGGCCCTCAGACATCATCCTTGCAATTTTCAAGCAATTTAATTTTTGAGCCAAAATTGAAAAAAAATTGCAAGGGGTTAACCTTACATTATTTTTTATTAAAATATGGCGACAATATTTTTCAGCAATTTTATCAAAGGTGATTAAATATCAGCTTTGATTATTTTGTCTGTCAGTGTCCGTTGTCCAAAATGTTTAATAGTGCTGTATTTGTAAATAGTGTTTAGTATTAAATAATTCATTGAATGTGTTAACCTGATATCAATTCATGTAAACTTAAGCTGAATGTGCCTCATTTTTGTCAGTTATTGTGACTTTGTCAGTTTCTTTCTCTTTTTTTTATTTTTAAGGGCGGGGAAACATAGATTTGTCTTGTAATTTATATTAAAATATCGGTAATGGAAGCATTTTTCAACTACCCTTTTACAACGTAAACAGAACTTTGGGAACAAGATAAGAAGCCCTGGGAACAAGGTTGATGCCCTGCGGACAAGGTTGAAGCCCTGGGGAGGAGGTTGACGCCCTGGGAATTACGGTCGCCCCTAGCGGTACGCGCGTTTCTATATACCGCTAGAGGCGATCAAGAACAGTCGCCCCCAGAGGTACGAGCGTTTGTGTATACCGCTAGGGGCGACAATAACGGTCGCCCCCAGCGGTACGCGCGTTAATACATACCGCTAGGGGCGACAATAATGGTCGCCCGCAGCCGTACAAGCGTTAATATAAACCGCTAGGGACGACAATAATGGTCGCCCCTAGTGGTACCCGCGTTTCTGTATACCGCTAGGGGCGATTAATAACCGTCGCCCCTAGCGGTACGAGCGTTTGTGTATACCGCTAGGGGCGATCAATAACCGTCGCCCCTAGCGGTACGAGTGTTTGTGTATACCGCTAGGGGCGATCACTATCGGTCGCCCCCAGAGGTACGAGCGTTTGTGAGTACCGCTAGGGGCGACAATAATGGTCGCCCCCAGCGGTACGCGCGTTTCTGTATACCGCTAGGGGCGATTAATAACCGTCGCCCCTAGCGGTACGAGCGTTTGTGTATACCGCTAGAGGCGACCAAGAACGGTCGCCCCCAGAGGTACGAGCGTTTGTGTGTACCTCTAGGGGCGATCAATAACGGTCGCCCCTAGAGGTACGAGCGTTTCCGTATACCGCTAGGGGTGATCAATATCTCTAGGTATCTTAAATGGTCGAAATCGGTCAAGCGTAGCGCTTACTGCGCTATAGCCTTTGCTCAGAAACACTTTACAACTCAGAAACACTTTATGATGCACGAACAACTTGTTTTAATACTCCTGAAGTGATCATTTGAGAGATTTAGGCAAATACAAGGGATTTATTGAAAAACAAATAACATTTTACACTCAATTTAATCAATGTTGTAAAAGCAATATTCCCCTTGAATGGCACGTTTTGCAAGGGATACTTTCAAAATGTGTTCTAATGGCCCTTAGGCATCTTCCATGCAATTTTCAAGCAATTTCATTTTTTGGCTAAAATTGAAAAAAAAAGCAAGGGGTACCCCTTACATTTTTATCCAATTTTGGTCCAAAATTGACTTTCCCGGAAACAACTCAGAAACACTTCAAGATGCGTGAACAACATGTTTTAATACTCCTGAAGTGATTATTTGAGAGATTTAGACAAATACAAGGGATTTATTGAAAAACAAATGACATTTTTTACTCTATTTTACCAATGTTGTTCACGCCATATTTTCCTTGAACAGCACATTTTGCATTAAAATTTTTTTGCAATGTGTTCTAATGGCCCTTAGGCATCTTCCATGCAATTTTCAAGCAATTTCATTTTTTGGCCAAAATTGAAAAAAAAGCAAGGGGTACCCCTCACATTTTTATCCAATTTTGGTCAAAAATTAACTTTCCTGGAAACAACTCAGAAACGCTTTAGGATGCGTGAACAACATGTTTGAATACTCCTGAAGTGATTATTTGAGAGATTTACACAAATACAAGGGATTTATTGAAAAACAAATGACATTTTTTACTCTATTTTACCAATGTTGTGCACGCCATATTTTCCTTGAACAGCACATTTTGCATTAAAATTTTTTTGCAATGTGTTCTAATGGCCCTTAGGCATCTTCCATGCAATTTTCAAGCAATTTCATTTTTTGGCCAAAATTTAAAAAAAAAGCAAGGGGTACCCCTTACATTTTTATCCAATTTTGGGTAAAAAATTGACTTTCCCGGAAACAACTCAGAAACACTTCAAGATGCGTGAACAACATGTTTTAATACTCCTGAAGTGATTATTTGAGAGATTTAGGCAAATACAAGGGATTTATTGAAAAACAAATAACATTTTACACTCAATTTAATCAATGTTGTAAAACCAATATTCCCCTTGAATGGCACGTTTTGCAAGGGCTACTTTCAAAATGTGTTCTAATGGCCCTTAGGCATCTTCCATGCAATTTTCAAGCAATTTCATTTTTTGGCTAAAATTGAAAAAAAAGCAAGGGGTACCCCTTACATTTTTATCCAATTTTGGTCAAAAATTAACTTTCCCGGAAACAACTCAGAAACGCTTTAGGATGCGTGAACAACATGTTTGAATACTCCTGAAGTGATTATTTGAGAGATTTAGGTAAATACAAGGGATTTATTGAAAAACAAATAACGTCATTTTACACTCAATTTAATCAAAGTTGTAAAAGCAATATTCCCCTTGAATGGCATGTTTTGCAAGGGACACTTTCAAACTGTTTTTCTAATGGCCCTTAGGCATCTTCCATGCAAATTTCAAGCAATTTCATTTTTTGGCCAAAATTGGAAAAAAAAGCAAGGGGTACCCCTTACATTTTTATCCAATTTTGGTCAAAAATTAACTTTCCCGGAAACAACTCAGAAACGCTTTAGAATGCGTGAACAACATGTTTGAATACTCCTGAAGTGATTATTTGAGAGATTTAGACAAATACAAGGGATTTATTGAAAAACAAATAACATTTTTTTCCACTCAATTTTTAACAAAATTGAAAAAAATTGCAAGGGGTTAACCCTTGCGTTTTTGGCCAAAAAAATTAAATTGCTTGAAATGAGCAGGAATGCTGCCAAAAGTACAGTGTACCATAGAACAAACTCCAACTTGATTTATGGACAGATGATAGAGAATTCCTTCAAAAATATGGAGAGAAAATGGGTTACAAACATTTCTCCAATAAATTGATGAATTTTGCCCAAATGTTCAAAATTATTGGTATTTGAATACTGATAGAAGTTCATTTATATAGCTTTAAAATAAACAAAAAATAAAAAACCAAAAGATAGAAGAAGTAACTTTATCAGTACATACTTATTTTGGAAATACCAATATTGGAAGTCATGTTGATAACGACTAATTATAATATACATTTTTACCTTTAAAGAATTGCATTTACAATCTTAGTTGATAAATTTGCTAAAAATGCAATTTTCTAGACATGACAAGCCACGTTACTTGCTTCAATGCCATAGTGCATTGTTTTAATTTCACCTAATTAATAATTCCCTCCTCTAACAATTTTTCATATCTTTATGGCCTAGTTTGGGAAAAAACAATTAACACCCTAAATCCAGGGAACATGAATACTAAATGTTATTGCGAACCACATTCTAGTACCTTTAAAAATAGTAAAGTTGCATGAAATGTTACAGACATGTACAAATATATTTGAAATATCAACCGACACAGAATATAATACCTTTTCCTGCTTCAGCCATTTCTTACCATACATTCTAAATTTTTCACATTGTTTTTATTGCATGTACATTTGGATAGCACAATTTCATACACCGAGCAGCACCAAATATTACCAAGTTATTATTATTTATGTCAAGGGATGCGATACAAAAATAGCAGTGTGTAGGCCTTGTCAAAGAATGATGGAAAATTCTATCACCAAAACAATTTATTCAAAGGATAGCTAACGAGTGGGATAGCTAAAAAGTAAAATCTAGAAACACTTATACAGCTTTACCTAAAACTGCCATAATGGGAAAAAAACATGAAAACAATTATTCAAAGATGGAAAACATTCAAAATGTAGTCTTAATTACTTTTGCAAATTAAGCATTTACAAGGCGTTTGGGTGTACATGAGGAAAATACGCTTGCCTTATCCAGCCAAACCCTTTCCAGTTTACGCATACTGCCCAAGATACAAACACTGTAAAACCAATTGATATTCATGGTTTGTATATCGGAAGGAACAGTTCAAGAAGCTTATAAACTAAGAAAACAAACATTAATCTCAAAATTGCATTGACATAGCATGCGGTCCAAGTACAACACAAAATGACGTAAACAAGTGCACAAAGATGGTATAGGAAAGGTACGTGTACATTCTAGCGAGACATTACAACAACTTTTAAATCTTGCAATTTTGATCTCCTGATCTACCCGAGGATCTGACGCCTCTTTTTGTGTCTGACCCCTCCCCCCCCCCCCCCCACACCATCATGTGTAACACTGTCTGCCGACAATTTGCAGTACTTGGGGAAACAAAAAATTCTACTTCTAAAGTAAAGACGTCAACATTTCAAGTGGAAGAAAAAAATATATGATGAATCCTTTACAATACAACTTAATCTTTACTGTTTTATCCATAATTTTATTTAAAAATATACTTATTGCTACAGAAGTATTTTTCAGAAGTTTTAGTCAAGCTCTGGTTTATCTCACTGATCCACATGGCCTGGCCTATATCCGGCCTACCACGTGCAGTAGGCAGTAGGCACAAGCCTTCAAAGCTGTGATGATTGGCAAAAACTGTGAGAAAATTACGGAGCCAACACCCAATACTGGGTCAGCACGATTATGACGACCGTACACGGCACAGGTAGTGACAATTTTGCCATTTGACAAAAAATTCGCAGTTACTTGAAAATAAATCCTACCGTCTAGTTTATTACGCACGACGTAGTTGCTATAAACCAAATACTTGCCCTACTGCACTGGGGAAACTGGACGGTCATGTGAGCTTTAACTTCATACAATCAGATCCTGTGCAAGCTTCACAGCACAGAAACAAATGGCATAATGTCATCTCAACTCTCTTAACTTCATACAATCAGACCCTATGCAAGCTTCACAGCAAAGAAACGAATGCCATAATGTCATTTCAACTCTCTTATGACAACTACGACAGATTGATAACTGCTTGAGACATGATATATTACAAGTATTGAATACACAATTATTAACTCACTTGTATAATACATTATACACATTCATTGAAATTACTTCACCGCAATTAAGGTGAAAGCACCACAAGGGAAAACATGTACATGGAATTACCAGCACTCAAGTTTTAAGATTAGGCCAAAAAAAAAAATACTCCGGTCTCTGGTCAGCGCGCGCGTTGATTTTAACCATGCGCGTCAACCTTTTTTTCCCTTCAAATTAACACGGAAGCTACAACAGCGCCCTCTATTGCCGCGCGCCCTCTATTGCCGCACCTCCTCAAATTTTTGTACCAAGGAGCACCAAGGAATGGGGAAATTGCACCAAGGCAAATGATAAAGGGCACCAAGGCAAATTATGGAGAACACCAATGTATCGAGGGCACAAAAAAAGCAAAATAGTACCCACCTTTTCTGTACAATTCAAGCTTGAAAAAAAAAAAAACCACCAAAAAAACCGCATCGCCACATCAATTCCGGAACTTCGGTCTGACCAGAGACCGATTGTTTTTTTTTTGGGCCTTATACAAGTATGTTGGCAGAGCTGTAATCACCCCCACGTATCTTTCACTCATCCTTCAAGCCACACATTGGACCATTGGCTGGTTCCTGACTCCCTCCATCTTGGCCTTGTCCACTTTGACACCGGGGGTGAAGACCACACCTCCTGGCCCAGCGAGGGACGTGTGACCCATCAGGTGGAGGTCAATCTCCCGAGCCGCCTGCCGTCCCTCGTTGATGGCGTGGACGACCAGCGATTGACCACGATGACAATCTGACAACAAAAAGCAACACATAACTTGTTTTTCCTATTGATTTTAAATGGCAAGAGCTAATAAACAACCCCAAAAAACAGGAATTGAAAGGAAATTTCCAATAACCAGACACACACAACTTTTTTCAGATCCTATACGACTCTCTTCCGCACTCAAATGGTCCCTATTATTGATGCAAAATGGTCTTTCACACCATACTTTCCAAGTAAGTTCATTTACTCAAAGAAAAGTACGGGTATTTACCTTCCAGGGCAAAGTAAACAATTATTAAAGTAAACAATTATTAGACCAAAATAAATTCAGAAACAGCCATTTCCCTATTGTTTTGAATAATTTTTTGAATGGGCTGCAATCCTAAAGAGGTTGTGTACAAAGCAGGAATGCTTTTTTCTTGTGGAATTTTTGTCATTGTATGCAAGTCCTGTGTACGAGAACTCGGAAAATGACACAGCCTCCAAATTAAGTAGACGTTTAAATACGACCTTTTCATTCTATCAGGATGAAAGTATATATTTAATCATCTACTCCAAAATTTGGAAGCTGGTCAAGATCTAAATGTTAGACCCTCTAGCTCCTTATCTAAAATGTTTGCTTGTTTATATTTAGCCGTTTGTTTGTTTTTCAAGGAAAACAAAAATCTTACCCCCGGCAGTGTAAACTCTTGACACGCTGGTCCTGTATTTCCCGGTCACAGTCTCAATATTTGCCCTGGGGTCCTGGTCCAACGCTAGCTGGTTGATGATACTATCCTCAGGCCCTAGGAATCCCATGGCAAGGAAGACCAAGTCTGCCTTGAAGGTCCTCTCAGTGCCTCGGACCTTCTCCATGGTGTACCGGCCCGAGGGTTCGCGCTTCCATTCCACCTTGACGGTGCGGATGCCTGCGACACGGCCAGTACCGTCATCCAGGAATTCCTGTAAAATAGTTGGGAGTAATGTTTAGAATTGATCAGAAATTTGACAGAGCAATGAATTATGCCGTAAGTTGGCCTCTTCTTAGTCAGGGATATAAACTTTAAGGGTACAAAAAGGAGGAAATTCCTTGACTTAAGAAAACTTGCATGTTTTTAAAAAATGTTCAATCAATGGCAGACAGGGGATTAAAAGAAAGGGACATCGGATAAACTGAGGAAAAGTTGCATGACTCCATATTGAAGCAGTTGTGTCTTTCGGTGGATAAAAATGTTTGATACGTTTGTCCATAGCATTTTGTTCCTCATCTTTATTATTAAATGTTCATAGGATTGCAAGCTCCACATTACCCACACCATTTATGTAACACAAGATGTATGTATCTTTATGTTTTTCATCTTAAAGTAAAAAATAAAAAAGCAGTAAATTTACCACATAAAGTAACTGACAATTTGACTATTGTCACTTTTAAACAACACCAGGCTTTCAAGCAGACCCAGGTGAAATAGGAGGAGAACTGTATGATCAAATTTAAAAAAAAACACCAAAAAACAAACAAACAAACAGGAGAAAAGGACTTTGGAGGAGAAAATCTGGATAAAACTAGGACTGTTGTGGGCTTTCAGGAGTAGTATTCTTTGATAATCACCCATGTCCACAGCATGAAACGTTGCTTTTACCTCACTCAGGATGTCAAAGTTCCTGGGGTCTTGTCCATGCTTCAGTTTGACCTCATCGTGGCCGTAGTCAAAACGCAGAACCCGGGGCCATGTCGGCCAGGGGTTGCTGTTGGCCCTTGTGGGAGGAGGTTGAGAGAGGATCTCAAAGGTAGTAATGGACTTGGCATCCTTAGTGGGAAAGAGGTTAAAATCTGATCAGCTGAAGTCAAATGACACATGAATACATAGCAACTGTTTCTCAATACCTTCCAAACTTTTTAGTAGAAATTAAAGTATCAAATTAGAAGTATCATTTTTAGTAGAAATTAAAGTATCAAATTATGCACAATTAATGACACTAATACATGTACTGCATTTTGCCCTTCACCCAAGCTTACAAATTTGTCTTACAAGTCAATGAACGATCTTTAAAATATTTCCAAAGTAAAAGTATTGCAACAACCAACCACTTGCATACAGTTAGGTATAAAGGTTAAATAGGTTTATCGGCTAAGCAAATTTTGATTACAAGCCAATACATAGAAGTTTGGATCTGTTTCTGCTTATGACGTCCAGCCCATTTCTGCTTACCATCCGTAGTGATGTTCCGATGCAATCTACCCCGGTGTCCCCACCTCCTATGATGATGATATCTTTACCCTTCGCATCGACGTGATCGTTATCGTTGCCCATCTGTCTCTGCTGCCATCTCCCCAGGAAATCCATCGCAAAATGGATGCCTTCTAGGTCTCGGCCTGGAAAAACGTAAAACAGTCATCACATAATCCTCACCATTCGTAGGTTTGGAAGTATTTTGAAACCTTTTCTATTTGAGAATGTTGTATTGAATAGCAATATAAGCTGAGCTTGCACTACTTGTGCCGGCCAACACAAGGATGTATATTGGGGCTGTAAAACTGTTGTATCGGTGATCTGCTGAAAATATTTCACATTCTGGTTTCTCCCTAATAAATTAGGGGGCAAAACATTGCATTAATTTACTAGAAAAGAAAAAAATGTACAGTATGAAGTCTATTGGTTTTCCAAAACAATTTAGTTTTCATGATCTTCATTGTAAGAGTGATATTGTCAGTCGTACCATGAAGTGACGTATCGTATGCACAAAGTCCACAGTCGATACATCATTTGCACCGGACGAATTAATACAGCTGGAATTAGGAGTAAGATACCCCAAAGCAGAATTTGAAACTTATATGTTACCCTTCATCAGCCATACGAAAGCTCATAACTTGCAAAAATTATTACGTTAAACACTCCATTTCCTTCTCCCAAAAAATATCTTTTTTAAGAGAAGCCAGCAATTCAATTTACCAACTTTAGCCTCAGAAAATCAGTAACTCAGTTTGGGTGCCATATCCAAGAACAATGGGCCAATCATCTTCACATTTGGGGTAAACAGTTGAATTCTCACCAGGTATGGGCAGATCCCTGGGGCGTGTGGACCCCACGCACAGCAGCAATGCATCATGGTCTTGCAGGAGTTGTTTAGGGCTGATGGTGTCGCCCACGTTTGCGTCGGTTACAAACTGTATCCCCTCATCTCGCATCAAATCAACACGACGCTGCACAACCTGTGGAAAAAAACAACAATGTGAACACTAGTCGATATTTTGTTCAAAAAATTGTGTTAATTATTTACACTAACTCCACACTTGTAATATATTTAGACTTCAGGGCTCAAAATTGAGTGATTGGGAATACAGGCTTGGAAAATGCTTAATAAGCTATCGCTTACTTTCAAAGTGCAAGAGTATGCTCAGTTACATTTCAGTTTACAACTAACTTACAGACCGGTTTAATGAATGATACAAGAAAGCTGCAAACTTATGTCAACACTTTGATCATGTAATCTACTTTGCTATCACTTTTAAGAAAGGTGGCTTCTTTTAAAAAGGTGGAAGAAAAAAACATAAATGTTATTCTCTTAAATTTTATTTTCGTAAATTATTGATTTTTACATCTATTTTTAATTCAGTTTTTAAGACAATGAACAAAGGGCTAGATGGATAAGTTTCAAAGTTCAAAGATTCAAATCCTATTTCAGTCGATATTCCTTCTACAATCTCAACTTGATAAAATATTTAAACTTTCCTTGTCATGTGGCAGTGAAATATAGAACTTTATTCTGCAAATAGCATCTCAGAATTTCAGGTTTACTGCTCAAGAAAAGAAAACAATTAGAATCATTGTTAATGTTAACAATTATTTTTTACAACGGACTTATTCCTCAGTTCAAAAGAGTAGGTCACATACAATCTAATTAGTTTCAGAGGAGGAGGATGAGGATTGTCTACTCACGGCTTTGCTGAGTTTCATGGATGGTATCCCGTACATCAGCAGTCCACCGATCCTATCACTCCTCTCATACACCGTCACCAGGTGACCGGCTTTATTCAGCTGAGCCGCGGCTGCTAGTCCTGACGGGCCGCTGCCTACGACGGCCACGGTCTTACCGGTGCGGAAGGAGGGTGGGCGGGGCTTCATCCACCCTTGCTCAAAGGCGTGGTCGATGATGGTGTTCTCAATGTTCTTAATGGTCACGGCTGGGGCGTTGATGCCCAGAACACACGCTCCCTGAAATATAGACGGATAAGAAATACCCCTGTAGAACAGGCAGAAACATTCCACAAGTTCAAAAGTATTGAAATTTGTTTTGTAAACGAGCGGACGGGATTCAGATTTTGTTTTGAAGCCATACCTCGCAGGGAGCAGGGCAGCACCTCCCGGTGAACTCGGGGAAGTTGTTGGTCACCTCCAGCCTCTCGAGGGCGTCCTGCCACTGACCTTTGAAGACCAGGTCATTCCAAGAGGGGATGATGTTGCCAAGGGGACAGCCCGTGTGACCCTGACAGAAAGGGGTGCCACAGTCCATACATCTACGGGATAGAGGGAATCAGTAGTCAGTTTTAATTTTGGGTTTTTGCCTTCATAAACATAATATTTTTTAAGCACTATTTACTCAGTGCTGTCTGAGAAATCGTTTTTTTTTTCTTTCGCTTTAGTCAATTTATCTTTATCTTTTATCTTTCAAATTGAAAGACAGAAAGTTAAGATTGAAGTTCATACCTTGCGGCCTGTGTTTTAAGTTCTTTCTTCACAGACTTGTGGTCATAGATTTCACCCCAGTCCTTCATGCGTACTGCTACTTTCCGGTACGGTTGGTTGTTCCTCTTGTATTTAACAAAACCCCTGACAAAGAAAGAAGTGAACCCTATCATTATATCAAGGATAAATATATCACAAGAGTCTTTTGATGACTGACACTATTCTCATACTTCAATACTGGGTTTGGTTCTTCACTGACTTGACATAGAAAGACTAAACCCAACGTTGTACATTTCTCTGATGCAAAATAATTCCATCATTTGTGATTGATTCACGTACCTTGTTTTGTCTAAAATCCTCTCCAACTGTCTTTTTTCCATCTCAGCATCCGGTATAGCCTCCTCAATGTCGATCACTTTGGGTTCTGTCTTCTCATTGGATGGTTTCTCCCCATTCATCTCTAGTGGTCCGTTCTGATTGGTTGACCCATTTATTACATCCATTCCATTGGTCAGTTTGTGAGTGGATGGCTCTGCCTCCTTTTGCTTGGCAAGGTTTTTGGCTTTCATTTTGAGAAGTGCGTCTCTGTACTGATCAGGGAAGACCTGAAAAATAAAAACAAATTGATAAATTTTTATTTATTAATCTTCTTGGAAAAAGTATCTTAGACCACGAAGGCCAGTTCGATTTCTCATTCACGGTCATAAATGAGAGAAAAAAACATTTACCTTGACCAAATACTTGACTTCCTCATCCCAGTTGGTCAGAACCTTGGTTGCGACCTCTGACCCAGTCAGGTCAACAAACTTCTGGAGTTGCTCCTGGATGAAGGTCACATCTATGGCCTTGTCGACTGGTCGCAGGGTCACCGACTCCTTGTTGCAGAGAATGGGAAACTGTCCTGATCTGAAAGAACGAAAACAGGGTTCCACTGTAAAACGCGAGTAAATTCTCGAAAGTTTGATTGCCATATGTGACTGACCTCTGGAATAGACTGCATGAAGTTGTTTTCCAAGACTTATTAATTTAAGACAGTATGTAAGTCCTTGGGTTTGGAAATGACATTATCAAGTCAGTGTTGTAATCGAGCCCATCTCAAGGCGACCAAAAGTCCGGTCACAAGTAAATCGGGAGTAAGTGAAGTGTTGTTGTCTCATGGTTAAGGGCACTGGATTCATGGTCTGTGGGTAAAGCTGCGGGTTGTGGGTTCGAGTCCAGCCGGGGTCATGGTGCGTGTGCCCTTGAGCAAGGCACTTTGTCACTCATTGCTTCTCTCCACCCAGGAGTAAATGGGCACCTGTGAGGGCAGAGATGGTTATTGTGATTGAATAAGCTTGCTTGCGCCTAACAGGCAGCATCCAGCTGTGTACTCCCCAGGGAGCTGAGATGGTATTTGGAATGTTTAATTGGCCCAATGATCAGAGGTAATAATAATACTGTAAGCGCTTTGATTTAGTTTACTAATAACAGCGTTCCTAAATGCGGATTAGTATTATTATTATTATTATTATTATTATTAAGTCCAATCGCAAGTACATGTAACAGTGGGTGAACAACACAAAAGGAATCCTTTTGACACAGTTCATTTGAACAGCTTTTGACGCGACCGGGGTCTGGTTGACTTGTGAAGACTGGTGAGGACTTGCGATGGACGAAACAACAACACTGTAACAATTTAAAGTAATAATTTCGGAGAGCTGAAAATTGCAGAAAAATTCGAATTTCCCATCCACTTATTTGGCTCATTATCTGAAGTTGTATCCGAACAATTTCAATCTCACTGTGGGGAGAACGTTCAAATCACTTGGATGGCAAAAATGTATTCACAACCAGAGAAATTGTAAAAGAAGGAAAGTTAATTTAATGACAAGAAATATACATACCTGTCCAGAACATAAGCGATTCCGCCTGACATTCCAGCAGCAAAGTTACAACCAGTCGGCCCTAGGATAATGGCTCGTCCCCCAGTCATGTACTCACAACCATGATTGCCAACACCCTGTGAACATAAAGAGGCTTAATCAAGCGAAGGTTTTAGTTTTGTTTTTGCCACAGTTTAAACATTTTTCCTTATGTATAATGTTTTTTTTTTCCAAATACAAACCCAGTCTTATATGAACAGATTCGCTGATTAATTAGGCAAGACAACAGCATCTTGGCCTCTAGAGTTTGACCAATCAGCGGGCGCTTTCTATATCGGGTCTTCAGTCATTCATCCGTTGTCACGTCATAGACATGGATAAAAAAACCTGTGTCACACACTCTGTATCATGCTACACGATATGCGCCTGGCTGTTGTTGTATAACAAAACACTGCATTCGAATTGGCCAATCACACCATTAGTCCTGATTTGGGAATGAAATGACATCACGATTTTAGTAAAGTGGACTCCGATTGGCTGGCGCGCAGCTTGCATATATGTGCATGTTTAGACACATCAGATGTTATACAGGAGACTTGGCTCCATGGATACAGGTGATACTCGGACTAATACAAACCAGGCGCATCAGTTAACAATTTACATTTCTGCTCATGAAATAACTTTTTAAGAATCTTGTATCCAATTTCTTCACTTACCTCACAAACAGCGGTGGCGCCCGAGTTCCGGACACAGAATCTCTCAGCTGCCACGCCCCTAAAGTAGGCGGTTCCCCTCGTTGCGCCGTACAGGCAGACGTTGCCTACGATGATATTCTCTTCTGTTTTGAAGTCGCTTGCCATGTCTTTCGGGGGATACACTACTACCGTGCCTCCGGACAAACCCTGAGAAAACAAAACGTGACCCAAGAAGTGAACAACTGTAATGATTGGCTTCATAAAATGTGAACCCAAATTTCACTCATCTTTCTGTGAACTGCATTATAACTCACGAGATTTTATGAGAAACCTCCTTACATCTGACATGCACAACTCAAAAGACTGAGGATGTAAAAAAGACATAAAACTGCTCAGATAATTCAAAAATGCAAAAGAAAAAATGAAAAAAGGAAGCAGCAAATTTGATTTTTAAATGCCACGAGCAGAGTGTCGAAAACTTTTAATAACAGAATGTGCTTACAGTAAAAAGATTTGACTTGGCACATCCAGTTTTGTTCAGACATATGTTTTATTGAAGTTTTTAAATTCTGTTTAGTAGCTGTTTGTTTCCTTTTAACAAAGACTTCATTTAGGTTTTTAATGTTTGTTAATCCATCTGTTATTCAACATTGTCCCCTGAAATATGGAGATTTTTAAACTGAAAAAGAAATTGAATAAAACAGCTGCATACTTCTTACTGACCTCAAATATACAAATACAAAATGTAAGAGTAATTATTTTTAATTTAATATATTATGTAGTTTTTGTTTGTATATCCATCTGTTATTCAAGGTGTCCCATAAAATGTGGAATTTTTTTTAATTAAAAAAAAAATTGAAAAAATCTGCTTACTGACTTTATTTGTTTTCTTTTTTTCAAATTAATAAATCATCCCTGCATTGCACTGAATTGAACAAACTGAATTGAACTGAATCGAATTGAAAATATGGTCAACAGTCGCAAAAGTTCTAATATCCGACTGTTATTTTACTGTGAGGGTCAGGCTCTACGTTACCTTGCCCACATAGTCATTGGCATCGCCTTCCAGTTCCACGTACACACCGTGGGCCAGGAAAGCACAGAAGCTCTGACCTGCTGAGCCATGCAGCTTGATCTGGATGGACTTGTCTGGTAAACCCTGGTCGCAAAACTTCCTGCAATATCAAAGGAAGGCAAAACTTAGCTTAGAAAAACAGCAGTCAAGAGAAACAAATATACACACAGGAAGTAAGGCTCAGAATAAGTATCAAATTACAAGTCAGAAACATAAACACAACACCAGATAGGAAGTGATCCAACAGAACGACCTAACCATTAACAATCAATCAAGTCAACAGACAAATAAACACCCCAATACCGTACATTGTGTATGTAAACAAAAAACATTATCAATCAAAATGACTGTACATGCAAGGTTTGTTTTACTGATTTTTTTTCAGTGTGTGACAAAGTGGAGATAAAACCTGAAAAGGAATTCAGTGGAATACGTAAACACAACCCTAAAATTGTAATCCACTTGATTGAGATGTGTCTGACAAAACGGAGATGATTCCAAACTGAATCGACCCGATAGGTGTACGTGTTAACTTTTGTAAACACAACTTCAAAATCTTAATCCAAAATCTTAATCCAAAACAATATGAGTTGACTTACTTGGCAATATGGAAGCTGAGTGTTGTAGCGAATGCTCTACTCTGACTGGTAATCTCCATGTCCAGAGACACGTGATCTTTCTTGCCATCGATAACGTCCTGGGCTGCCTCAATTAACTTATTGTCCTGAAAGTCAAGACCAGCAGCATGCAATCAGTTGTCAAATTGGTTCAAATTAAGTGTATGGGGTAGTAAGGCAGAAAAAAAGCTGAAATTTAAGTTAAAGCACCATCAGACAAATGGTTTTTGCGCTACCGCCCGCCACTTTTTGGCAATTTTGGCCAAAATGGGTGCGGCTACCAATTTTCAAATGACTAAACCCAGTTCATACTCAGTGCAAAAGCGAACATGAATTTGAGACGTCATGGGGAGTATTCGCGCTGCGAATTCGTAAAAGTTGAACATATTTCAACTCGGGCGAATTTCGCAGCGAATGTTTTATGACGTCAAATTCGCATCGCATTCGCATTCGAGTATGAACAGGGCTTAAATCTCCACATCTCCATAACCTGTGGATCCAAAAAGAGTTTGTCCCAACTGCAGCAGAATGTTTAATAGACTAGCTCTCAGTGTGTTAGAATTGGCCATTTATGCGCTGGTCTTGATGGCTCAATGGTCTCATCAACGTTTACACCTGATGCACTGTGTTGCATCTGGAAGGGTTAGGTTTCACGAATTTAACAAAGCAGCCAGAAATAAAATTAACCTACCAATCGGTTTTCCAATTCAAAATTTTGCTCCACGCTGCCTCCTAGGGTATTAACTCCCTGCCTCATCTCGTCCGCTCTCTGAAGGATCTTGCCGAAGTCTAAGAGACGGCACTTGTCATTGGCTAACTGCTTGGCGACCACCAGCCTATCAGAGTGCCCGATCATCTCCTGGAATGTACGGAAGCCCAGCTCTGCCATGTGCTGGCGGACTTCCTCGGCTAGCATGAAGAAATAGTTGATGACGTGTTCTGGTTGGCCGTCAAACTTCTTGCGAAGCTCAGGATCCTAAAAAGAAAAGTTGGAGCGTTTTAGTTTTTGTCGAACAAAACTGACATCCTACCCACCCACCCCTAAAATATTAAAGAACAATGAATTGTCTTGCCTGTGTTGCCACGCCAACAGGGCAGGTGTTGAGATGACATTTTCTCATCATGATGCATCCTAGAGCGATGAGGGGAGCCGTGGAGAATGCAAACTCATCAGCTCCAAGGAGAGCTGCTATTACAACATCACGACCTACGGAACAGACACAACGACGGTTAACTACCTAAGAATTGTCTCACACGTTCATGGATTAGGAATACTGACTGAAAGAACCAAGCAAGAACCGTAGGCCAATGTGTCTCAACGAGACAGGTTTTAGGATGATTCTTGCCAAAAACTGGGGCAAGAATCAAAACAGTCATTTCAGGGCCCCTGGGGAGAACAGCTCATTGAAAAGTGACAGGAATTTCCGTGTCATATAATACAAAATGAATAAATAAAAAAATAAAACTGTAATCAAGTCAATCACTAGTCGATCATATGTCAATTACAAGTCAATCACATCAGTCACAAGTTAATCACGAGTCAATCACAAGTCAGTCACAAATCAGTAACAAGTCAGTCACAAGTCAATCACAAGACAATCACGGGTCAATCACAAGTCAATCACAAGTCAATCACAAGTCAAACACAAGTCAATCACTAGTCCAACACTAGTCCAAACACAAGTCAATCACAAGTCAATCACAAAGTAGGTCAAAAGTAATAAAGGATAACACAGGGATAACTAGGGCACAGTTCATTTGAGTAGCTTGTGACCCGACTTGAGACTGAATGGCTCGCGATTGACTTCATTGTGATGACTTGTAATAGCACTTGATATTAAACAACACTGCTTTCTATGTAAACAATGCACTGCATAGGCAATGGCAGGCTTTTCATTACATCATATTTCAATGCTATACATCATCACCTGCCCCCCCCCCTCCATTCTCAAAGTTACCTGTCCTAAGCTGTCCATCCGTCTGCACTTTGACCCTTGACCTGAGGTCATTCAGCACCAGTGTCTGGTGCGTCTCGGCCAGGCCCAGCTCCCATGGTAATCCTGCATGCTTGATGCCTGTCCATGTGCTTGCCCCTGTGCCTCCATCGTGGCCAGAGATGGTGATGTGCTCAGCAAGGCCCTAGAGAAAAATAATCAAAAACATTTAGGTAAACCAAGACAAACTTGGATAAAGTTGAATTCTGTCTCGAAGAAACATTTCGTCTGTATACAACCTCAGTTGACCAAAAAAAGACTTAATATCAGACTTGGTTAAGACTGGTTTATACTTGAAAGGAATAATTGTGTTTAATACAAAAAGTTACAAGACAAATTTACAGGAGTTGAAAAGAGTTCAAATTGTATGGTATCTACGTTATGGTGCCATCTTTTCATAACCATTTCAAAGTTCAACTGACTGTTATACTTTGTGTATACTTGAAATAATGTGCATACACGGAGCTTTGTTGATAGAAAAACGATCACAGTTTTTAAGCATTTTAAAGATCAATAATAATAAAAAAAATTCATAATGTGTCCCCCTGAAATTTCCCACTTTTCATGATATTTTTAAGGACAAAGATAAGCTTTTTAGACTTGTTTTTATATTTTCATGGCATTGGCTGATCCCCTATCCAGTTCTTTAGTGTGACGTCATCTCAATTCAACCATGCATACTTCACACGGTGTAGCATAGCACGAATGGAACCGGAAGTTAACGCACCTCGAGCCTTTATCCAATTGGCGCTAGCAATCAGTGGTGCACGCGTGTATGACGTTTTTACTATTACGAACCGGATAGTTCAGCTTTCATTTATGGATTGTTTGAAGAAAATACTTTGTTATTATTGTTTTTGTTGGTGTTGTACCTTTGCCACGCCAGCAGCCACCACCCCTACTCCCACCTCTGACACCAGCTTGACACTAATCCTAGCCTCTGGGTTGGCACACTTCAAGTTATAGATGAGCTCAGCTAGGTCCTCAATGGAGTAGATGTCATGATGAGGGGGCGGGGACACTAGCCCCACCCCTGGAATGGAGGAACGGGTCTTGGCTATGGCGTCGGACACCTGCATGAAATGCAAGACATCACAAAATTTGGTTTGAAAATTTCCCCCAAAAAGCTTCAAAATGAATTCTGTCAAACATGAGTAAAACTTTCCATTTGGAAACTTCACTTATTTGGTTGTTCATCTCTGCAAACAAGATTGACATATAATTGTCTTGATTAGCAAATGTTTCGATGAAAAAACTTTCACAATATTTAGAGTGGACTGCCATGGCCTAGTGGTCTGGAGCACTGAATTCGTGGGCTGCGGGTAATTCTGCAGGTTGTGGGTTCGAGTCCAGCCTGGGGTTATGGTGCGTGTGCCCTTGGGCAAGGCACTTTTGTCACTCATTGCTACTCCCCACCCAGGAGTAAATGGGTACCTGTAAGGGCAGAGATGGTTATTGTGATTGAATTAGCTTCCTTGCGCCTAACAATTTGCATCGAGCTGTATACTCCCCAGGGAGCTGAGATGGTATTCGGAATGTTTAATAGGCCCAATGATCAGGGGTAATAATAATGTAAAGCGCTCTGATCTTAGTTAAAAGCGCTATACAAAAACCCGTTATTATTATTAATTGGTAATAATCTGCCAAGATCCATCTTTTTCTAGTTGGCTTGCTCAGAGATTTCCTCAATCTAATTCCAAAGAGAACCTTCACACATTATTAAGGAAAAGCTTCATTTAAATCCTTAGAGCTTTAATAAAAGCTATGAATTTTGGATTTGGGATAGGAGGGGATGACAGGAGTAATGAAAGAGAAATTCTGGACGTAACATTTAACAAACCAATTTATTGCATTTTCGAAGCACATTCAAACTTTTATCAAATCAATTTGTCGAAACTGAAGCAATTGTTTTTTTTTGGTTCAGGGTTTTATATACCTTATGTCCTGGAAGTTCACCTCCTTCCCCAGGCTTAGCACCCTGTGCCATCTTGATCTGCAGCTCGTCAGCATGTGCCAGGTATGAGGTTGTAACTCCAAACCGTCCCGAGGCTACCTGCTTGATGGATGACCTGGTGCTGTTGGTGGGATCGTTGCTGACGTAGCGATCTTCCGATTCGCCCCCCTCGCCTGTGTTACTCTTGCCTCCAATTCTTTTAACACATACACAATCAATAATGATAGTGTTAGATTTCACAGTTTGTTCAGGCTTAACAATTAACTAAGGAAAATGCACAGCCTGCCAACACAAAACTAATGGCAAATTGTCAAATAAGAGATATAATTTGGTATTAAAACCTTTCAAATACAGAATTCTGAAAAGTCATCTTGCCATATATCTGCTGGAAAACCTTAGATAAACTGACTCAGACATCAAATAATCTTAAATCTCAAAATGTGATTTGTGAATTCAGTCTCTTTTCTTGAGCAACTCGATATCAAATTGGCCAAAGATTTTTCTCCATTCAAAAGGTTTTTTTATGCTCTATCCAATGAGGCTAAAATCTAAGAACTTGATTTAGGTGCGTTACATCTCATTTGTTTAGTCAGAAATTTGTCAATATGAAACTGACTGTCCCATTGATCAAATTTTGTTAAAGCTAGTTGAATATTCAACAGTATCCAACCACGGATCCTCTACACAAGGATAAACAACTCATCTAAGCTTGTGTAGAAAATGCACTGAATTGATTGTCTACATGCGTGATATGCCGAATCCGCGCATAGAACAATGCATAGAACATGTAGAACAATGCGCGTGCCATAAATCCCCGACATGCAGCTGCAGGCGCGCCACATGAAATCTCTTTGAAATCTGTCAGAAATTTGACTGCAGTCTCGCACCGAGTCTCGCACATGTGGGAACGCCAATGCACGACGCACAAGGGCTGTATCACGCAAGTAACCAGAAATTTGGGGAAGTCATTTATCCTTGTGTAGAGGATTCGCAATCCAATTGACTATTAAACCCTTGAAATTACCTGTTCATGGCCACAGCAAGTGTTGTGTGTGTCTCAATGGACAGACTGCCAAAGCTCATGGCCCCGGTCACGAATCTCTTGACGATACTTGACGCTTCTTCCACCAATGACAGATCTAAAGGACAGGAGGATTTCTTGAAGTCTAGCTGGCCCCTCAGAGTACAGTCTTTAATCTGAAGGAAAATTTTTAATTAAATGAATTAAATGGATTTTTATTGATATCTTAAACAAATAAATTCCTCCATATTGTTTTGCTTTGTGAATGTTATGTAGCTTTTCCTCGTTGGTCAATTGTTTTGGTATTGTTTATAAGTGCAACATCAGTGTGTTGTTTTGATAAATTTAGAAGTAATTTTAAGGGTATCTCGTTAAAATATTTTAAACAGTAATTTAGCCTTTTGAACACAAAATGTATGACAAAAAGATAAATCGATCGTGGCCTCGTGGTCTGGAGCATTGAATTTGTGGTCTGTGGGTAATTCTGCAGGTTGTGGGTTCGATTCCAGCCTGGGGTCATGGTGCGTGTGCCCTTGGGCAAGGCACTTTGTGACTCATTGCTTCTCTCCACCCAGGAGTAAATGGGTATCTGTGAGGGCAGAGATGGTTATTGTGATTGATTTAGCTGCTTTGCGCCGGATTGGCAGCATCGAGCTGTATACTCCCCAGGGAGCTGAGATTGCATTTGTTTCATTGGCCCAATGATCAGGGGTAATAATAATGTAAAGCGTTTTGATCTTAGTTAAAAGCGCTGTATAAGGACCTGTTATTATCATTATTATTATTATTAATCAAAGATATCAAAGTCAAAAAATATAAAAAGCCATATTTTAAGATGAGACAAACTCAAATTTTGCCTCTGAGAAGATCCTTCCAGGATTGAAACAACAGGCCCTCTAATTTTTACGATTTACAAAATCAAATGTTGACGTTCTGTGACATATCTTTATAATCTTCCACTAAAACTGCAAAAACGCTCTAAAAACTAAAACTGAGATTCCTCTACGAACAACCACAATTTTCAGAATTTCAAAACATTTTTTCTTCACTTTTTAAAGTTTAGTTCATAAGTTCCTTTAGCAATAAACTTACCACTGCTTCTTGGGACTCGCGGTATTTCTCATAGGCCAGTTGACTCTTGTTGCGGGTGGCATCCTGCAGATTAGCCACGCTCAGAGGGTCGTTTATGTGCTTCTCACCCCCGCTGCGCCAATGGTACTGTCCTGGCTCCAAGCTAGTGATGATGTCACCATCCCGATCTGCATATGCAACAAAGTGGCGCTGGATTGCCTAGGATACAAAAATTGATGACATATCAATGAAAATATAATCAATATTCAGAGTCACTTTCTGGTAAATTCTTTAATTTTTTTGCGTAAAATGCACACAAATACTTGATTTATATTTTTGCAATGTTCTTGTACAGTGTAGAGCGAATTATACAAAAAAAGAAAGAAAAATTAACGAACTTACTTCTTCAGCCAAAACTTCAAATGTAGCTCCGCCCAGTCTGGAGGCAGTGCCAAGGAAACACTTGTCAATCACTTCCTGACCCAGCCCTACAGCTTCAAAGATCTGAGCTCCCTGCAAATATCGATCAACAAAGAAATCATGATGTTAACATAGAAAATAGCTTATCTCAGTGATTACTTGCTAAGTAAAAACAGGTTTAACGTCAAACTAACTACCCAGGCATTTTTGCTAGGATGCAAACTCAATCCTGCAAAATCCTCTGTTGTTTCTTAAATGTGGTCCGTTGAGGGGTGACCACTGCCTCAATCCTGCAAAATCCTCCAGCAATCACTGTCAATATGTTGAGGCAGAGCCAGTGACATCCTGGAGCAGTGTGAAGGATTTCAAGTATAATCTAGGCCTAAATTTATGCACAACTGAGCATAAACAACATCAGATCCGGCCTAAGACCTTGACACAGTGCATCCTCGAAAATCAGCCACACATTTTTGCCATATAGCCTCAATCCTGCAAAATCTTTCATTTATTTGCAAATAGGATTTTTGAGGAATTGGGGAAGGTTAGGGTCAACCAGCCACAGTCATGTGATTTGTAATACAAAACTCAAATAGACAACTCCAGTCATACCTTGTAACTATGCAGTGTGGAGATGCCCATCTTAGCCATCACCTTAGCGACACCCTTCCCCGTGGCAACCTTGAATCTTTCGGCAATTTCCTCATCCGTGTACTGTCCCCCTTCCCCTTGCTCGCTCAGGAGATTCTGATCTCGCAGGCTTTGTACGCTCTCGTAGACCAGGTAGGGGCAGATGGCGTCGGCCCCGTAGCCGAGGAGGAGGCACATGTGGTGCATCTCGCGAGCTTCGCCGGTCTCTACGATGAGACCGACACGGAGACGCTGACGGGTCTTGATGAGATGGTGATGAGTTGCTCCTAGAGTTAACAGCGAACTGTGGGTGGCAAAAATTATAATAATAAGTTAAAGTACAACAAAATAAACATAATAAAATAAATAAAACAATTTATCTAATTGCTTCAAAAAAATTTGAAAACTGCAAATACCTGACTGGTACACGTTCTGGTCCAGCATTTCTATCAGATAGAACCAGCAGTGTATATCCCTCATCTACGGCAGTGGAGCACTCGCTACAGACTCTGTCGAGTGCAGGTACAAGACCGGAGCTACCAGACTCAATTGGGAACGTCATGTCAATGGTTTTAGTCTGGGGACAAACCAAGTAATATGAAGGCAAAAACATAGTATATGGCTGGAAACAAAGGCAAGTATGCATTGATTTAAAAGATGGTTGACATGAGAGAAACTTGTTGATATATATTCCCTATGAAAAAATGGGGTGCATACCTGTGTTCCCCAATACCGATGTTCCCCAATACCGATGTTCCCCGAAATCCCTACCAATATACCCTAACCCTAGCCCTAACCCTAACCCAAATCCTAAGGATTTGGGGGAACATCGGTAGTGGGGAACATCAGTATTGGGGAACATCGGGTAGATCCCGAAAACATGCACGTTCTGGTAGAAATTTTAAGAGGCAAAAGTCCAAAACACAGCGTAGCATGACATCAATTTTGTTATGAATCTGAAAAAACTAGCAGGTAAAGAGTGACACTGGCCAAAAAGTGACACTGCAATCTTGTTCGACAGTAATGCTCTTAAAAAAAAAGCTTAGCTTTTTGCTCCTTTAAATTTATTTGAGCAACTAGCAAGGTGAAATTCCAAGGTAATGATGTTTAGATGACAATTTTAGTAGGGTGGTTTGGGGATAAGGTCGGTAGGGATGGGGATAAGATGGCTTTTGGTGTGGTGTGGGTGTTGTTGGGGAGTTGTTGGGGAGTAGTTGGAGTGGGGTTGCGGTGGGGATGGTATAGGGTTGGAAATGGTTGGGTTGAGGTAGGGCTGGGTGTGTTAGGATGGGTTGGGTGGGGTTAAGGTGATAGTTGGGTGTGGTTGGGATGGGATTGGGTGTGGGTGTGGTTGGGATGGGGGTTAGGTTGGGGGTAGTGATGGGGGTTTGGGGAGGCTAACAAATTCTTGGCTTGTCAAATGTTGAACAGACACCCACCTTCCATCCTCTGAATGTAGTCGCTTTGATAACCTCTAGATCATCTAAAGACAGGATGGGTGTGTCTAGGAACAGCCTCTTACATTGGAGTTCACTTGGCTCCAGAATGTTACTCTCTGGACCGATGGGACATGCCTTGATCAACAAAATCAAAGAAACAATCAATTACGAAATGTACAAACAATATCCCATTTGATGATATCGCATTCTTAGATAAAACATAGGTTAAACAACAATATGATTGCCTGGGTCAGGTCATGTCATCAGCAGCCAATTTCATAGAACTGCTAAGCATAGAAAATATTTGCTTAATAAAAACAGCTAACCGGTGATAAAGTCATGGGAAGCACCGTGGGATACTGAAGTCAAAGTGGTGTAGATTTAATGGGTTGGGGGGGGGGGCAAAATGTCCCTACCCCCCCCCCCCCCCCCCCCCTCTAAATCTGATAATTGAGAACATGTTGAGAAATACAAGAATTTTCTGGGAAAAAAATGTTTTGCCCCCCTCTAGAAAAAATCCTGGCGACGCCCATGGACTCCGCCCCTGCCTTGTAGTTTATAGTAGGTTTTTGAAGCAGCATACCAATGACATGACGATGTGCTCTCTGATTGGGTCGATGGGTGGGTTGGTAACCTGGGCAAACAACTGCTTGAAGTACTCAAAGACCAGCGGGTTGCGTTCTGACAGACAGGCTAAGGGGATGTCGTTACCCATAGATCCTAGAGGCTCTTTCCTGGGAAGATAAAGAAGGTGATTTCGAAATGTTTAACTCCAAAATAAATCCTGGACGCTCCTCAACCAATACACCTTTGAAATATTGAAGGTTGACTCACTGCGTACACTCAGAAGACATGCAATTTGTTTCACCAAATGTAGGCCTAATTAAAAGTTACCCTTGTCATTTTGCAGTTACAATTTGATATGCTGGTTAGCCAAGTTTCTCGCGAACTGCAACAGGGCCTACCATAAACAAATAAAGCTATACTTATGTGGCCCAGTTAGGTTATATTCTTTGTATGAAGGATAAAGTGTAATACAATATGAAGCATACGTGTGAAAAACAATAACTTAGAACACATTCCAGAATACTATTTTAATAGTTCCTTACTTATTCTTGATGATTGGGATGATCAGCATATTCAGATGTTCCACGCTGTACCCAAACATCGGCAGGCGGTGATCGGTCTGCACGGACAGACGATTCTGATTGGTGGTTGCCGGGGACGACGGCTTGTGTGCCTTGTACAGATCGGACAATGTAAAGACCTGTTCTCGCAGCCACTTGCTGACTGGCCGTTGCTTAGCGATGCCCAGCTTCAGCTCCTCATCCTTGGTGACTTCCCCGACGACAGTATCGACCAATAGCATGCGACCTGGCTTGAGACGACCCTGCAATGAACCAATGAATGAGCTTCAGAAACTTTCAAATAAAGATTTATGGTGCCAGTAGTTTTATACAAGGGATCACTGCAAACAGTAGAAACATACAGCTAGATAATAACTTATGACAGAATCAATCCTTTTGTATGATTTATTCCTTTTTAATAAAAATTTGCACTCATTATCAGCAATAATTAGAAAATTAGAGAATTTGAACACAGAGGATGTGCTAAAGTCCACTTGACGGTACTTCAGGCAGAATTTTTTGGTCATTTCAGCTGCTTCAGTTGCAAAAGAATTCCAAAAGTAAGTGAATCTTTCTATTGAATGAATTTTATTTTGTTACCCGATACTAAGATCTGTGAGTTCACAACCCAAAAATTCTTTGAGATTTTTCATTTTGAACAGCTTAACGGTCATTTGAAACTTCACGACAATGCAAAAGCGAAACAACTTTGATGTCACTAATCATTTGCAGCGAAATTCCCCCGAGCTAAAATGTATTCAACTTTTACAAACTGGCAGTGCAAATTTACCCTGACATCACATATTTGCATTAAGTTTTGCATTTACTTTTGTGCAAATGGGCTTACAGAGTATGAACCCGCCTAAAGACTGTTTTAAAAGTAACTTTTTAAAAACTGTGTTAACCTTTTGGGCCACATCAGCATGAGGGATGTCCACTACTCCAACCTCGCTGCCCATGATCATGAAGCCAGACTTGGTGATGTAGTAACGTGATGGACGCAGACCGTTACGGTCAAGAATCGCGCCGATGTAGCGACCGTCCGAGAACGTGAACAAGGCTGGAAAGAAAGAAGGTAGAAGTTTAAACAAAAGAAATCATTGTGAGAAAAAGATGAACTAACAAAAGTAGGGAAGCATTTAAGTTCTGGTGTCAGTTATGAAGCTAACTTTTTTGTTCGATTAAATAAAGAAAAACTTGGTGAAAAGGAAGGCTTGCTTTCAAAAAATGAAAGAGCACTGCCAAAAATTCTAAAAGCCAAAAACGTTCAAACTTAGCCACAAAAGTACTTCTTAAGGGAGTGGGACGAACGCAAAGAAATATTTACTAAGGTAAAAATGATGTCACCTTTAAAAAGTTCTTGTCAAAGAACAATGTTGCGAAGGATGGGTAATTTAAATTTCCATGATAGACATTATTAAAAAAAATATAAATAGATGCAAAATATTCAATCACACGTTCGATTAAATGAAATAGTTACCAAAAAGGCAACGATTAATCGTTACAAGAAATTGTATAATTACATTACAGACTTAGATATTTTCAAGAATGTTTTCTTCAAGACTTAACAGTGCCAACCAGAGTGGGAGGGTTGTTTTTTTGTTTGTTTTGTAACCTAAAGGACGATTGGATTTATGCAGAGATTTTGTAATAATACCTGGCCCATCCCAGGGTTCCATAGCGAAGGCTGCCCATCGATAGTAGTCTCTCTTATCTGGATTCATCAAATGGTCCTTGTGCCATGCCTCGGGAACCATCGTCATCACAGCCTGAAACACAATAAAAAGTCACATTATGAACAAATTTAATGAAAGCACAACAACTAAAGTAGGGATGTATGGTAGTGGTTAGAGTTTGTGACTCATGATCAGAGAGTCAGGGGCTCGAATCCAGCTCATATGTTGTGTCTTTGGGCAAGTCACTTCATCTCTACTTGCCTCTCTCCACTCAGGAGTATAAATGGGTACCGGCATTAGCTGGGGAGTAACCTGCGATGGACTAGCATCCAATCCAGGAGGACTAGAAATATTCTCAGTCGTTTCATGCTACTGAAACCGGAGATAAACGCTGGCCTGACGGGGCCATATTGGCTCGTGACAGACTTTACTTAAACTTTACAACAACTAAAAAAGAACTTCCAAAAAATACTCCAGATATTTGCAAACCAAGAATCTATAAGCCGGGATGCTTAAATTCTCATAATTCTCATCCCGCCCTCATTTTGACAATCCGACCCGCCCCCTCCTACCTCAGGAAGTGTCCTCCCACCAGCCATGATCAAGAACTCCAGGACGTTGTCAAACTGTCCCGAGTCCGACATGCCGTTCTCAACCACGGGATAAAGTCGCTTGAGCTGGTCACCGTAGACTGTGCTGCGCATGACGCCCTCCCGCGCATGCATCAGGTTGCTGTTGCCTCGCAGCGAGTTGATCTCACCATTATGGGATATGTACCTGTTTCATTCATAAAAAGTAGAAAACCTTGGGGTCAGAGGTCACCTCTGATCACGTGATCTTGTCAAGTATTTTGAAAACTTTTTGTAAGCAATGCCATTCAAAATAATGATCAGTATGGCTAATCAAACTGAAAACCTGCTGTAACAGGTAAACAATGGATGAGGAGAAGCAATTGTTGCAAAGTACCTTGCTGAGGGACACAAGTTACCTTATCCATTGGATTTTAATAAAGTTCACAGTCCAAACTTGTCATATTAAATTAACAATTTGTGTTACCCCCTTGATTAAAAAAAACCTTGGTAACCATTATGAACAACCAAAACTACACAAACAATTTAATAGACGGACAAACAAACAAACCTCATCGGATGGGCCCTCTCCCAGCTTGGGAAAGTGTTTGTGGAGAAGCGGCTGTGGACATGGGCGAAATGGGTCTCAAAATCTGGCTCCTTGAAATCGGTGAAGTACTCAAACAGCTGCTTGGGAGTTAACATCCCCTGAAAAATGCAACAGATTAAGGAGAAAAAATTAAACATTCCTTCACCTCATGTAAAATTATTACACAAGTTAGGATATTAACTTACAGTTTTGTTTACAAGAGTAACCTCAATATACACACTGTATCTATCATTCTAGCATGATCAATAAGCATGATCAATTCAGAAAGATTTGAACCTGTTCTTAGCGGGCTGAGGAAAGGCGCTCCATTAAAAAGCAGGAATGTTAAAAAAAAATTCGGGGGGGGGGGGGGGGGGCAGGGGAATTATCTTATCAAAGATACATCTCCTCCGTAAAAATATATAGAAATATGAGTTATGTACGGTGACAGCTATCAATATTTCTATTAATAAAAAACATGGGTGTCAATGGGGGGGGGGGGGACAAGTCCCCCACTTTTTAAAGTGGGGGGCCACTTTTTAAAGTGGGGGGATATCATATCGTTTGTCCCCCCCCCCCCCCCCCCACTTTTTCATCCCCCTCCACAAAAATGTAGCCTACATATGATTCTATAGCTCAGAATAGCTGATTCAATTACTCCAAACTTAAAAGTGATATTTAAATTATGATCTTTTGCTCAGAAAACACCACTTCCTTAGGGCTTCACGCTTCGCGCTCGCATTAGTTCCGATCAACGAATGTCCCCCCCCCCACTTTTGAAAAGTGATTGACGCCCTAGATAAAAAAAAAAAAACAAGTAAACAGACAGACAGACAGATAAACAAACAAACTACCCCCTTCTGAAAAAAAAAATTTAAGAGCTTTACGGCTCAATTAATAAAAATATAACCGCAAACAAATTCCACTGGTTGTATTTAGCATCAATGACCAGATGTATTTGACAGCACTGTTTTGCCCAAGGGTACCAACCACGTACAGTGGACTCTCCAAACCAACACAAATATGCAATATGCTTCAGACACAATAAATAATTAAATTGTATAATTAGATCGCCCCCTCACAACACTACAGCTGGGGTATAATTTTTGAATTGCATTTTCCAGGTGAGCTAATGGATTGCAAAAGGACTTCCGTTTCCACGCGCTTTTTGCGCACAACAAGCAAATTAATTTCATTAACAACTCGGAAGGATAGCGAGAATGTAATTTCGCATGTAGATGGCGTTTTAAGAAAGAGTAAGTAGTTGACGTCATACAAGATCTTTTTTGAGAGTCCAGAAGGAAATGAATTTACAAGCAATAAGGAAGCTCTACGATTAAAATATGAAGACGAATACAAGCAATTTGGGTATTGCTATTTCTTTTCTTTTTTTCTTCTTTATTTTAACTTCAGTAAGCTGGTGAGAAGTTATAATTTTTCAAAATGTTTTTGAAACACGCTCATTATCGCTTCACTCATTAGATACTGAAGTAAGAGGTAAAATAATTTCTGAACGATAGGCTCACTCATTTCAAGTTTTGCCTTCTTCAGTAGTTGATTTATATCTATCATAGTTGTAAAAAGAGAAAATTTGAATAGGACTCAAACACTGAAGTATTTTTTTAGTGGATTCATTAATGTGTGATTTATCTAACAAGTTGGTTTTGAAAAGTTGAATCTTTAATTCTCAAATCACTAACTTTTTGGGGTCTTGTGGTACAAACAGTATTGTTATCTTTCATTTTGATGTAATTTCGGACAAAACTACAGGTATATAAAGATCAAATTTGTAGGTAATTCACACTAGTATTTTTTTGTGTAAATATATAAGACATCACTATCCACACAACCTCTTGCAAATTATGCCTAAATTTGGAGGATTGGATCACATGTTCTTTCTTGAATTTCGGCAAACAAGGGACAATACAGGGACTTCATATTCTGACTTGAGATCCTGTAAAGACCATTACTCATGCAAGCTGTGTAAACTGTCAAAAGGTATTGATGTTTTTGGGGAAATATATAGGTCTCGTTCAAATGACGTCATTTCCTACAGACCATCCACGTGCATTGGCATTTTGAGCGTCAACTAGCATAACGCGCATCGGCTGCGTCGTATTTCGAACACATTTCGAGCAACAAGCGCGCGTGTTTGGAACATTTTCAACACTGCGCAATGCGTGCTTGATTGCGTAACAGTGGCCGTCATTGAGCGAGCCCTATTGACCCTGATAACAAAGGGGCAATGTGCATAATGTCTAATTGATGTACCACTTATTATCAATTATTATTCAATAAAACAACATTTTGAAATTGTTGACGTTAACAACCTTGGCCATTCATGCAATGTTGCCCTTGTACAGCAAAAGGATACAACATGTTCAAAATGTGTTCAGTTTAATGAATGATCTATGAATTTTGGAGAATTTTTGATTTTCCTTGTTGGCTTATGTAATTTTTTAATCGAGTCTGCATATACTTTTAAATTTTGCAAAAACTTTTAAATTGTAACTTTAAAACACTGTTTTTGTGATTAAGCCTCTAGGCTGCTATATATGCATCTTTAAAATAAACCACAAACAGAAACTAAACATAGATGTTGTACACAACAAAATGTCAACATTTCTAAGAAATTAACCAATCTTAGAAAACTGTTTACATGCTTGAATTCCAAGGGGATATTCCACCCTACGTCATACACCACAGGCTAAGCATTGATTTCCCAAGAGGGGCCATGATAACAGCAAAATGCGACAGCCACGACTTGACACAAATGCTTCGCTCTAGACGGTGAACGAAGGAGCGTCGGATCGATTCGCCGTGGGCGAATTTTGACGTCATGTCTGGTCTACGGTATTTGCTTAAGGACGCTTATTGCAACACCGTCATCAAAAGGGCAAATCGTATTTATCATACGGAGTTGGTATTAACATCCAATCTGCCTGGGGGATATGCATAATCCTTTGAGAGGATCACATGATCACATATAGCCGATTGCAGAGTATAACGCCATCAGATCAATAGACGAGATTATACGTTGCTGATAACAGTGTGCGTTTCCTTTGATATCACTGTCTTAAATAAAACGCAAAACCTAGAGGGATGCAGAGAGGCGAAAAGCATTTTCTTCTTAGTCTGGTTACAAATTTGTTCTTATATTTAAAATCAAGAAGTTTCTTGTAAATAAATCAGTAAGGCCTATAAAATATTTGTATGCTTACAGTAACCCGACCTACCTGGATATTTTTAGGTAAAATTGCCGACCTCAAACTGTTTATTGCCTTGCCACATCTACCTGGATATTTTTAGGTAAAATTGAGGACCTCAAACTGTTTATTGCCACATCTGGCCAAACTTTTAAATAAATTACATTTTTAAATTTAAAGAAGTCGTCCCCATGCAATTTTTATGTGTGTGTTATTGGTTAGTTAAACAATAAAACAAGTTCATTAAACAGAAACTGATAAAAGAAGCCTAAAGTAAACAAATTAATTTTAATTTTATACAAGACCGATAAACAAGCATTAAAAAAAATTTCAAGAGAAAATTGTCATACCTACCTTGATTATTTTTTGGGCATTGCCGAAAAAACACAATTTTTTTTCTCAACCTAACCCCCACCCCCATTTCTTGTGAACACTATTTCTGAAGTTGCACCGTAAATTCTTCTTATCCTAAAGATATAACTTGAACATCAACCTATGGTCACCATTCAAACAATACTTCTTGACTGCTGCACTGAGCAGTACACATTTGGCCATAACATGCTGCGCAACTGGGATGAACACTTGAGCTTAGTCTCAACTTTGCTCAGCAAATTTGCTAACAAAGACAGAATGGTTGTGTTGACCGAATCCTTTAATCTATAAACCTCACTTCATCAGCTGAACAAGTATTGTACATTTATTAAGTCTACTTGTGCACTTATGCCTACTTGTATGTCGATACAAGTGATTGATTTCAGTAGCATGATGTCAGCAGTACCATATCCCCAACTCAATCTAAGATCTAGGCCCTATGCATCGTAAATAATGGATCATCCCTAAAAATTACTGAAGTCTCAAGACTTATAATTAAGAAATATTAATGGGATAAAAAACCTGCTTCCATAACCAGTTACTGCCATGGTACCCCTAAAGAAAGAAATAATTAATAGTATTACAGTAATAAATAATAGTAATAAATAAATAGATCTCGACATCAATCAATACAATTAGTCAAAACCTTGAATTTTTCTACTGGTACAAGTATCATACTGCCTGACAGTCTAGTATGATTAGCCATAATTAACCATGGACATTAATTAGCAATTCTTAATATTCTGTGACATTGTGAGGTACAGAATATATCGTAGTTTTATTTTTTTTCGTCATTCCTTTTGACATTCAGTTTCAAAATATGTTTATCATTTCCACAGCAAGACAATTTCCTCAAATCAATCTCTGTGCACACAGAACCTGACTCACATTACTTAATACTGAAATTTGAAACTGCGTCTAGACAACATTAAAAATCCATGTAGGCCTAAGCTAGAGTCTGTGCTTCAATTTCAATTCCAGCTTTTGACAACGACAAACTGTTTCTCTTATTCTTTTTTTAACACAACGCCATTTATTCAGGACTAAATCAATCATTTGTTAATCGTCACCTATTATTTTCCTATGAATAAATGAGAACACAATCCACTTCCGAATGAATGACCGTATGACGTAAATTACTTAGAAGCCTGAATAGGACAGCGCTAATGGAATTCTCATTGGAACACCCAAGGAATCGCCTCTCAATGCATGCCTTACATGCAAAGACGAAAGCTTAATGCGCGGCTAGGGCCTCTCCCATAATGAATATGATTACCGACTGCTTGTACAAGGCTAAGAAAACAGTGGGCGTTTGCAATGTTAGAACGGCTTAAGGCTTTGTGGACATGCGTGATTTTATCGCCCATGTATCTTAAATATACTAACCAATACAATGTACCAATATATTTACAGTTTCCAAAATATACAAATGGATGTTTTGTGAGGGCCAGCCTCTCTTTGTTCCTATCTCAATTACAGGCCTTTTCACACTAGAGCCTCTCAACCCCGGTTGAACTCAACCCTGGGTGAACCCAGTGCTACCCGGGTTTTAGCTTTTGATTTTTTAACCCCGCGTTCAACCCGCATCATTGCACACTTGTTTTGTAAAAACCCAGCTCATTTCACTCGGTTACTACTGTTTTGAACCCTGGCGAGACTTTCAACCCGGGTTGAAAATCTCAACCCTTGTCTGGAGCAGGGTTGAGTGCAACCCAATCATAAGGGTTGACTCAGGGTTGACGCAGGGTTGAACTTTTTCAAGTATGAAACGCCGCTTCCAACCCTACGTCAACCCCGCGAAAACTCTGAGATTATTTTGTCTAGTGTGAAAAGGTAACTGACGGACTATCTGACTGACTGATTGTCACTTGTGACTTAGGCTGTATATACTGGTGAGGGAAAATGGGCAGTGCTATTGTATAGGATTACCCTGTAACACCAATGAACGGGATAAATCCGGCTCAATGTATAGACCAGATACATGACATAGCCATTCAGAGTCAATGGCTTTTGTGCGCTCTGACTTACACTTGGACCTGCTTTACTAGGCTTTTCTTGTTTAGGTGTTGAAATAAAAGTATTGAAAAAAAGGAGAGACAGGGTTCGAATTTAGCGCTAGCCCGCTAGCCAAATGCTAGTCAAAACAGCGGCGGGCTAGTCAAACTATTCCTTAAGTAGCCTGGCTGGCTGATCAAACATTATTTGGCTACGGCAAAGATGAAAGGACAGGAAGAAATAAATCATTAATTCTGAGGCAAACCTGTATCAATTTGTGTCTAATTTTTATTAACTGTGTAGGGTTAAATTATTAGATCTGTTTATTAAAAACACTGACAAGATTGCCTCAGGATACACAGTTTACATGTATGCACATTGTTGTTCATGAGACACTCTATAAAAGAAAAGGATGCGGGCTCGTGAAAATGCCACGCTGGGTAATTAATAGTCTGTTTCAGTAGCCCGGCTGGCTAGTGAAAAAAATAAGTAAAGGTCAAACCCTAATAGAGCTTCAGCTTCTGAACACGTCATACGTGAGCAAATTTTCAAGTCTGGCAGAAAAAAACGATTTGTCTTTCAAAAACATTTGAATTCCTTTTACAGAATATACCTTTCACAAAAATGTATGCACAGAATAAACAATCATAACGACAATTTGATCCGTATAGATCCTTTAAAAAATAGGATGGATTAATTCTAGACAAACTAATCCTAATTAAAGAGAAACTAAGCCAATTTTTCCATCAACTTCATGTGGCCTTTAATGCAAACAGGAAGTTTATGACATCCTGGATGAAGAGCTTAACATTTGACAGAACATCTGTTCTGGAATTGATGAACCAATTAATTTTTTTAATTAAACCCTCCCTCTCTGGCTGGCAATTTCAACAAGGCCAGCCCAGCAGTCACAATATATCAAGTGACTGTTTTTAATAATTGAGTGCTCCCTGCCTTCATAAAGCAGGATTGACTGGCTGCGATACAGTATAAACCCTGATTTATAGCTCTGCTTTGACTGTAGGAGATTGGTAAGCCAGCTGTGCCAACCAGTCACCTGCTTTTGTCTATTGATGGAATTTGACTGTCACAGTGCCTACAAGAAATATGACCTGACTGTTTGTGACTAGCCTGTGTAAAAGGCATGGCAGGGGAACAGGATTGAATTTTTGACTGTCTGTGACTGGTCAAAACAAAAGGAGGGTTGAATACACCAAGGATATATTTTTTCAATACATACACAATCAGAATACTGTGAACATCGGTCCCAGACAATTGTGCGCATATTAATTTGCTTCATAGATTTTTAATTAGCACCATAGATTTTTAATCGTCTTGCCTACATTCTGTGCTTGCCTTGTCAGTAAGTCAGTCAATCAGTCGGGGAGTCAGTCAGGCTATCCCTTCGGTTCGGGTGCAGCAACATAATCTTGTTGAAATGTTATCTTTTCGAAATCTTTCTTTTCCATCAGTTTTGGTATGGAGTGAGGCAGTGGCATTATTTGTTGTACTGCTTTAAAACCCTAACTCCCTAGGCCTTTTTGCTAGGATGTAGCCTCAATCCTGCAAAATCCTCCAATTGGACTCTCGAAAAATAGCATATAGCCTCAATCCTGCAAATTCCTCCATTATTTCTTGAATATGGTCCATGGAGGGGTGACCACTGCCTGAATCCTGCAAATTCCTGCGACAGTGACTGATATGTTGAGGCTTGGCCAGTGACATCCTGGAGCAGTACGGAGGATTTCAAGCATAATCCAGGCCTATTTATGCATGGCTGATCAAAACCAACACAAGGTCTGGCCCAAGACCTTGACAAAGTGCATCCTACGAAATCAGTAACGCACTGCTGCCATGTAACCTCAATCCTCCAAATTCCTCCACTTTGGCAAAGAGGATTTTGAAGGATTCAGGGCGATTAGGTTAAAAAAGATGTTATTTACCTTGTATACTATGGTATCCACAGATAGGTTGCATATGTAGAACCGATATCCCTGGTTGGGAATGGTATGCGTGGCTTCCTTACGTAATGCAAACACCTGTCAAAAAACATTTAAATTGAGATATTTAAAGTGAGATATGTGCAGATTATTGTTTAGTGCAACTAGTGTAACTGATATCCCAATATCATACATACATATTAAGAAAATCTTAATGTTTACTTAATGATATGTTATCATCTTATTACATATGGTATAAGTGCATTACACAATTTTTGATAAAACTTTTCAAAATTATATTCAATAGACAATAATGAATTATTAAACAATGTTTTACCATTCTTTTTGGAGAAACATGTGGGAATTGAAAAATGTCATATTTATGGCATTTGAAAATTACAATAATATCCCAAAACAGGAAATATTGCAATTTTTGAATGATTGTTAAGACAAAACATCACATTTGTTTCAAAATCAAACTAAGGATTGGAGGAATTTTGTTTTACCTGTCGTTTCAGTTCATCTCCTTCCGTTTCCCCGGTAACGAACACCTGACGAATGAATGGTTCTCTGGACTTGGATATAGCTCCAATCACGCTGCTGTCGTGGGGAACTGTCCGCCAACAAAGGACCTTAGAAAAGCAATAAATTCCAATAAAAATTAAATAATCTGAAAATTACCTCAAATCTGGGATATTTCTGTCAATATTCTGCAATATACAATGTCGAAGATTGATTTCAGAATTTGTACTTGGAAAACAAAATCCTATCCTAAGGGGTGATCAAATATAATAAAAAATTTAGAGTTGTATAATTTTTCATCACTTTATAATTTATAGATATTTTATGGATATTCTTTTAAGAGTTTGACTTGTCTAGGCATAATTTTCTTTAACTTATTGAGTTTGTGTAAATATAAATATGTAGATATAAAAAGGTATTCCTTTTTCTGTAGGATTAATTTAATTGTGCTTGTTAATAACAATGCATTTTTTTGCAGGGGAAGAAACTTTGGTGTAATATTTCAAAAGTACTTACATTAAGTTTGCATTTTGCAGCTATTTCATCGAAAAGCTGTTCGCACTGAGGGGCAGTCTCTTTGTCCAAAAAGATCATCCCCGTAGCGTAATGTGTCAGTCCAGGGAGGCATACACCTTGCTCCTCCCTGTAATATTACAAAATAAAATACAAATCAGAAAGCTTTAAAAAAGTAAATACAAAGAAAAGAACCATACTATGCTTTTGACCTTGACCTCAATTTCAAAGACTGCTGGCCAAAGAAAATGACAGAAAAAGACAAAATATAAGAATATCAACTCTTCAAAAATAGTAACATTGAAAATGTTATTAAACAAATTATAAGGCAAAATAAAAAAAAAATATGTTTAGCATCCCGCCCGCTTCCTTATGGAGGTCGCCTCCTTGTTTTTCTTTTAAACCGAAAAAATGACATCATTTTGGTCTCTTTGTCTGTTACATCTAGCCCATATAAAGCAGGTATGTCATTTCCTGTGTCCAATGGTGGCCATTTAAAAAAACAAAAAACAACTGGCTGCCATCTTACAAAAAAGCCCGGTTGGGCGGTCACTTTGAAGGAAAGAAAAAAGCCTCCCGCTCCCTTTTTTTCAAAAAGGCAAGACGCTAAACAGGTTTTTTTCCCTTTTATTTGGCCTAAGGGTACCAACCTTAAAACACGGGCGTATAGCTGATGCGGAATGGCCGTCATGACCCCAGCGCCATCGCCAGTATTGTTGTCCCCGCTACATGCCCCACGATGCTTCATGCGGCACAGCATGACAGAGGCATCCTCTAGAATCTGATCATGAAAAACCGGCACAGAAATGCATCTTAGCTTAATACATCCAAATTTACTAAAAAATAAAAAAAATTAAACTAAAACTAAAGCTACGGAAAGTTGCATACTGCCAAAAATAGAAAAAAAACCCAATTTAACATAAAAACTAAATGACGAACAGAACCATATGTTACATAAAAACTAAATGACGAACAGAACCATATGTTACATAAAAACTAAATGACGAACAGAACCATATGTTACATAAAAGATGAAACAGGCAAAATTAACAGTTGAAGTTGGGAAAAACTATTTTTTTCCCTTACAAGATAAGTTTATCTGAAATAAAACCAAAAGTGGGGGAAAGTTTCCCCCAAAAGTATCTAATAAATCTCTAAAAAAACATTACCAAAAGAGCAAATTTTCAAAATGTATACATTTCTAGATTTCTTATAAATTGTCCATTTCTGAGGAGGTATTTGATTCTATTCAACAGTTTAAATTTGGAAAGAATGTAGCATCAAGATGCCACTTCTTTGGTTGTGTACAAAGTCTATGGAGAGTCAAGTGCATTTAAAAAAAAAAAATTGACAAAATTGGAAATGGCTCTCAGTCCCAAATTCATGTCTCTTCAACATTTTTGCAGTGACTGACCTTCATTGAGATAATATGATTAAAGAAAAGTGGCATCAGGATGCAACATTCTTTCCTTAGATTGTATTCAAATATTATTACAGAAATGTTCCAGCCATAAGTTACCCTCCCCCCCCCCAAAAAAAAATCTGGTTTCAACAGGCATACACCCAAATAATTGCTTATTTGGAACTTTTAGGCATGCTAGTTTTACCTTTTTTGACTTGATTCCGTCTATATCTAAGATGAACCTGACTCCACATCTCCTGTTGTGGGTCGTACAGCCCCCGGGCCTTAGGTAAGGCCCCCCCCCCTCCCCCCCCCCCCCCCCAATTTCACCACGACACCAGGCATATTACCAAGACCAAATAATTATTGTTACCTTTTTAGACTTGATTCCATGTATATTAACGATGAACCCTACTCCACACGCATCTTTCTCCTGCTGTGGGTCATACAACCCCTGAGCCTTGGGTAAACCTGTCTGTAGGTCCAGCTCTGGTAGAACTGAAGTACCTGCCATGTTTGTCATTCAGCAATCTCTGTGGCCGGCCGACAGCAAAATTTCTCAGTAACTGCTGTTAAAATTCAGCCCTGTGCAAAAGAAAAAGCAAAAATTCACTATGTGCAAAATTCAGAGTCTCTTAACCCCAAGAGCATAACACAAAAAAAGTCAAAATTTGAATACATGTATATTTGTACAAAGTTCATTATTCACATATCTTTTCTTCTTCGAAGCCTACTGATGCTTAGTTTACAAGAACACTTAAAAAGCAGATATTTTATGCAAGGTTTCTTCCAAATTCTCTTCCGTGGATATCAAAGTGAAATGTTGTCAGCACAATAGAACTGGGAAATAAGGTAATGTGATTTGTTTAACATTGACTCTGACCCTTTTAAGTATCATTTTTTTTTAATAAATAAACAACAGGTTAGAATTGGAAATTTTATTGTCACATTTCCAATAATTAGGACTTACATGACTTAGAACATAAGTTTCACAAGATTATTAAAATGGATTAATTTTAAAACATACATCTCTTTGAAAGCTGAATGCAGAAGTAAGTTGCAAATAATGTTTAAAAATTCTCACCAAAAATGACTAACAAGGCTTTTCGATGGCTTCCGAGTAGCGACAAGAATGCAAATGCATAGATGCCCAGGCCATGAATTTACACGCACTGTACGCCTGGTGCTGACGTGTGAAAAAAGCATGCAGATCAGACGTGGAAAAATCATTTGAGAATTTTAAAGGCAAGGTATCGAGCATGTTTTGCATGCGTGATCCAAAAAGTTCAAGTCTCTTTGAACTTGACACTTGTTGTAATAACAGATGTGACTCAAAGACAACAATGCGCTATTGTCTAATTTACACGGTCAAATCATAAATAAACGGGGTCAGAAAAAGGTCAAGAATGTAAAGCATGCGTATTGTGCGATCGAGACACGAGTCAAAACATGCATTTCCGGGGATGATAGGTCTACAATTTTACAACTGAATTCGTCGCGTCAAAGTCCAACTGAACAGGGCATAGACATGAACTTACCCATAACAAGAGCTAGGTAGATTGACTTCCAATATCTCTATGGTCGTATATTTCCCTCAAAAATGACAACATGCCCGTAAAGTGTGGCCGGGGACGTCGAGGACATGTGTCTGTGCATGCCTGCTGAATTATGCGCGGCAGCAATTACGCGTACGATACACACGTGCTTGGACTACAAAACCAAAACAAACGCACGCGCTATCCAACCGCATAACATGCACGGGGCATGCAGAGGTCTCATCTATTATGACCCAATCAGCGCGTTGTATATAATGAGCCCCAAAAATATCGACCAATCAAGCTGCCGCGCTCTGCGCGGGCCAAGCTGTGAGCTCCGTATTTGGATAGGGCGCTTCCAAATAAGGCACACAGGCGCCGGGAATTTATGAATGAACGTGTTTGGGCGCATGCACTGAGGAAGTGGGGAAAGCTAGGAGTACCGGCGGGAATTATTTTCGTGCGATCTTTCCAGACTGCTCTTACAGTCACTCGTATTTTGGCCGGGACCTGACGTTTTCCTGATTTCGAAAGTAAGGCCTCATTTTCTCCATCAACTCAGGTGAGAAATTTATGAGTATTTTAGAATTTAGATTCTCCTGCTACAGCGAGAACAATATTTCAAGAAATTCCTGCGCTAAACTGAGATGCGCGGTTCCATTAGAGCTAGAGATGGCCTGCTTTAAGCTACGTTTATTGTGTTTTATAGCTCCATGCTTTCACATGGAGGATCTTATTCCTCCATGCTTACATAAGTTTCAGCTAGTAAATAGTAATAGTCTAGGCATATATTGCTAGAGCACGAGTTTACAACAAATGTTAAGTAACCTCCTATTTACCTAATTATAAAGAAATACAAAAGATGTTATTGTGTGTGATTTAATCCTGCAGACGAAGTTAGCGGGAGCGGGGCCCGGATGAAAACTGATCACGCACTCACTACGTGGACAGATGTACAATCACGTGTACGCATACACGAAATGTGCTTAAATATTACAGACCCAGCAAAATCATGTTATAAATTTCCAAGTACTTTTCCAAATTAAAAAGATAACAACGGCTGAATATGAATAAAGTGCTAATTATGTTCATACCATTTTCTCCACAGAAGCACGTTTTAAGATGACTGATGTGGACGTGCAATTTTACGGCTCTCATCACCTACATCTCAACCCATTCGACAAGATGCCTGACGTCGAAGACGAAGTAAGGAACATTGCAGGTTCCTTGATAGCCGGCCAGACTGATTCTGCAGATTTTGAGAGCGAGATTGTCCGATGCCAGGAACGGAGTTACTTCGAGGGACTCTTGGACGGGGATGCCCCGGAAATTTCTACAGCTTTTTACGCCAAAGAAGATGGACCCCAAAACGGGACTTCACCGGATGATTCTTCTCATTCAAGCGAGGAGGCAAAACTCAGCCAACCCGTAGTTCGTGTACAAGGCAACGGCATTCCAGCGTCGTACGAAGTTCGAGGTCTTCGACAACATGAGATGCCCGTGATCGGTACGGAAAAAGTTCTTTGTCAGCACTTTTGACTTTGCAAAGTATCGCTATATCTTTTCACAATCTTGGACTGCTTTTATTACTATAATTTATTGGGGGAAAAATTGAAAGAAATGTTATAAAAAATGAAACAAACAGACAATGAGACATGTACTGTTTCTCGAGAAAGATCAACTATTTATTCATAATTTGCACTTTTTTTCAAATAAATAAAGGTTAGTACTTTAGGGACGTAAATTGATGGATTTTTTTCTGTTCTTAATTTTATTTTCCACTATTAATTCTTCTGTCTTTAAATGTGGTAAAAATAATTTTAAAAATAATTTTTAATTTGTTTGATTTTATTGACAGGTATGCAGATTGACCCTCGCATCATGCCAGGATTCAGGTACCGAGTCCGCATTCTCAGCGGCGATTCTACCGAAATGACCCAAGAAACTCCCCGCTACCAGTTCCGCGGCGAACCCCTCCATCTCCTCCGTATCGGACAAGGGTACGGCAAGCGGCTAACCTTCACATCGGAAAGCCTGAACGACAACACCAACTTCTTCTGGTCCGATACCAATCCTAGCGGCTACGGATTCGGCATTGTGGCCGTCCAGACGGGAGACGAGATGGTTCTGACCGATCTGGCCCGGCGGCCGATCGGCACCGGCACGGTTGAAGAGGCTAGCCCCTGCCAACTTGAACTCGGAACGGAGACCTTGGACGATCGCGACACGGGCAAGAAAGCTCTCGTTAAGCGGGTCTCCGTGATCATGAAAGTGCGGCTACGGTACACGTGCGAGAGGCACGGGATACGGTCAATCCGGGCGTCCGAGACGGTGATTGTTAGGGGAGTAGCTCAGGTCATCAAACGGTCCGGAGAGAGCAAAGCCTACACCAAGTGTATCGAGCAGCTGGAACTCCCTCATCTCGGAGAATGCTTGCTGTACTTGTCCTAGTCCTGCCACAGTACTAAAATATTTAAACAACAAAATAAGCAGCTGTAAAAGATTACTTCCTGAACTGCATCCAAAGTTCCAAACCAAAGAAACCCCCCTCTCCCCCCCCCCCCCCCTCCCGAAAAAAAAATTCAGTGACCCAAACCCAAGTGATATTTTGTGTGGCTTCCGTCAATTAGATCGATGATAATCTCATTCTTAATCTTCCTTGTGATTAACCACACATACTACATTGTACACAGCAACAGCGACGGTCATCTTTTTTCCATTTCTTAAGACTGTCATCAAGTGTTTGTCCTTTGAATTTGGAAAGCTTTGATACCCTTAAGTGTCGACATAACTTGTTGTCTTTTCTGAAAAGCCCGGCTTGCCTGTAAGTGTATTGTTATGTTGTATAATTAAGTACACACATTCTAGGGCAGCTCGCATTAAATTTATCGCATTTTACACGAGATGCAGTTTACAAACGCCTTCTTAGAAACCGTTTCAGAAATATTTCTTCCTGACTTAAAACAGAAATACTAAACAACGCGACCAAGCAGCAAAACAATGCAAGAACGAATATACATGTAATCGTTAAGAATTATACGCACTATAAAGTTTTAAATCAATTAACACTCAGTGAGATTTATAACTCATTTTGCCGCATTTAAGTCACAAAAGTGCTGATTAATCCAATGAAAGTGTACATAAAAAATGTGTTAAACTTGAAAGTTTTTTTGTAAATACAGCCCACAGTTTTACGATGTTGAAGCTGTGAAATATATTTATTTTTTCCTGCCTGTCTCTCTCGCACAAAACAGCAATTGAGTTTGCATATTTCGCTGTTCAGTGTGTGATCAACTTGTAGTTCTTAAATGTTGCGTAACTCGGCATCGATCCGAGATTCGAATAAAGCTTGCAGGTATAAAAAAAAATGGACTGAGGCGAGTATTAACTTGTGTAAGTTGTATGAATAATCGATTTTATTTATTACGAATTAAAGGGTTCATGAAATGAATTTTTCCTAGGAACATATTTTGTGCAACTTTACACTTCTCTTAATATAAAACTATTTGGCATCCAATTTTGGCTTATTTTGTTGAAAAGTGCACTTCTTTAAACATTTGAAATGTCCCACCTGTCCAACTGAGGGCGCTGTTGTTGTGATGTCATTTCAGGAAAACACTGTGTTCAGTTTAAGGGTTTTCTGTTCAAATTGCGAACCCAAAAATGTTCTTATTGAAAACATCTGTGAGAAATTTGGCTCATTTTTTACTGCCATGAATTGACACAACAATGAATCACCACAGAAAAGAAAACTGATGACGGCAAAATATCCAAAATTCTGCCAACTTTTGGTGCTAAATCACACTTTTGCTCATGAATATGGAATTCGTTTTAGCATAAAAACCCCAAAAGGCATCAAAATAGCCCTGAAAATGGCAAAACAAATTTTGCGGGGGTTGTAGTGATTTTCGCTCGTAACCCCGCCCTGTTTGCAGGGCAGGGGTACGAGCGAAGATCATGCATGTGACACTTAAAAACATTGAGGGCGCTACGTGATCATTCATGGTGGCGTTTTGTCAGTTTGCTTCATGATTTAAGATTAGATACATTTATTTCAATGCTGCCATAATATGTTACGTAATCAAATTGAAAATTCATGTACATAGATATATTCACAATTGATATAATAGTGAACATTAACCAAATCGCAACATCTAGGTCCGGGGTGAAGCATCAGCTTGTGTTCCCCAGCCTATGGACAGACAGACAGACGGCGACAGACATACATGAAAAGACAGAGCACAGACACTGGTATAAGACAGTAACCAAGGCCGTTATTATCCCTATAACATTGCTTTAGTATACAATTACAAATGAGTTTTTAGTTTTCTAGCAAAAAATAGACAGAGTGGGCGATGATTTAAAAGAGTCATCCAGACTATTCCAATATAGAGTGCCAAATTGGACAACACTTATGACTTTTGGAAAATATCTATTTTTTTGGGGCCTAACATAAAGATTTTTCTTAGCGGGTATTATAGAAATGGATGATTGAAGTTTAGTGTAAAACAGGGGTTAAAACAAGCAGGTAATGCACGATTCATATATTTATACATAAATTAAGTTAAGATGATACCGGTCAGTGAATTTTAACAATTTTGAATTTTCAAATAGAGGTCGAGAGTGTTCACAAAAGCCAGTTTTAGAGAGTACTCCAACTGCTCGTTTCTGCAGAGCAAGCAGTCCGTTGCATTTAGGAGTTGGACTACCGCAAGTCAGAATTTTTAGATGATTCATTATACCAATATTTTTTTTTCATTTTTAGCTGTTTTAACGTCGCTGGAGCTAGCGCACCAAGTCAGAGGAACTTGCAAAAACAAAGTAAATGTCCTTCCAACGATGCATGGAAGGGGGATATGGGTTGGGAATTCAATAAACACAATGTTGAACAACCAAAAAGTTCGTGTCATTTCGATTTTTTTTTTATTAATACAATTATAATACACTCTTGTTAATATGTTTTTCGTCAAATTCAATATTACATAAATTTCCAAACTACATGTACATTTATTAAGGACAAGGAAGATTTTTAAAAAAAATGGACTCCGTGGAAAAAAATTCCACATTATATTCAATGAAGTTGATGTGCGTTTATTTTGTTGCGTTGAAAAAAAAAAGACAACCACGAACCTCGTTTGTGAGGGCTATAAACCTCAAGACGAGAGCCGCGGCCGACACACGTGGTTACAAATGTCGATGCTGATTGGTCGGGATCGATAGGTACGAACCAATGAAATGCACTGTATGCAAAACAGTGCTTTTCTTAGCCAATGCTGTTGCAAAGTGACTATAGTACACATGCGCATACAGCTCAGTGATCCTTGTAGTGCGCGAGCGCCAAGTCAGGCACGGTGGAAAAGACGAAACATTATAATGCAATAGGAACTCATTCAAAAGACAACAAAAAGGAAAGTAAATGAAAACCGAAATAATGTGCAACTGCGGGCCGATATTAAAGCAAATGAGATGCCAAACAAAGTGGAATTAAGATCTCCCATTAAAATGGGACTTTTTTGGGAAAAGAAAAGAATCCGTGGTTTCAAATGATAAAAAAATACATAAAACATTAAAAATATGTCAACGTAAAACAGAAAAAGCACCAACAATATCAACAAAGATCAACCATCAATCCTCATGACAAATGTTTTGAAAACAACATATCAAAATAAAATGAATAGGTTCGAGCGAATGTCTACTAGACTATTAGCACAAAAAGGTAGAAATGCCCTAGACTGAGAAGATGGGTTTAAAAGGGGGGAACAAATAACCATCTTGGGGACAACAAAGTGTCAATTTGACTTTTACTGTTTTTGAAAAGAAAATGAGGTCACTTTAAAAATGTACACAATAATTTTCTGCAATTCCAATCAAAACGCACACGTATCATTATGAAGACTTTTAGTTCTTTTAAATCCTTTTGAACAACTACTGTCCCTTTCAGGGGCGGATCCAGGAATTTTTGCGGGGTGGGGGTTCAGGCCCGTAGGATTTCTGCATGTCCGATTGTTGCGGACAGGCGGACATTATAATTGTTATAATTATTGTGTGTGTGTGTCAGAGGGGGGGATCCGCACTGCCTTTTTGCATTCAGGTGTTCTCAACCGAACCAAACGGTCAACAACTTCACCGAGTATTACAGAGAAGGGCTGGATCGTTACATTGTTTCAATAGCAAAGAAAAGTTCTGTGATCATGATGATTAAAATTATGTTTTTTTCTTCACAAATTCAAGCAAAAGATGCAAATTTCCGTTTAGTTAGACTCAAATAATTGCAATCAAGAACGAATAAAAAGGAAGGTAGTTGCTCCAAAAAAAAAAAAAAAAAGACTCACGAAAACTATCATCATTAAGAAAACATACTTGACGAAAAAAATATTCAACAAATTTACGTCAAGCAACTAAAACTTCTTCCATTCGTAAACAGAATGTACATAAAAAATCAACCTGGGTTAATGTTAACTGTGTTACTTACAATACAATATGTACAATAATTTGAGAATGTTACTTTATTATGTCATGCAACGTAAGTTATGACTGGGCGGAAACGCATTCAAAAAAAAAAAAATCTTCACTGTATATTATGGTAATACTCAAAACAACTTACTTGAAAATTATGTACAATTATACATCTATGAAAAAAAGGAAAGATGTGACCAACATTTGGTGATAATACATGCAACACCAAAAAAAAAAAGGGAAGAGTGAAAGGTCAAAGTTCAGATGTCTGAAGAGCGCCCTCTATGGGCCGTCAACTGCAAGAATGAGTGTTGTGGGAAATGTTTTGAAAGACCATTACTTAAAATCTAACATGAAGAAGAAAAAAAAAATTACAGAAAATTGAAAAAATGGAGCATATAAAACTCTTTGAGACAATGCATTACGAGTTTGGAAGAAACAATCTTTCTTATCATTGAGTGCATAATTATATTCGTTAAGAAAAATATCCATAATTGGGTATAAAGTTCATTGGTTTTTCCTTCTTTTTTAACTCAGATCGCTCATCTCAAGTGAAATTTTATACTGAATTTGTATCCATGATTTTCACTTCTTTTTACACATCAGAATATAATTGTTCTATTTTTCTGTTTCAACAGCTGCTCATCTCACATATATTAGGGGATGCAATTTAAAAATTTGCAATAAAAGTGTGAATGTTATTGCCTTAAGATGTTAAGGATAACGTCTATAAAAAAAAAAATGCTTTACAAATTTAATCGTTTTAAAAGCCATGGTCAGTTGGCCACTAGCCAACGTAAAAAAACACCTTATGTAAATAAAATACAAACGGAATTAGTTCATAGAACATTTCAGTTGCCATGACAACAAGTCATGAACGCATCTCAACAAAATACTGACACTACAACAATGGATGTTAGTAGTCACATTAAAAACTTTCTACAATGTCCCGTTTGGTTCTTTTCTCATCTTTTCTGGTAAATGAAACTACCAAAATAACAAAAGTCCCATTTATAATACTGTCAGGTGAACAATTACAAATATTTGGTCTTGACAACATAAAAAAAGAACAAATAATTATGTTCTACATCAAAAGACATTTAACTTTTGGACCACAAGAATGTATTTAAAGGCAAACACAAGAAGCCACGATATGGTTCATTTGTTACTGTTAGGAATATGGGATACCAAAACCAACCCCCCCCCCTAAAAAAAACATATCTAGAGTTGTCAAATTTCACTTTGAAAAACAAGCTTCATGATCATTTCCATATTAATACTTTACACAAAGTAGCCTTGATTCTGCGAGGATTTTTAAGTTTCTGATGAGGTTGCCTGCTAAGAATCTTTTGCCTTTTAAAAAAACACTGACCTGGAAAAAAAAACCTTCTCACTTAATGGAACCTTCCACATTAAAGTGGGTGGATCCAAGCTGACAAGGAGGGGGAGAGGGAAAAAACCACAAAATGTCTTTATAAATTAATTACCTGGCTGTCAATGGGCCAATCCATTAAGCCCCGCCCCATTGGTGTTCTGACCAATCACAGCCGTGATTTATGTTGGACATGCTGCAGTGGGTGGGGCTTACTGGATCGGTCCATTCTGAGTAGAGGGGTGAAATAGGAAAAGGAATTTTCTTGACCTTAAGACGGCCCATGAATAATGAAATTAAAACTATTTTATACCAAACACTACTTGGTACTGGGTTTCCCTACTGCACTGGCACCTAGATTAGTCCATTCTCAGCCTCTTTTTAAAATCAGTCTTCAAACAAAAGCCTAGTTCGTGTCGATCAAATCAATTCTTATATTATTGCTTCCAATCTCAATAGGGTACAACTCTGGATGAAACGCGGAGATCCTCAACCTGATCATTCAGAGATAGAAACACCGATTCCCAATGTTTTTTGAGGTGCAAAAATCTCTTCATATGACCAAACACACATTTCGTTCACTTGAAACATGTTTATAAAAACATCATCAGACTGTTAACCCTTTAGTCAGTGTAGCGCCTGAAACCGCCCTGCCTGTAACTCCCTGTTGCAGCCGAAACCGCCCAAGCACTGTTAGGCCATCAGCCTCGGTCCAAAATTTTGGCCACCGGTATCAAATGAGGGGAATAATCGTCACAGCGATTTTTGGCAAGGTATACACCTCCAGAGTTATAAAATACGTGACAGCATTGCAGTGGTGGCAGCTTTTTGGGTGTTATCGCCTTTTTTTTACAAAATATCCATCAAAATGCTTGTTACCACTCTAGGGGTGGTATACCTTGCGCATGCGCACTATTATCATTTATGCCCTGATTTGATACTGACCAAACCCCCAGGCTGATGGCCTATGTATGGTTTGATTGATTCTTCAGTGAATAAACACAGTGTAATACATTGTAGTACAGGTGCTTAATGGGTTATAATGCAAAGGTTTGGTGAGAGCTGCACACACTGTTTGGGTTTTTTCTAAGTCTTTTGGTTGCATCCGAAAAAAAAGGAAGTTTGGAGTTGGGCCTTTTTTTTTTATCAGGGCACGCCATTCAGGTAAATTTGCTCCTGGGTTGTTGTCATGTCAAGAAAGTTTGGCATGTAGTTCAGTTGCTGCTGTTGCTGCTGCTGTTGCTGCTGCAGTTGCTGCTGTTGCAGTTGCTGCTGCTGCAGTTGCTGCTGCTGCAGTTGCTGCTGCTGCAGTTGCTGCTGCTGCAGTTGCTGCTGTTTCTGCCACAGCTGCTGCTGCTGTTGTTGCTTCTGCAACTGCTGCTGTTGCTTCTGCAGTTGCTGCAGTTGCTGTCGCTGCTGTTGCTGGTGCAGCAACTGTTGTTTGCGCCGCAGCTGCTGCTGTTGCCGCTCTAGTCGTTCCTGTTGCTGCTGCAGTTGTTGCAGGTCACTTCCCTGCTGTTGGAAGGCTAGTGATCGGTCTGCATAGTTTCCCTGAAATCATACAAAGAATTTACTGATGAGTCAGTTGGAACGGTGCTACTATTTTGACAGGTGAAAATTTGGTCTGCATAGAGTACAACTGCAGTGGCTCAACATCCATGTTGAAAGTTATAGAAAGCTGCGTCCAATTGTCCAATTTCATCTTTTTGTGTGCTACATGCCATCTATAGTGTCAGTTAGAGCACATTTTGCACAGATCAAAGCGGGTTTCGTTGTCCAGGTACTGTTTTTCATTGGCTCCAATTGGCCAATAAACCTACCCGGACGTACTCTTTTTAACGCTCTTTTTATTTTTGGATACAGCTGGGAAGAAGCAATGTTCTCTCTGTGTTCCATTATGGAAGAGGCTACTGCTCAATCACATTACGCTTATTAACCCACAGGTAATAGCAGAAGCATTGTGCAAGTTTTTGTAACCGTCCTGGAGCAACTGATTCATACAATCGCTAGCACACTGCTTCTGCCAAACTGTGTCCAGTTGGCAAATTTTACCCAAAATGGCTCTTCAAGGCTTTGCTTGAGATGGGGCAGGCTGTGTTAAAAAATGGAACAGGTAGTAGTCATGGGGAAGGCTCCTAGCATTCAAAGTTTTGGGACGTGAGAATATTGCAATGCATTTCAAAAGTTTTGCTTTACTTACACTCATGGTTTCAAATTCCTGCTGCACCAGGAAGGCTTCTTGGTCTGGGACCAATCCACCGTTGAGCTCCCCGTTAGGCATCAGTAGGTCCTGGGTGATATCGGTGAAGGCACCATAGCCATTAACTTCATGATGGAAACCATTTTCCAAGGGTCTCCCAACAACTCCAGGGTAGGCCGGCGGTGATATGTGCGGATTCGTCGGTGTACTGATGAGTTGCTGCTGCCGGGGATTGATTTTATGATTTAGGATCTGCTCTCGTTTGACAAAGTTCTGCTCAGTAAGGCTCTCCTGTACCATTCCTTGCTGCGACACGTTGAACTGATTCAAGGCGCTGTTGTCTGGCGCAAAGGCCTGCCGAGGGCTGCCCATGTTGTGGGGCTGGCAATACTGCTGAAATTGTTGCTGCTGTTGTTGCTGGGAGAGGTTGTGGAGGTTGGTGGGTCGCTGGTGGAGCTGGCTTGTGGGTGTAAGGCCGTTGAACTGTGGGAAGCTATTCATTTGGGAAGGGAAACTGTTGTGTTTGTCGAGGGCAGTAGCGCAGGCCAGGAGCTGTTCGTCCGTTAGGGGGTATTTGACATCGGGTGGGCTGCTGATGTTTTGCTCGGATGGCCAGTTGGTTCTCAGATTTCCATCATTGTCGATGCTACTTGATGGACTGGATGAGGAGGTTGTACTCATGCTGTCCTGTCTCTGGCCAAGACCAGATGACTGCTCGCTTATGCTGCCAAAGTCCAGGGTGGTGGTGGAGTCCAAGCTACTGTTGAAGACGCTGGTTTGATCGGTGGTTTGAGGGATCCGAGGAGAGTTCATTGTCTGTGGGAAAGGGTGGGATGCAGGTACCTGCTGCCCAGCACACATTGACAGAGATGAGCTCTCTAGGGGGAAGGCTGACTGTTGGATTGGACTCACCTCGTTGGTCACTGGTTCATATCCAAGACCGTTGCACGGGAGACCATTTGCACTCTGCAAGTCCGTTTGAGGGGTATCACTTGGGGTGAGGGAGGGGATGAGTTCATCAAAGGAGATGGGAGCAAGGGAATCATTGAAAGAGGGAATCTCACTGGTTGAACTCATCAAGTCCATCTGTGGATGGTTGCTCTGGGGAGGTTGGGTAAAGGTAGACTGCTGATTAGCTGGGGGATGATGAGTGAGTGGATGTGTTGCTGAGGCATTTCTTGGTGTGTTGGAGCTAGGTGGGGGTGCTGCGTAAGAGACAGCCGGATGGTTGCTGGGATTTGTCATGTTCTGTTGATTGGGGTAGGGGTTGGAGGAAGCACCTGATCTGCAGCTAAGAGGCACAGTGGATGAAAGGGCACAGCTCTCGCTGAAATCCTCGTCCACTGATTGCGGAGACGTCTTCAGAATTATCCAGTCTGAGTCCAAATCCACTGGTTCTGAGACGCCAGTGTTCACAGGCTCAAAGGTCTGGGGATTGGAATTCATAACTGACAGATGACTGGATGAATGGGCATCCATCATGTTAGTCGCAGTTCCAGAGTGTGAAGGTTGCATCGCTTCTGTTGTCTGAGTAAAGTCGTTCATGGCAGCATAACCTCTATCAGCCATGGCTCTCGCGTTGGCCTCCTCTCTCATGCTGACTTTCTGGAAGGCTTGGGTGAACTTCCTCAGCTCTTGCTTCAGCTGCTCCTGCTGAGCAGCAGACCGGTAAGGCTGAGACGTGACGGGGTGAGACTTAGGCACCTGAACCGATGACCCGGATGTTGAAGACACCATCTGGGGTAGTCTGGACATCGGGTTGAAGTCGATGGTACCATTGGCTGGATTGACGGTGACGTTCGGAGGTGGAGTGCCATGCGGTGGTTTGCTGAGATGCCTCTTGGCGACCAGCTTTGGTCTGCGCTCTACTTGGCGAGAAGCAGGGCTCGACAACCCCGGAAGATCCACGCCAGCTGGCATCTGAGGTATGCCACCTTCAAACCCGGGTGGGGGACCAGAGGGCGGGAAACCATTGGGCGGGAAACCGCCTGACGGGAATCCCCCTGGTGGACCATCCCCAGGAAATGGGGGGAACCCGGGCGGTGGACCATCGCCGGGGAAGGGTGGGAATCCTGGAGGCATGCTGCCAGCTGGGAAACCAGGAGGAGGACCATCACCCAGGAAGGGTGGGAAATTGGCCGGAAACTTGGCTCTGCCTTCCAGAATAGCTGCAAAGAAATCACACATAAATCATAGTCAAGAAAAATCTCGTCAAAATAAAGTACATGTCCCTTCTCATACTGAAGAAGTGAATAAGTTTCTGCTCATAAGGCAACTCAACTGGGTCTCTCAATGAAAGCAAAGAATGACATACATCAAGTAAATTACGACAGTCAAGGAGTAAGGCAACAAACCAAACATCACAGAAACACAAATCCCTGTGCTCAAACAATTTCTCTTGGGCAAATGGAATCAAGGGGCGAAGTTTAGTCCACCATACATCTTTCTCTATGATCACCGAGGCTACAAAGTGACACACAGACATACACTGAGTGGTGGGGGGGGGGGAAACAAAGAAAGACACCAGGATTTGGTTGTCTTTCTCTAGCATACCTTTTGGGATGGGGATCGGTGGGTAGGGCGGGTTACAGTCGTACAGATTGGCCGAGCCGCTGAAGGGAAACTTGAAGGGTTCGCCACGAGCGTTCAGATGCTGCTCTCCCTCCTCATCGCTGGAGGAAAATAAAAAATAAGTGAACAAGATAGATTATTTATTGGGTATTCACAGGAGATAAAGTAAATAATTCACAGACTAAATTGTGACAGCCTGCAATTAACACTGGACATGACAGTGTTGTTATTACTGTGAGGGGATTAGGTACACGCAAGCCTTAGCTTATGGACTCTGCGCTTGAACAGCAAATGACAATTCATGTCCCTTTTGAGAGCTCTGTGCATAGGTCAAGGCATGTGCCTAACACTGATTCAAGCTCATAAGCTCATATTAGTGGGGCAGATAGGGGAAATATTTGGGAAAATTGTGCCTTTGATGATACAAGGAATGGCATTTGGCACACAGTCAGAGTACGTCTTAAGAAAGATATCTGGCTATAGGGCCACCGCAGATTTGTCCTTTGAAAACATGGAGGTAGAATAACAAGCAATTTTCACAATTATCAAAATGGCTGCCATTGCTTGTTATCCTACGTATATTTCTTCAAAGGACAAATCTGCGATGGCCCTATAACCAAATCTTCCCATGACATACTCTGACTGTGTGCAAAATGCCATGCTTGTATCATCAAAGGCACAATCCCATCACCTATCTGCCGTACCATATGGAGCAAAGTATGCACCATTTACTTTCATCCTATTGGCACAGACTTCTAGCGTATTTATGGTAGTGCCGAGCATTTGGCAGCAATGCACTCAAGTCTCTCTTTTCTTTCTGAGTGAGAGGCAACTTGTGCACGGGAGTCCATAATCCTAGAAATGGCAGTGTAGTTAAGTGTGAGGGAGTCAAAGTACAAGACTCGGCTTACTGGCAAACTCCTTGTACCATTGTTCAAGTTTTTCCTTGTTTGGTTTAGTCTAACATTGTATAAACTTAACCAAAGCAAACTGCACACCAAGGTTTCAACTTCTGGTTTCATGAGATGAGGTTCCCAAAACAGCTTCAAAACGGTTTCAAGAAAACTGAAGTCCACTTTTGTATACTCTCACTGCAAAGCTAAATAGCGCCCTCTGTAGATCATGCACAGAGCATATAGATTTTGCTTTTCACTCAGACCCATTGCCTATCCCACAAAGTTCTGCAGGCATGCAACTTAGAATTCACCAAACAAAGAGAGGAACTTCCACTAATACAGGACTCTCTGCAGTGTTTTTCAATTTTTAACGGCCTACAAATGAAGCAAGAAGAGAGGAACTCAGCTGATCCGAGGAAAAGTTGCATGCCTGGTGCTGATGATGTCCAATTCCTTTGACCCCTCATGGATAGACATTTGTTTAAACAGTAACCTGGGGGGAAGACTTCCATACGCACATCATTATGTGTGTACACCGATCATGCTTTGCGTTTCCCTCGCAACATTTTGTGAGAGAAATTCGAGATCACCAGTGGTGTTGGGTAGGATAGGGTTGTAGACACAAATGCAGGATTTTTGCTACACCGGAAGGGAACGCCCATTGTCCATTACTGACTGAGTCACAGACTGACTGATTGACTGACTGACTGACCGACGGAGTCCCTGAGCATGATCTCCTATATTGAGGCTTTCAGGCCAAGCTCGTACCTGCCAACATTTGAAAGCCTGAAATATGGACACTACTGGATGGTGATCAAATGACCATAAACGTGAAAAGTGTTTAGGTTTTCCATGTAGCCTGGTTTTCATTTTGAAAAATTGCCGACGAATATGGCATTCAAAACCTTTTTTTTATTGTCTGAGAAGTTATTCAGTAATTTGTAAAGTTGGTTGCGGGTACCCGATCCCATAATCTGGAACCGGTTCCTGACATCAGCGGTCGGGTTCTGCGAGCCGCTATTTTTCCTCGTTATCTATGGTGAATATAAAATGGGTGAAGACTGTCCCCCCCCCCATATTTTACAGAAAGGAGAACATTCTGTTTTTGTTCAATCTGAAAACTTCAAAATAGGGATGATTCCGATTAATTTAGGGACGGTTGGCAGGTATGCAAGCTCGACTAGGCGGGGCTAGTCTTGTTGAAACTGATTGTTGTACCTCATAGGCCTGTGCGTGGACACAAGGTAGTCCGGTTTGCCGCTCTTGTAGATGACCCGACCTTTGGCCTGTACCCATTGCCACTTGGAGGACTTGGTCATGAGCCGGAAGTAGATGAAGCCTGACTCTCCCTTGCGGACCACTGCAGTAGGTGGGAAAATAAGAGTATAGAGTGAGTCCACATCTTTATTCTTTTGAACTATAGGAAATTGTGACATTTTTAAATTGGATATTGCTGCCCTTCAATGATGTAATTTGTATGTAGACTGTAATAGGTCTCTCTCAAAGACGGCCATCTCTGTAGGAGAACTGCAACTGCGTATTTTACGCAATCAAGCATGCATTGCGCAGTGTTGAAAATGTTCCAAACATGCGCGCTTGTCGCTTGAAATACGACGCAGCCGATGCATGTTATGCAAGTTGACGCTCAAAATGCCGATGCACGTGGCTGGTCTGTAGGAAATGACGTCATTTGAGAGAGACTTATACTCAGGGCTGTTTGAGAACTTGTGAGAAAAAAATCATAAGTTCACTCCGGTGGGACTCGAACCTCCGACCTCCTGCTTACCAGTGCAGATGTCTTAGCCACACAATCTGATATACATGAAGCAGCAGGTACTTGTACCATAATCAATGACTTCTGTTGGAATTTTACATCTGGAGGATGTCAATCTTAATGTTGGGTTTACCCTTTGCTGCAGTGAAATTGTTATTTTAAACCTTGCGGAAAAGTATCAGAGAAGATGAGTTAATGACTACTTAGGGCCCCCCCCCCCAAAAAAATGTACCGTCATACATGTACGCCCCCAATTGAACCAAATTTGAATGAACTTTGTGCAGCTTAACTTGATAATTCCCAAAGCTGTTATGACAATTCCTTTTCTCAATCCTAAACATTTCTTTTCATAAACGGCCACTTCTTCATTAAAGAAAGCAAAGCATCCAATTTCAGTTAAGCAGAAACATTGCATCTCAAGAGAACAGTGCGATGCACAAACTATCTAGTAACACAAAAGAAACATTACATGGCTAAGATCTGTGGAACAAGATGAGTTGGGCTAAAACTCAAAAGTTAGAGCGAGTTTTACTTTTTTTCCATGGGGGGGGGGGATGGGGATATCGAGCACAATATGAAGGTCAAGCTCATGATATCAAACATCATCATTGGGTGCTTGGAAGAAGGTCGTTAGGGCGAAAAATGGGTCAAAAGGTCAAACTTGGATTTTTCGGGTAATTGATAGAGCAAGGAAATATCTTTTATTTGATTTACATTTTGTCTCATGGGGCTACACCATTCGGACATAATTAACAGTATGAAAAAGACGGACGGAGGTTTTTCATTATTTTTCCCTGGCAAAAGGACGCCAGCGTGTAATACTAAGTAACAAAATATGTCCCAAGTGTGCTAACGTCCCACTGAAGTGGCGAGGTAAAGCCAAGTTTATTCCTGGCAAAAGGATATTATGATTTATCGTTTAAGGCAGGGAAGGTTCCCAGTAAAAGGTCGTTAGCATAAAAATGTAAATAACTTCAAATTGAGTAGTACCGGGTACTTTGTAATAAAAATGCACAATATTATTTCAATTATTGACGAATTTCGTGAGTCAAAATTTCAGCTTGATTATCTCAATTTTTTTTTTTTTTTCGTGCCTGGGCTGCTAACGCCCTTTTCCTTGGCACATGACGATATGTGATGCGATCCAACTAAATGAGTCGTTTGTCAGGAATTTTCATTTGGAGATTCAGGCCAAAATAGGGCCACTTCATCACATCACTTCATCACATCTCTTGGTGTTCCGACTTCCATAATTTTTAAACTAAAGATGGTATCAGCATGCGGTTTTCACAACAGTAATGCTGAGATTGTGCTCTTTTCAGATCAGTAAAAAAAAAAAAAAATTGATCAGGGTCAACAAACGACTCATTTAGCTTGATCGCATTACATTGTAAGCCTCATCATTCTGTTGGTGGGAGTTTGTGAAACCCTGATTTTTGTCTCCAGCTTTGGCTACATATCCTTGCTTGAGCATCGTTTACAGGAAACCAAATGAAATCCTCTTCAAGTTTAAACTCATATTATAGGATTTGATGTTCCTGAAACACAACACGCAGAGCATGACTACCCAACGTTGGGGACTAAAACCTTATGAAGCCAAAGCTGGAGTCACAGCCAAGATTTCAAAGATACCCAATGAATCAAATTGAGAGGGGAGTCTCGACACCTAGACTGGCTGATTAAAAAATATCGGACATATGCCTTTGCAATCACCACAGCGCGCAGCACATGTCGTAAACAATGTTGCGCGGTGTCAGATGTGACGGATTAGCAACGGCACGGTGTAGTGTAACCGGTTGTCAGTCCTGTACACGGTCTATTAATTCCTGCATATGATTGGAATGGGAACCGGTGGCAAAAAAATCTTGTTAAGTTCTGTGAAGATATTGCAAGAATGGATACAATACGGACATATGGAATTGGTGAAATATGAAGTAAATGAACATCGTTCGCATTCTTCTGAACAGGTCAGGTGGAATTATCATCAAATTTGGACCAACACGCTTCACATGTGTTCCATTCATCTTCAGATTGTGTTTGTGCAGTTTTAATTTTAGATTTGATTTTTTTTTTCCGGGGGGGGGGGGGGGGGGAGGGAGTGAGTGGGATCAGACCTCTTAGCCGTCTGTCATAATTTCTGAGAACACTGCAGGAAGGCTTTGACATAACGGGAAGAATATAGGAAGGACATTTTGGTTTTTCAGTATTAGAGGCATTATAAAACCCAGAAGTGAACTTCCTTGACGGTTTATGTGGTGAGTTGAATGGGAAGGCGGGAGGAAAGGGGGCGGATGGGGAGAACCAAAAGAAAATGAAGGTGTAATTGTTGGTGCCTCAAGCAAGAAGAGGAATTTACAATAAAGTTGGAAATAACATGAAAAGTAATGGGGCTTTTTAGAAAATTTCAAGGACATCGCCAGTACACTAAAAACAACCAATCTCCACATCCATACTTCAGTCAATGTGTTTGAACTTACAATGACAAAAAAACCACTTCATTTCTTCCCATTATTATCAATTTTGGATGTCATATTTGGATGTCATATTGGTTAACATGTCATAGTCATGCATGTCATGGATGTCATATTTGGATGTCATATTTGTTTACCATTTCATAGTCGTGCATGTCATGACATGAGTTTTCCCTCTACTATTTTCAGGAACTGGCAAGATATGGCTCAGAATATAGAGTTAACTCTTCATGCTAACTTTCACTGCACGACAGTAAATACAAGTGGACCGCGGACCGCATGTGTCGCCTTTTTCCAAGGTCGATCCCTATATATTTTGTGTTCTTAAAAAATAGTCAAATTTGTGCATTTTTAAATGACAACCTCAAATGACCCCTAGATGACCTTTGACCTCCAATTTCGGAAGAGTTGTGATGAACCCCCACCCAAGGAGCACTCCGTCCACGTTACATTAAAATCCATCAAATGCTGTAGACAAAGAAACATTTGAAGCATATTTGAAGAATGACCTCTAATGACCCCTACATGACCTTTGACCTCAGTCATCCGATGAAGAATTGTGTCTTCCCATCCAAGGGTCAGAGCATTCAAGTTTTGTCAAAATCCATGAAAGCATGTAGAAGTTATACATATTTGTCAAAACTTTAACATACGAACGTACAGTCATATGGGTCTACAGTCATACGGTAATTAATTTAGAACTGTTGTCTCCCAAAACTTTGTTTAGGCGACACCAAAATACAGTGCATGCAAAGGAATATAGACACTTATTGGGACTTCTGAGGTGTTTTTCAACTCTGCGTAACGCATCATGGCATATAAAACCTCAAACACCGCTGCAACTGAACGGAAAGGATTTGGATAGCGTGCAATGTAGCAACTGGTCTGTAGATGTAACTAGGCAGGTAATGAGGCATCGCGTGATGGCACCACACGATGCATCAACTGTTACAATTTGTTCCGTCTACTGGCACATCAAGTCATATCGAGAGACACTGCTGTTGACTTCTTTTGCAAGCGAAGCAAACAACTTGCTGTCTACTCTGTCGTGATGGAATCAACTTCCCCGATTTTAATGTCAAATGATTCACGTTGCTCCGTTTTGCTCAGACTAAGTACCACACTTTTACACGCGAAAGAAAAATTAAAATGTTGACGTCTGTCATCGTTTACAGATAGGTCGACTTCTCCTCTGAAACTTTCACTTTTTTTTTTTAGTAACCAGTTCAGTTAAGATGATTGACATTCTTGAGGAAGTCTGAATTAAGCTCAATATTGGTTTTGTGTTCTTTGGACTATTTCGGTTAAAATAAATCACATTTTCGAGGGATGAATTCCTCAAACTTGACAAGGTCAGTCATCATATCCGGATAGCTCAAATTTCCTCTGAAACTTGTACTTTTTAGCAACAAGTTCGGTTCTGAAGAGTGACGTTCTCGAGGAAGTCTGAATTAAGCCCGACATGAATTTCGGTCTTGACTGAGTTCGGCCGTGCCTCAAGCCGGCGCGGGCTTTGGAATCAAAGATTAATGAGCCCCTCTTGTATCGCTTTGGTGCGGGCATGACAGTTTTAATGAACCGCCCTTCCTTTGGTGAGATTACCCCGTCAAATCTGGTTCGGATTGCTCCATGTTGCCAAGACGATAAGGGTGTCTCTTCATCAGCCCCGAGTTATCTCTCTTGACCACGCTGATGGGGAATTCACCAGCCCAGTGATTAACGGTTTATTTAGATTGTCAACTTCCCGCTCAGAAGGGCTTCCGTCTTGCGACGTCGCCGCTGTCACGTTTGGCTGATACCCCTCGTTAACTCATTACAGTGCTTGAGGGCGAGATGGAGGGGGGTTGGAAGCAAGGGGGGGGGGAGGGTTAAGGGAACCGCTGGTCAGAGGCGAGTCAGCAACCGGGACCTAAGGTCAGGTACATATCAAGTGTGACTGACATCTGGTGTTGATCGACGGAATAATCATTATCTTTGTTGACAGACTGAATCAGGTTTTTTTTTGTTTTTTTAAATGAACTCAACTATTAGGTTGATTAGCTTGCCGGTCTAGTCGGTCTGGCCTACATCGAGGCTTGACTGCTCCGAGTTCGTTATTTGACGCTCAGCTGCGTG